CAAGGCCACGCAGAGACGAACAACCATACACACTGACATCAGTTTTGATGGATAGTGTCAGAACCGTTAATGCTCTGATCGGGCCAATAAATCAAGCTGCACGCACATGCAGCGTAGTGCAAATGCAAAGCAGTCCATCCGTGAAATGCTAAAAACATTTTACAGGAGCTGTAAAGTGTTGATATGATATGCAATTGACAGATTGGGTCCTACTTCTGATCCTATGACACACAAGACCCACAGAATCAGTGCTTAACTGAGTCATCAAACTCTCTTTCTTTCTCCATGAAAACTTTGTGGCTTCTTCAAGGAAACAAATGGGAATTATGCCTACATTCCCTCTGGTGATTGTATCTGTGAGTAATTGGAGTTGCTTCGTGTCATAAATGCTGAGTAGGCTGCCTGCTCTCCTGTTAGAGTGTATCATTTTGTCAAACCATGACATCTTTGTGCCTGCACGGCACGAAAACTGTTAATCCACACTTTTTACAGAATGGAATCAGAAAGTCAACTTCTCTGTATCATGAAAGCTGATTAACTTCCTAAGGTTAATGAACGGGTTCATTACGGCAGCTGTGATTGTAATATGTCTTTTGACCCCTGACTGGAGCGATTGTGTGATGCTTGTGCTGTCCTGTGTCACTGTTTACGTGTATGAGATAACACGAGTGTGTGTGTGTGAAGACTTGATAACCTCCTTATCTCCTTGTCTGTGACACAAACACACACCTACTCACACTCTCACAGACCATGTTTCCATGGTATTTACTTTTATTAATCTCCTTGAAGTGTACCATAACCTTAATTACCACTCGTCCATTACACCCACAGTCATCCAAACCTTAGAACACATCTTCATCTAAAACATTGTGTTTGTATATACATACTCCAATCCCCATGACATGTGTTCGCTTTCTGGCCGACGTACTTGTGGAGCTTTGGGACCGAGGATAACAGAGGGGACGTTTCGAAAAGAGTTTTTCCTCCACACTCAGGACACCAAACGTCTGGTGTGTGCGTGCGTGTGTCTAGGTGGAAGGGTGTGTTTTATTTTTATTTTGAGTGTTTAATGTATTAAAAGGGGCTGGGGTAATGAATTATAATCTTTAATGCAGAAACCGATCGATACCACCCAGAGAATAAATCAGCTTTTACTGAGAGCGTCAAAGCCCCTTAATACACTAGAGGAGAGAAAGGGAGTGCATGGGCAAGGAGGTGGAGGAGGAGGGGAGCAGCAGGAGAAAGGACCCTGGATGGAGCAGATAGTGAGGGGGAAGAGGATAAAATAAAGGCGGGCAGAGTCAGAAGTAAAGAGGTAGAGACGAGGAGACAGACGGATGCAGATGGAGGGAGGTTATAGATGAACAGACTCACCTTTGAGTTAACCTCATTGAGTAAAAGCCCGGTGAAAGCGCCGAGATTCTGACAGTTTTGTGGGGAGACGAGGTTGAAGGGTCACACTTCGAGAGCGTGCACATGCACTCCATTTGCTTGTTATTTCTCCACCTAGCTGCATTGTGTTCCCTCTCAATGACCCCCCCCCCCCTCCCCAGTGTCTGTTGCTGGGAGCAAAATATTAATTGAGTTACACCACCTCTCGATCCAACATCACCTTACTGATCTCTTTCAACGCATGTCCAATTGGAAGCTTCAGACGGCATAAAATGCCTAAAAATAACCCAAGAGTTCCAACTCCATGTTAACCCAGGAGTTTAGATGTTTAGGTGGTGCGTGCAATCTGTCAATCCTCCAGACCTCAGGGACGGGCTGGGGATGAGTGAAAGAATTGCCTCGGCTTGGATTTGGTTAGACAGATTTATCTCAGAGGCTCAAAAACAAAAGCCTAATGCTCCTTCAAGTATTTTGGACGCCACCCCTGTTCAGTCAGTGGACTAAGTGGTTTAAGCGAGGCTGTTGGTCGCTGGAGACTCTTTAGCAAGACAGTCTTTAATATTTGATGGCTCAAGCCAGGACTGAAGGTAAGTGGACAGAGGAGGGTGAGAAGGGGAGACGTGTGCAGGAAACAGACGTGAGTCATTTTATTCGGGCAAAAGATGAAAGTATCCCCGATGAAAAAGCTCATAGAAAAAAATTCTTCAGTGGGAGAGAGATCTTTACAGGTGGAGAAATGCCAAAAACATTGAAAGCGATGTGTAAAAAAGTGATTTTTCACTGATAGTTTTTCACCCCTTAGGTATTTAATTATTAAACAGCTGAGCAGACTCTTGAGATCCAGTGGTGATGTCAGCCAAGGTAGCCATCCATCATTTATTGCTTCAGGAATCACAGTTGAAGACAGCACTTAATCACTCATTTTGTGACTTTCCTCCCACTACTTCTATTTTCCAACTGATTTTAATGACTGATTTCTGTTCCTGCTGGATCTAATGCTGGTCGATGCAAAGCGTTCCTTTCATTTTTTTTCCTCTGCAGCTGGAAATTGCGCCGACTAAAAAAGGATTAAATGACAAATGAGTCAAATTTCCATTTTCTCATTTTTGCTTTTGTTTGAATGACTTTTGTGATAGTACATGGGGGTGTGTGAATGGATAAAAATAACCAACACAAGGTTCCACTGGTGAGAATTTATAGCTTCACACTTCACTTTTTGTCTGTGGGCGCTGCCTGTCTGTGTGCCTGAGGGCATGTGATTGTTGCATTGCACTCATAATAAGCCTCTGAGTGACTGGCAGAACCAATATCTTGCTTTCGCTTTGCCCTGCATTCACTCAGGCTGCTCGGTGTGCAGCTCCCGTCATGCATCTCAATTCCACAAACACAATTTTCTGAGCTGAGAGAAGGAGCCTGTTTTTTGATTAATGTCGCCATGACAACTACATAATTCATGAATTGTATTAGTGATCCATTTGTCATTTGCAAATCCTAATTCAGGATGTGCGTTTGAGGAGGGCTGGCTTGAGAGACAGGGCTTCGGTCTGCTTTTATCCTCAGTGCCATCTTCAGCACTCATATGCATTTAAACAAGAAAGAAAAAACACCTGAACTGTTGATGTATTTTCATGCTAAGCTGGAGGTAGAGGCTGCTTTGTTTCGTGAGAGGACTCTTTCAGCTTCAAGATAAACTCTCAGGTCTGCTCATTTGAAAACCTCATGCTAATTTCTCCATCTTCATCCATCTGTCTGTCTGCCTGTTGACAGGAGGCCTAAATGGCTCTACACTGACACCATTTGGTGTAAATGTGAAAGGAGATAAAGCACTAGTGTGGATCATTTCCACTCAGATCAATGACAACACGGGAACCCTAAAATAAAATGAGGTTGTCAACCATTCTGGGCCAGATGGTGGGTTTTCTCTGTGTTATCCAGCTGTACACAGCTCAGATCAGCGAGTTAAAAGGGGTTATCATCAGTCGTCTTCAGTCAAGCTCCCACTTTGAGGTTAACCAGCAAAGAACTAAATAAATATTTAGATAATATAATATTTGATTTTTTTCTTTTATGATAGGAGCAAATGATTTGGGTTATTTTTTTTCACTGCTGATATTTATCATTTTATTTGCTCCTGGAATCCATTTTCTTTTTAGCTCAAAGCATGTCTCTGAAAATATGCGATCTGCTTATTAAAGGCATACTTTTTTTTCAATTTGAGTGAGCCAACTTTAAGAAGAGGCGATCAGAGGAAACAGCAGGAACATTTTCAGTTAATCCTGTAAAGGTTTATGGGAGACGGGATGGAGCACTTGAAGCACTGAAGTGTAATGCTCAAATGAAATTTGCATATGAGGGCTTTTAGTTCTACCAGCTCTGCTCCACTTTCCTCCACAGCTGAGCTCCATATGTGTTATATATGATGTACCACATGAAATCCGCTCTGTTATTCCTGAATCCTCCACTGGCGTCTGTGATTAAATGGCTCTACACACAGAGCCTTTGCAGAGCTATGCTCTTTGACATTCATGTGAGGGGTTCTCAAAGTCGATTTGAAGCCCAAAACTAAGAAAGCATATTCAAATGGTACAGGTAAATATAGCCTAAAGCATCAGTTAATGGTGCTGACAATTAAAATAAAAATGTTCATGTCCTGGGGCTCAGCTTAAAATGATTTAAAATTTGAGTAAATATATCTATTTAAAATCCTGATATGAGCCTGTTGTCTCTTGTGAACTGACTTAATTGAAAACCCAGCCAGTGTAAGCAACTGTTAACATATTACATGGAGTGACATTTCCACAGTAAGACAGGATACACTTCTTTCTAGTTTTAAAACAGCTGCTTGTCCTGAAGACGTTCGCATTTAAATTAGCCAGAAATGTAGTCATACATTTTCTATTCCTACATAAAGCCATCAAATCTGAAATATCACCCTGATTTTTTAAGTGTCTTAAAGCAGTGGTTCTCAAACCTTTCTGCAAAAGACCCCAAAATTAACGTTAAAAGAAACTTGCCACCTCCAAAGGTGGGTGAATCTTACAAAACGCTTTGCTCAGACACACACTTTCTCAGTTCGCCTCATTCAATGACAGCCACAGCAACCACATGAAGATGGAACAGCTTAACGGCTATAGCATTTTAATACTGACTAGTAACATTCCACCTTTTGTCAGTACAATATTCAGTGTGTGAGCTGTTGTTAGTAAAAACAGTGTGTGTGAGCAACAAACTTATGGGTGGTGTCTTAATGACACAAGTGGGCATGAGGGTCGGCTCGTGAGCCGTTTCCCTGACTAACTGCTCCAGGAGAGCTTTAAGGTGGGTTTGCTTTTAGCTGGCAGGGGGTAACATTTCTATTAGCCCAAAAAATAATGCTTTTGGCCTAAACCCATTCGTTCCAATTCAGGCTTGCAGCATGGGGGTCGGTAGCTGTCAGGAAATTAAAGGGAGGGCAGGTTGACACTCCATCCCAGAGACAAACCACCACGCATGCTCACACTCACACTCAGTCCTTGAGTCAATATAAGAGATTAATGAAATTTTTTTATCCTATATCTTCATTTAAGATATTTAGACAAATTGAATAAAAACGTTATACTAAAGTGATGCCTGTCTCAGGTTGTGATGGGATCTATACAAAAGGGAGAAATACGTTTTATCTAAAAGAATATTGGATCTATTTTTTATTTCTCTTCCAGATGACCACATTTTTACTTTATTTTCCATTTTTTATTCAGTTTGGCATTTAATTTATCATGGCACCACACAGAAAAACTATAAAAACATCCAGCTGGAGAGGACATTCATTTAGTCTTTTTACATAAAATGCTCATTCTACATCGTCCTCCTGGCCTTTTCTATCATCCTCCTCCACACTCTTCTGATAGGTCAGTGATGTGTCAGCATCCAGAGATGCGTTTGTGTTACTTCCTGCTCCCTCCCAAAGGACAGACGTGTTATTCTGACTGGAGCGTAGACGCTGGCGGGGAGGCGTCTTTTGGTCACCAGGACTAAATGACTGGGACACACCAGAGCCCCCTCTGGCCAAGCCAAGCCCCCAACCATGACGGGATCCCAGTTTGCGGCGGCCCCCGGAGCCAGAGCGCATGGCCGGCGTCCCGGGAAGCGAGATGTCGGGCTCTGCTTGCGATGCACTTTTCCTCAGAGGAGAAGGAGAGACTGGAGCACTGCGGGGATCTGAGAGAGAGTCAAATTCATTTATGGTTGAAAATGTATTTTACGGACCTTGTTTTTATAAGGCTTCATTTATTATTAAAGGTGAATAAATCACTGTATCAATCAAGATGTTTATTTGTGTTTTTTCTAATTTTTGTGAGTACTTTTTACTGTCTTCTACCAGAGCAGACAACACTGCCGGATTTATTTTCAGAACAAACAGCAAATTGTCTTATTTTTTCCATGCAAATGAATGAAGGAAATAGTGCAGGTTAATGATGAGTTCCCTATCCACGATACACACATCAAACCCCTACAGTTTGTGATTGTCAGGCAGTTCACTAGCCTTCCATTTGGGACTGTGTGCTGCCTGCTGACAATTGACTCTTTTTTATTTACACTTTTCACAGCATCCCAACATTTTTAGAATTGGGACTGTAATTAGACCGTAACAGATTCATGTCCTGATTGAATCTGTGTTACCCTACAGTAGCCTGGCCTGGAGCGTAAGGAGAAGTAAGGGTCTGCGCCTGCCTGCACATGATCAGAGCTAACATTGTGCTTTAACCACATTTCTGACATTAAACTCAGAAAATGAAACAACAGCAGCTTCTTATTTGGGCTACATGCTGAGTTTGAGGTATTTTCAATGAATTCAGTTCTCACAGGGTGGATATGTTTCCTTCCCTTTGATCTTGTACAGAATGGGAATTTAAGTTAGTGAGTTATGATACCCACGACACCAAACTGGAGAATGTTCCCATGTTTTATTGTGAACCTAACATATTCAAATTACATCTGAAAATGTTTATTTTTATGAAGTTTAAATAGGATACTAAGCATCTCTACAAAAAGTGGAAAGCAAATTAATTTAGGCCTCACAAAGGAGTAAAATAAATATGGAAACTCAATTATTTTACCAAACTACAACCTGTATAACATTTTAGCAAATCAGTCGATCCTAATAAGATGTAAAATCCTGCTTCAAAACATGTCAAACATTGAGGATATTTTTTCTTTTGGTTTTTGCTAAATGTCTTGCCAGCTTTTTATTGTGGGGGGACTTTTGTGCTTGCTCTTGTAAAGAGTATCTCTCTGGGATGCAGCAGTCTTCTTGAGAAGAAAGAGAAAACCCCCCACAAAGTTGAAGAAATCAGGGGTTTATCGGGGATAATAGAAATTAAATTTGCTGGGGAACAATAATACTGTACTACAAAGAGAGAAACCATTCCCATGAATGCAGGTAGGAGCTTACATCACGCCTTTGAAAATGTCTGCAGGGGAATTTCTATTCGACTCTCAGTCAGTAAATGTATTAAAAGTGAATGAAGCCTCGCAAATCTTTTCCTTTCAACATGTGGTTAGCAGAGTAAGCCAGCCTCTGTGAATCTTGGCTTTTTACGAGGAAAGATCTGAGCTGCAAAGAGTGGTATCATACCCACCACACTTCATAGTCATGAGATGATTTGTATGCATGCCTGTAGCCCGGCTTGATGGGCGTGAGTACGAGAGCATATCTCTGTGAAAACCAGTTGGCTGATGTTTGTGTGTCTGCCAGTGAGAATGAGGGGTTATTGTTTGTGCACGTGTACGTGAGCGTGAGCGTGTGCCGTGCAGTTCTCACCAGGAGCCGGTGTGTGTGTATCTGATGTAAATTCCGTGCAGTCAGCCAGGTTTTCCACGCTGCCTGCGGCAGTGAAGAGGGCGCGTCCCTCTCTTCCTCCTCCTCTGGGTTTGATTAGCTTCTTCATTCTGTCTGCAATCCAGTTAGATTTTCTGTGAGGACACAGGGGACAAGGGCATGTTACAAAGAGGCCGGAGCTTCTGTATGCTCACTGATGATGATTTACAAGTCTTGTTTTTCCTAAAACTCCTGTCATTTAAGCCTCTGTGTTGTATGGGATATATTCCCGGTTTTAGGGGTGCAACTGTCACTTTCAGACACATAAGCAGCTCAAAATCACCTATGTGTAACAAATGTCAGGACTCAGAGAATTAGGAGGAGCTCAGAGTTGAGCTACTGATAATTCCTCATTGAAAGGATGAGGTTCAGGTGGTTGGTATATGTATCTGAGATGCTTCCCAGGTGAGGTGTTCAGGGCATGCCCACCTGGGAAATAAACATGTGGGAGAGATAATGTCTTGGGAAGGTTTAACATTTCCTGGACAACTGGAGGAAATGGAAGAGGGAAGGTCTAATCTGTCTGACTGACATTACTTTAATATAAAACCCAAACAAAGGTTCTGCAATACAGTCTAATTTCATGGTTATGATTTCATTTCTTCACATTAATGTTTTACAACTAATATCAAAGCTGCAACTGAATAAAAAAATATGCAGAGTTGCTTCTCATACTCGGCCCCTGAAAAATATGCTAAACCTCAAGGACAAAAAGGTGATGTAGTCTAGCACGTTCAACTTGAACTGAAACCTCAAAACAGACTTTACTGAACATAATAATTCTATCGCTGAGCTATAGAATTCAATTCACAAGTGAAAAAAAGGAACCTTGCTTTTAATATCTCAGCTTTACCAATTCTGTTTCCACGACTTGTGCTAAATGTGCATTTTCTTTCGAGGGATTATGGGAATTGGGAGTCACAGAAAACACTGTGAAATGGATCTTTATTCGGGAGATGAAAAGCATGACTTTTATTCATGTTATTTTAATGCTTGTTTAAATATCAGAGACAGAGATATTGTATGGTCGATACAGTTTGTTTCTGGTTTGAATCAAAGTATTGTCAGATGTGAATAACTTTAGAGATCCATATCTAAATCCAATAATGTTTTTATTCAGCTTTGTTGAAGGTACCCTCAGATTGTTCTGGATCCCTGTTTCTCTTCTAGGCACATGAATACTTATTTTGCAAAATGCACCCTCTTTAAGATGCACTTACCTATTATCACTTTATGCCAAATAATACTTTTTTAGAATTTGTGTTAAATAGAAAACAAAAGGTGTACTGTATATGTAAAAATACTAGTGTAGAGTACTTGGCCTTGCTGGCTGGAGGTTGCATGTTGGGCTCGAGGACTCTATATTGATCCATAATCTTCTCCACCAACTTCTGCTTCTCCCGACGGAGCTCACTCAGCTTCTCCCTAAATGAAAACACAAGGAGCATTAGAATCAAGCAGCTCATAACAGAAAAGAACAAAAAGTCTTCTTGATTCATCTCATTCATGCCTCATCAATTAGTGACCATGGGAGCGTTCTCAAAGTGCGAAACTTAAGAAACATCGCTCTACTACTGAGACGAAGAGCTGATCGTGATGTTTTTCTAAAAACATCTTCAGCCTTCATAGCAGCCATGAGTAGAAATGAACGCTTTATTCTGTCTGCCCAATTTTTCAGTCCAGACCACAATAAGTCAGCCACTGTTTCATGGACTGTCACTGATTTACATAGAACAATGTTGTGAGTAGGACCAGAGCAGGCTGTCATAAAGACAGTGATTTATGGCAGAATTGTGTCACAGAGTGCTTAATGATGATGTATTGCTATATTTATCTGTGTATTTATGAATCTGTGGTGGCAGCACAGCTTAATTCTTTTTTAACTTGTCGAACATCCAGCCTCAGATCATGCGTTGACTATAACTAGATTATCAAATTTGTGAGCGGAGAAAGTTGATCATTTGATGAAGCCCTCTTGTTTAATTTATCAAATGAAGGTTTATGAGACATTGTTACCTGTTTGTCTCTCTGTATTTTTCTCCACGTTAGATGAAGAATAGATGAAGAGAAACCTTTAAACTTATTTTCACTTAGCTCACTGTTACAATTTAACTTAACGAGAGTGGACATGTGGTGTTTGCCACATTTTAACTTTTTGTTTAACACGTTGTAGTACATAATTTAGTCATCATAGTGTTTGGCAGGGAATAGTTTTGATGCACACACACACACAAAAGACGTGTTGTGTTGTGACTTAATGTCCATTATCTAATTTTAGCAAAACATCTTCTCTCAGTTCAAACATTTGGCTTCTTTACATTCCACAGACTAAATTTCTTTTTCTTTTTCACCCTAAATGGGACAGATATCAAAATCGGGACAGATATCCTGGACTAGAAGAATACAAGACCCTGGTCAAAATCTGCTGTGACAATACAATACCTACCACTTTGCTCAGAGACCAGTGTCATCACATAAACTCCAATAATCCAGCACCTTTAAAGTGCTTCTTCTTAACTAGTCTGTTTGATTTCTTATCATAGACAAAATGTCCCTGAGCCTGATATATTGATATAATCAATCTTTTCATCCTGTTATTGTAATACAACAATTTTCGTTAGTCTTAACGGAAAACCAAACATAAACAGAAAGTAGAAGAGCTGTAAATTCATTTCTGTGAGCAGTTATATGTGGCATTTCAAACGTTATCAGTTGCTCCTATCACACAGTGGGACGTCGATCTAAAAGACGCTGTGAAACTATGTTATAGTACAACTGGTATTTTATCTGTGACTTGACAGGAGAAAATACAGAGCATAGAAAATAGATCTTTCAAGAAAAAAGGCTGAAAATTGTGGTACAAAACGGTATAATTTTCGTAAGATTAGATTAAATTGACTATAAGAGTGAAACCAGCTCACTATAAAGTAAATTACTCTGCCACCACTCTATTACTCAGTCAAAAGGGTGACTGCTGAGAGCTGTTGGACTGTGAAATCGTCTCACAGACTCAAACCCGCCATGTTCTAGATATGAGTTCACGCTGTTAACCAAAAGCTTTTATTCTCACATATAACAAGAAATCAGCTTTAGTTTTTAAATGCTTGGATCTGCTTGATGAAGCCTGATTTATTACTCTGTCCTGAGCCCTTTCCACTGTGGTTTTTCTCTGGAAAACAGAGCTGCAGCTTTAGGATTGGCGTGTGTGTGTGTGGGGGGGTCTTACTCACTGATACTCCCTCTGCTGTGAGTAGTGCTGGTCACGACGCTCCAGACTCTGCTCCAGCAAGGCACGGTTTTCCTTCAGCAGACTCTGGTTCTGCTCCACCAAGTGCCGGTTCTCCTCCTCCATGTTCCCCTTCAGCTGGGTCAAGAGCTAAGGGCAAGACGATGTACACACATGGAAAGGGAAATTACTTAGTACGATCAGATCATAAAGCGTGGATTTTGTGCCAAGGCAAACTGTGTGAGCACAGAATTTACATTAAACACAAATACCTCCGATATGACCTACATATCCATCCACATACAAATAACAATAATAATAATAATAAGTGCTACCGTTGCTCTGTGATCAGCAGAAACATTTCTTTTCATTTCATCCATCTATATCATGTATACAATTTAGGGCATTGCAGGCTTTAAGAACATTTTCTTTCACTCCATGACAACGCGAGGAAGTAGTAATTGCTCTCATAGTATCAAAATTCAATTTCTTCAAGTAACAGGGAAGACATCTGCCCGCCAGTCCCAGGTGTTGCCGCACCAGCCGAAGATAAACAAAACACACCCAAACTCCCTGCAGTGCAGCCTGATTTTATCTGTTAACAACATTTTGCTTTGCCGGAACAGAAAATACCATCAACACTGTCACAGTCAACAGAATCTTCAGCATAAATGTTACCAGATTATCTTTTACAGGACAGAAACTGTCTACAGAAAAAAAAAAAAACAGGAATTGTATCCAGAGAAAAAAATATCCCACAAATTATTAAATAATAATGGATGTATTACTACAGATAATCATTATTGATGAGGCTCAGAGGACAGAGTCAACAGTTAGATGTAGGTTACTGCGGGTTTTAGGGGGCAAACAAAATGAAGAAACTGACCCAACACCAAATATGGTCTGAAGAGAACTGCGAGTCCTCGCCAAAATTGTCTGATCGGCAGATGTGAAAACCTGCCGTTCGCTCTGCTACACATTCTGCTCATTTATCTAAAGTCTATTAGCCTTTTTTTTTCATGACAGCAGGTGATGCAGAAGTTGTTCCATAAGCACCTGGATGAAGCACAGAAAACAAAACACATCTGCTGGCTGACTCCGTAAACCCGTTATAGGAAGTCATTTCCCAGCTGCCTCATCCCTCAAACATCTGCTTAAAAAACGTTTTCAGTATTGAGTGCTTGAAGACAGACAGCATTACATGAAGAGCTGATGAATCTGTTTAGAGAGAAAATTATGCTACCACTTCTTTTGTTGTTTTTTTTAGAATTCCTTTTGTGGGGATGGATTCACAGTTTTGTTTGATATGTCTGGTTGAGAAAGTGTTTTGATCACATAATAAAGATCAGCCAATCACTGTTCCCTATTTATGAGATTGACGTTAAGTGTGCCTCCCTCACACATCTCTAGAAAAATACTCCCAAAATCAGCTGTTAAATTCTAATAATTTCCCCTTAATTGACCAATAAAGCAGTGGATGAGCTAGTTTGTTTTTCAAGTGGGCAATATATCTGTTTATCTCCCATGGGAATCATTAGTCCTGTTTATTTCCGATGGCAGCAGTAAAACCCCTGTGTGTATCTGCAGGTGTGTGGAGGCATTTTTGTGTGTTTTGCTCTTGTTACCTGGTACTGACTGGTGAGCCGAGCATTGCTGAGGTCCAGACTCTGGTTGGTTTCCTTCAGCCCGCTGAGCTCCCCCTCCAGCCTAGTCCTCTCTAGCTGGGAGGCACTCAGCTCCGCCTTCAGCACCGAGCCCTGAGCCAGCAGCTCGGCCTGAGACGCCAGCCACTCCTTCTGCTGGACCTGCAGCCTGCAACACAGGTGTTTACTTATCTGCCCTGTCAAGTGTTTAGCCAATGATTACCAAGTGCTCTCGTGAAGAGGCCTGTGCTAACATTTCAATATGGGGAGTACTAACAAAACCGCAATCCTTCCACTGTGTAACTTACTGAGGTGTAAACAGATCATCTGTGTCAGTAACAGGCTTTTGTTTGGTCAAGGTAAAATCACCTATTGTAATATCCATCCATTTTCTGAACCGCTTATTCCCAAATGGGGTTTCGGGGGATGCAGCATTCAGTGGGCGAGAGGCATATCTCCCAATGACTGCCAACTAAAATGTTAAACCACCAATACCTCCATTTTTGTGAGCGTATATGTAGATTTGAGTAATTTGCACACTGACCGGGTCAAATCTCGGTAGTTTGGGCGGCATACAAATTCCCAATATTCAATGTGCGGCAAACAGCCTCGCTGTTACGAGAAAGAAGCTGTACCAAATGGTGTAAGGCAGACATCTCAGGGACGTTTTTTTCTTTCAGTAACCTTTCTCAGATTACACTGAAATAATAAAAATATGTCTTTTGGCCTGAGGGTGAAGTCTTTTATATTTTTTACTTTTTTGAACAAACTTCCATAACCCAAGCGAGTGAAATCACAATAAGACAACAAAAAATGTCAGAGTACACTCACATTTGACAATCTAAGACAAAGTGTGAGCTCGTTATCACCTTTTAAGCTCACGTGACAAAAACTGTCTTTCTGTCCATTCAGTGTTCAGACTGTTTTAGGGCAGCTTTACTGCCTCTTCACTCTCTGCCATTTGATGCTTGGCAGACAACTTACAAAGGCTGTATTATCTCTTTGAGAGTTCTGAGAATTAACCTTAAGACATAACGGAGAGCTTCTGTAAGATATTCAGTTAAAAGGCAATCTTGTGTTCATATTTGCAAAAACAGTCAGTCAGTGTCCAATCAGAGTATCAGCATAATAATGGTATATTTAACTATTTATACTATATGAGTGGGTTGTGTGATGATAGTGATCACTGTAATTATTAGAGTGTATTTACATCACTCTAAAGAGAAAAAGTAACCATAACATTAAACCACAGATCATAGCAAGCCTAGTATCAGTCTTAAATGCACACCAAGAAAATGGTCTGTTGTTGCACAATTGCGCTTCTGGTAATAAATCATTTTCAAAAATCTCAATACAACTTAAATTTCTCTGTTTCACTTGTGGTTTTTACAATTCTGTGTGTATGTTTTATGGAGGGAAGCCTTGTTTCTTTCTGTGCTCAAGCCTCAGGTCTTCAATGAGGCACAAAAATGTCTTCAATGCATTATATAGTAGATTTGCATTCAAATCGATTCCTGTGTTTCTCACTGTGTTTCACGTAGAGGGAACACTGCAGCCACTCCCTGCATTCAAATGAACATGAGTGCCTTGAAAGGATGATCAGACCTCATGAATGCGGTGCTGAAGAAGCTGTCTGGATTAGTTACCTCTCGTTGTCGTCTTTCAGCCTCTCCAGCTCTCGTTCCATCTCTAACCGTCTTTGGGCCACTGCCTCCATTTTTTCCTTTTCCACTTTCATCTCTCGCTCTTTCTCCTCCAGCTGAGTTTTGCCATCGAGAAGCTCCTTGTACCTGGAAAATCCAAACACAAAATTCACCTCAACAAAATGCTGTAAAAGTGGACGACCATGCCTTTTAAAATTCCTAAATTTGTTTGCTTATGTGTATTATTGTCTTATCACTCATGCTTTTTCTTAAATCCTTGGGGTCAAATTTTAGGGCAACACTATCAAAACCTGAAAGATAATAGAATAACACTTAACATTAAATGTTGCATCACTTAAACTGAGAAGCACAGACGTTGTAGGTCAGTATAGTTACTGAAAAAAATGACTCACCAAATGGTTCCATTTTTTAAACACAGCACTGACTGCTGTTGGACTAATTTGATGAAGCTGGTAAGCATCTTTACCTGCCCTCCAGCTCCCTGTGTTGAGCCTCCAGGCTGCGGCTGTTGCTTCTTATTTGGGAATGCTTTTCCAGCAGCTCCTCCAGCTCCACCTCCTGCTGCTGCTGTAGTGCTGTCATCCGCTCGTGGTCCCTCCTGAGAGCCTCCATCCTGGCCGCTGACTCCTCGCGCTCTCGGGCCCAAACCTTTGACTCCGCCTCCAGGGCGGCACACCTTGCTTCGCTCTCGCTGCAGCGCGCCACCACCGCTGCATGCTGGGAACTCAGGGATGCTTGCTCCACCTGGGTGCACGTAAGATTTTGTGAATGTAACCAAACTTGGATTCCCTTTAGGGATAAAATGTGGATTCTAAAGCCATTATTTACTTTACTTTCAAGTGTGTAAGCATATTCAGTTTAATCACAACCGATGACCTTTGCCCTAAAACTTGGGGGAATTTTAAGAGGACGTTAACCTCCACAAAAGTTTTTATCATATAATTTCTTTTTCATGTACTTTTCATAATCATATATAAAAAACGCCTAGAAGTATAGACACGAATCACCATGCGTCTAATAAGATCTGTTTATTCAGCTCCTTGCACAAAAACAAGGATAATATCCAAACATTTTTAGCAATAACTTTTAACAGTTATTGCACAAATAATTAGATTTTAATTCAGAATATTAAAGCTGACATTGTGATCTAGGTCACCTGCAGCTGGGTGTTGAGTGTTTGCAGTCTGGTGCAGGAGTCCTGCAGGCTGAGGGAGTGCCGGCGCAGAGCCTCCAGCTGCTCTTTCAGGTGGTCGCATGCCTCCTGGCTCTGAGACAACCGCACTTGCAAAGCCTCTTGCTCTGCAACTGCCACTGCTCTCTGAGAGGGAGAGAAACATCTTTTAATTCCATAAGCCACAAAAAAGGTAGACTTTGTGTCTGGTTTCTTTAAAAAAATATATATATATATTGTAATAGTTGTGTCCTGTCTGTCACCTAATATCAGATGGGAAAGGCTGCAGCCGTACTAGGAATTAGGGGTAGACAATAGATGAATGGATGTTAACTTTTAAAACCATTCTTCTCAATTGTCGCATGACTGCCATCAATTCTCTGTGTACTCTTTCATGTCTGTGTGGCATTTTGAATGTACCAAGGTACACATGTTGTACCCCAACTCGCAATAAATGACACCTGGTATAGGTTTTAGCCCACCAACAACCCAACTTGAAATACGCATGTGGAGAAAACTGAAGACTGGACTGTTTGTTATTCATTCTCCTTCATGGACCAACTGTCCACACTACCAGTAAGTGGTGGCCATTTGTCACCTAAGTAAAGGCCACCACTTTGCTCAGCCCCTGCTCAGCAGCTGTCTGTTGTTAGCTCATTAGGATCTGGTAGGTCAGCGTTGGGTTTCTAGCAGCATTTATATTGACTCTTGTTCCTCCTTTTTCTGCCAGCTTTAACTATGATGAATCTGGGAATATTCCTAAGGTATGGGCCAGGGTACTTTGAATTGGCTTTTTCTGTTAGATAATCAGGCAGTGCTTGTTAATGCTCTTTTCTCTTTATTTGCTTGACTTCAGGCTTTCTCTCTCTGCCTTGTTGATTTTGAAAGCCCTTGGCTCGCCTATAAAAGGTTAGTAGAAGGTAGTTGTGATATCCTCAACTATGTTCAAATGTTGCGTAGACTCGGTTTTATGTCTTAACTTTCTTCTAAAAATCCCCAGGTCAGAGCAGCGGTGACACAAATGCTGGCGGTAATGCTGTATCGTACAGAGGAGTAGCGGCTGCCCGCTCGGCACCTGCGTCCTTCATGGCGTCTGACGCTGCCACTGGTTCTCATGGATCAACACCAGTGGTAGTTCTGAATCCAGCGGTCTCTCAGCCTGTTCTTCAGATGGCTCCAAGACTAGTTGCGGCTGGCTCGTATATGCCAGCACAAGTGGCAGTTCAAACTCCAGGTGTTTCCCTACAAACTCTTCAACCAGCTCCACTAGTAGCGGCTGGATCCTATTTTCCACAACAAGTGGCGCTCCAAACTCCTGTTTCTCAGTCGGCTCCAGCATTTGTTGGTGCAGCATCTTATGTAACATCACCAGTTGTCCAAGATCCTGCTGGGTCTCAGGTGGTCTATCAGGCTGAACCTGGGTTCATCGGCTTGAGCCCTGCTGTATCTGTGGTAGAGTACCCTTATGACTATGCATCAACTGGAGCTGCTCAGTCTGAGCCACAAGGTAACAATGCTGCTGCCATATTGTTTTAGTTGTTGCATGCTACTGGGAACTCTTGTGCATGTGGGTCCATCTGAACGCATGTTCATAGTGGTGGTTCCTGCATTTGGACACTTTTCCCTCCCACTTTAGCTTTGAGGTTCTCCCCTTTCCTGTGCTTCTCAATGTCTGCTGTGAAAAGGCTTGACTCTAATCTCTCTCTCTCCCCCCCAGAGACTGAGTGGGTTATTGCTCCCCAAGACTTTGAGGATGCAGCTGCGAACAGCCAAGCCCTCAGCCTGGATGACATTCTCCCCGCGGCTGCTCAGCCGCCACTCGGGCCCGTCCTCCAGTCTGGTGAGACTTCCAACGTTGTGAAGGAAGCTGAACGTGGCAACTACCAGCAGCAGACAGAAGAATTTGGCTACCCAGATGACGTTGAAGTTCCTAGGCAGGGTTTTCAAGGAGTGCCCGTGCCCCTCCCTGGTCTGGGTGGCGTGTGGGGTTCCCCTTTCTTTAACTTCGACTACAACCTTCTGTATGGTCGATACCCTCCTGGCACTTACAGTACCTTCAGCAATCAGAACGAAAAGGGAAAAGACCACTCTCAGGAAATCCACTACTTGAAAGAGCATATTACTGAAGGAGACGATTCTGGGCAGCAGAAGTTCTTTCCAGGTGCCAGCTAGAACTCTGGACAGCATGTCTGCCTAGAGGAGCAATGTTTGCACTAATGGTCTTTCAGGCTAAACGCCATATGCTGAATCTTTCAAAGCATGCATTTACTTTCAATAAAATCTTGTCAAAAACCTCAATTCGTCATTTCTGTGGGAGGCATGTATCTCAGGTTTTTTTTTTTTTTTTTTTCTTTTCTTTCCCCCCTCTTCAAGTTGACAACCTCTGCTTGACTTGTGCCTATTTTTCCTATTAATGCTTCTATTTGAAGCTTTACAAACTTGACTGAATTGTCCAGACATTTAACTCTGGAATTCAGTCTTTTTGCAGGAATTGAGTGGACATGCCACTGTGTATAAAGATTACAGTTGAGTGCAAAGTCTTTTATGTCAGCAGCATCTTACCTGATAATACCCTGGTTGTTTGAAAATCTTAACTTGCTCTAGTGCTTCCTGTAAGCTTACCATCAGTACAAAAACTGTTGAACCTATTGTCTTTGCAACTCATTTCTAATATTGCTATACTGGATGTTTTCTGAGGACAGTGTTTTAAGCAGCATGTAGGTTATTTTAAAAGCCAAATCTGAAGAAAAATTAAACTGTAACTAATGTCACTTCTGCAGAGGTCTGTGCTGCAATTTCATAGTATTGTCGTCCAGGAATACAGATTATAGGAGGAAATTGTTTGACTATACATCAGAAAATCAGCTATTGCATCAGCCCAGTCATCCTCAACCTGACAGACACTGTAGTGGGACCCTTAAAGAGAGTCGTGAACATCTAAGTGCTGAAGCAACATTGAAGAGGAAGGCTGGATGAAAATTCCTCCACAGTGATGGGACAGACTGATAACCTCATGCGTAAAACAAAAACTTCAAGGTATTGCTGGTACTGCAAGCTAATAAACTATAAGCCATTGTTTGTCACTTTAGCTGTCCAGATCTCAAACGTTAAAAGCAGTAAATGTAAATGCAGTCCCATACAGGCTGAGAAACAAATTAGACAAATTCCTGAGCTTGGCAAAGATGCAGCTGCCCTTTACAGCTTGATGCTGATTTGATGTGTTTTTGAGGCAGGGAGAAACTGCATGGGCTGCAGCAAACGAGATAAGGAAGATTAACAATAACTCAGGTATCATTTTAAAGCTTATGAAAAGAAAATGGCCTTGTGTTAGATAATGGCTGTCAAGTTTCCATAGAATAGCAATTTAAACACCGTATAGATCAAGTCCTCCCATACTCCATTCACAGAAATACATTCCAATGCAGGCACATACCTTTTTCTCCAGCTCTGTCAATCTTTCATTCAGCTGCATCTCTTTCTCTCCTATTGTGTGATGGTACATCAAAGAATGGGGATGATCATCTCCAGTTTCAGTGCTTCCATCCTGAAGTGATATCTCCTGTGTCGATTCTGAATTTGAGCTGGACATCTCTTTCACCTCTGCACTCTCCCTTGTCTTTTCAAAATTGAGGGGAGATTCATGTTTGTCGAGGCACTGTGAGAGTGTCTTGACTTTCTCCTGTGATTGGTTAAGAGAGTCTCTGGCCACCCGGAGGTCAGCTTCAGATCTTTGTAGCTTCTGCCTCAGATTATCAGTTTCGGCGGCTAGTTTCTGAAAGCGTGCCTGCTCATCGGCCAGATCCTGACAAGGAAGAGACAAAAGAACGGACAAATTGGATTATTTTTATCAAAGTTTCATTAATGTCAGTAGAAGTTATTAGATCTAAAAGATGGAGGGGCCAGGCTTGCTCTCCCAGGAAGCCAGAAGGCAAGTAGCTTCACTGGCTCAAACATTTTCTGAGCCTTGAATAATACAAACATTATCTTCTGGAGAAGACAGTCTATTTGTTTTGAGCTGTGAGCCAGTGTCTTTAATTTAATTTCACAGTCTAACAATTCATGTGCTTTATTTCTTTTACAGTGAGAGGTGAATTTAATAATGCAACACCAAAACATCAGCCTTTAGGGCCCCCAGGCCACACCTGAGGGGGTCCCTGTGGAAAAATAAGTCCACATGACATAGACTGAATCCTGCCTTCATTCATGCATTATTTTCTGGGTATTGCCAAAGCAAGAGCATCGACAGATACGCAACAGGGACGAGCAGAAGTCTTTAGGTTTGGTTAAAGGAAATCAGGTGGTAGGGCATTAAACTGTGCAACATTTTTAGGTTGCCATACATCCTGCAACAGTTAGTTAGTTATTTTTTAAACAATCTAGCTTAGTCTGTCTTCTGCTTTGTCATCGTGAGCTCAAACTACTGGCAGATTAAATCATGCCAGGGAAACTTCTATCTTTTATTCAGTCTGCATTGGTGAATCTTTTCAGTGAATTGATCCATTACCACATAGACATGTCTTTAAAATCGTACTTTGTCAATCCATCACACAGACGCACGCACCTGAGAGAGTGAGCCAATCTTGGCCTGAGCCTCTGCACACTGCTCCTGCAGCTGCTGTTTACCCTCCTCCATGCTGCTTAATTGAGTGGTGAGTTTGTCCTGCAGGTCCTGGAGCTGAGCGCAGAGCTCGTTGGACTCAGACAGCTGCTGACACACACGTCTATACACACACACACACACACACACACAGGCGAGAAGCAGCAGAAACCCGGGTCAGACAAAGGTTGATTGAAGATAGAAGTGTCTTCACAGATAAATGCATGGCACAACCAAAAGGCTCTCTCTGACACCTTGTAAAGTTAATTCCATAATCGAGGTTAAACGCGTGAGCCATAGTATTTGTACCTATGTTCAGCGTCCAGAGTACGAGCTCTCTGGTTGCCGTGCTCCAGGGCCAAGGTCGTACTCTCCAGCTGCTGCCTGAGTCTGGCTGCTTCCCTCTCTCTCTGCCTCCCTTCTTTTCGCTGGCAGTCGAGCTCGGATTGGCAAACCTCTTTCTCCTGCTCCAGCCGTGAGGCCTCCAGCAGAGCCTGGTCTCGTGCCCTGGACAGAGATTCAGCCTCCAAAGTGGCTTCACGGAGTTCTGCCTCCAGCTCCTCTTCCCGACGACGGGAAGTCTCCAGACTGCGGCCCTGGCGTTCCAGCTCCGCTCTGAGAGTCTGAATGCTGAGCTCTAGTTGGTCGTTCTGGCAAAAGGGAAGGAACGGATTAAGCTGTGTCACTTTTGACTGGACACATCAGATGATACTAATCACAAAATACAGCCACCCTCTTCACATGACTGAAATTACCACCAAATTACTTACAAAAAGTTCAAAGAGGACATTTGTGCGACTACTACATTGTTATAAAACTAATGATAAAAGGAAAATTAATTTCAGATTTCTAAAAAACTGTTTTTAGCAATTTGGGAAAATAATGTCAACATGCAAAAAACATTTGAAAAAGAAACCTGGTAGAAAGACCGGGTACCCGAAGCTGAGAAGAAACTAAATAGAAAAGTAGGTTGAAGTAATGGTTTTATTCTGTGGGTTGCTGAAGAACCTCTTGTCACTCTGCTTGAAACACTTCTTTTTAGCATCTGTTGAAACTGGTCAGGTGACTCATGTGATGACCAAAATCTTTTTCTTTGTGTGGCAGTCACCAATAGTGGGTCCTTGGTAACTTGCCCACCTCTGAGGCTTTTCAATACCAGCGTGCGTTTCTAAAATGCTCAATGTAACTGTCCTGAAATGGCAGCAGGTTTGGCAATCCCACCTGACCTAAGTGCTAATAGCTTGTAGCTGTAAATAGGCTACCTAAAAGCCAGCTATGGTGGACTTGACAGAACCCATGATGGCAACAACTTTATGGAGATCGCGACGGCAAAAATAAAGTGCTTTGAGAACAGAAATATCCTTTAAATGTCACCACGTCCCTTACATCAAAACAGACCTCCAGTCAGATTTTATGACACTAGATTTCAAGAGATTTCATTTTTAATTATCCGTCTTTGACCTTTAGAAGCCTCTTTTGTGCAAAGTAGGTATTATGCAAGTATGCCTCGTGGTGATGTGGATCAGTAGCAGCCAAAAATCTGAGCTAAAAACAAGGTCTTTAAAAGGCAACCTGCAGCTAAGCACTGCACCTCTGTATGAGCACCTAGTTATTTTTCAATGATTTTCAAGGTAATCCATAGAAGCAGGTATGGAGACTGTCTGTACCAGACTACAAGACTAAAACTTGAATGTGAATGTGCTTGGTCAAAGCTCCAACGTGTGACTTTTAGTTTGTTAACAAGACAACTCACGGGAGCAACTACCTCCTTATTTAGACTGAAATCTCATTAATGTTTTTTTTTTTTCTCCACGCACTGACAAGATAAACACAACTTTTTTTTGTTATGTTTCATTAAATAGTCGCTATATTACCCCAATCAGAAAGATGAAAGAGGATGAGATGTAATTTTCTATCTCACCTAAGATGTTGAAGGAAGCAGAGCACACTTCATGTTTCATTTAGCAATTACCCATTTGAATCCCCACATGTTCTCTGCTTCTCTTTCTGGTGGTCAGGATGTGAGCTGAAGTGAAGCACGTTTAAACTTCCCAGTTACTAATTGAAGACAAATCCCTGTTGCTTTGCTAATTCTGGATTAATCTAAACGTGAGATGTAGTGTTTGGGTTTATGTCATAGATCATTTAAGAAAAAACTTGCCTCAGAAAGGTTAGATTTTCTGCTTTGAAAAGAGGTAAGGTGACACAAAGGTGACACAACATAGGAAGGAGGACCATATGCAGTTCTGTCTGAGAGGGGTATTCATGAACCTCTTTTTATAGTATTTCTTTAATGCTGACAAGGCAGTGCTCTTTCCCTTAGCTTGCAGTTTCCCCTGCCTTGAAGTTTTACTGCATATAGCACACTGCATGTAGAATTCACTGACTTTGTCCTATCGAAGCAAGACGGCTGAAAAAAGTGATTTTTGGTTTGTTTTTGTTATTTACTACTCTTCTATACAGCACAACGACTCAACTAAGAACTACAACACATCTCATGACAGCCACTAAACAAGCCTTTGCTTGGATCTGTGCTCTGAGTTTAAGTTCTGAATGACCTGTTCACTCAGTACAGGGTGCATAAGGAGGGCAGGAGAGGGCTTTTGCTGAAAATGAAAACATGGCCTAATTAGTTTCCAGAGATGAGACAAGTGTGTTGCAATTATTTAGAGAAATTCACTAATAAGTATACAGTGAGTATATATATTTTTTCATAAGCTGGTATTTTCTTTCCATTTCTTCTTCTAGTAGTAAAGCCTGTCTGTTAGATGTTCTGCTTGTTTGTGTCTCGCATGTCGGTGGAAACATTTGGGGATTTTTCCTGCTCCTGCTCCATCGCCTCTCACCTTGCGCTGGGCAGCTCGCATGGCGTCCACTGTGCTGCGTAGCGCGTCCTTGTCTCTCTCTAGAGCAGCCCGCTCTCCTTCTAGGGTGGCAATGACGGTGGTCTGCATCCTGTGAAGCTCTGCCTGGCTGCGCAGACGACATAGCTCCTCCTCCATGGCCAGTCCCTCAGACTGAAGTACCTGAGGGCAAAACAGTGGAAAACTTCACTGAGCTGTGACAGTGACCACGTGACATTAGCACTGTGCATAAAGCATGTTCTCATCCACTCTACTAGTATATTTTTCATGTCTTTATTTCCGTGCATTGACATTTTCCTCACATTTCAGTCACTTATTGCTTTTTAAGGGTCTCCACACTGTTACTTTCTCCTTTTGACAGTTTTTCTCACCGTTTTCCCTGTTCTTAGCTAATCAGCCGCCTTAAGGTTCATCTCTAAACTATATTTTGGTGCATCTTGTTTAAGTCTTCCTCTGACTGCAGTTTGGATTTTTGGATATTATATTTCTTAATTTGGTCCTGTGTGCTTTGGCTGAACAGCTACTGTCAACATACACTGTGCACTTGTTTTTTTAAGTAATCTTTTGTCTCATCGGCTTAACTTAATGCCTCTGTATAAATAGGTTTTCAAGCCAGCAACCAATGCACATATATAGGTTAAAAGTGTTGTTTTTCGTCTGTATATTCCTCACCATTGCAAATGTGTATCGTTTAGGGTATGTAGAGAAGTCATACATTTCTTCAACACAAATATTCATCACAAGAAATACCCACCCAAAAGCACTTTTGAGCTCCACCTGCTCTTCTTTCTCCCACTTAGGACTAACTTCACTCACTGTCTTCACATCTCTGTGCTGGCTGATATTGATTTCCTCATCTTCTTCAATTTAGTCTGAAGAGCTTGCAGCAATCTTCTCTCCCTCTCATCATATCTCTCAGTCCTACACTCACCTCATCACTGGCCATAAAACGGGCTAGTGATATGCTGTAGAAGGCCAAATGTCTTGCCTGTCATATTCTGAATGCCTCTTTACGGCAGTATCTGTTGTTGTTCGGGGTTTTCATCCATTTTCCTCTTCACTAGAACATGAAGGCATTTCTCTTGACTGTTTTTTTGACTGGTGAATTATTATTGTATTGAAACCCATGATAAATGTATTAGCATTTACCTCCTATCAAGCATGAACTGCACTTCTGGCAGTGATGACTTCTCATCAGACTGATGGAAAGATGGAAGCTGAACTTGAATGAAGCCACATGAGGCACAGTATGAAAAGCACTGAAAAGCTAGTATTTCCATATGAATTTAGATTTAAAAACACATCTACTGTAGTCTGAAACATTTTCATGCTTCACTGTATTTTTTTGTTACTTAATACCCACTGTCTGGATTCTATAGGGTTGGTTTTCAGCCTATATCAACTATCCCACCAACAACACACTTTAGAAACTCTCCCACCTCATGTATCCATCCATCCTTACCTCTATCTTGCTGCGAGCCTCCGACAGACTTTCTGCAGCTTTCTTCAGGCGCTGTAGCTCAGCCTCCATGAGCACCAGCTTTTGCTCAGCTTCCCACGTTTTCCTGCTTTGCTCTCCCAGTTTTGAGCGCAGGTCCTGGGCCAGGTTCGCCTGTCGATCTGCCTCCTCTTGTGCTTGATGGAACCGTTTAGTGAGAAGCTCCACATCCGGAGCAGAGAGGGAGCACATGGCCAGGTGTGCAGCAATAGTTTCTGTATTATCTTCCACGGGGAGCTTCATGATCTGTGGGCTAGTGTTCAGTGAACACTGTTCTTTCTTTGGTGCTCTTTCTTTCTCCTGTTTTTCCCTTTCTTTCTGCCCTCCTTCTGCTTCACCCCTCATTTTGGTCTGGACCTCCTCGTCTAATGGTTCATCGTCTCCCACATTGAGGACCTCCTCGCCCACTCCTGCTTCCCGCCGCGTCCCGATAATTTCTCCTCTTTTCTCCCTCTCCACCATTAGCCTCACCTTTCCTTCCCCTTCACCCCTACACGATTCAGAGCCCTGGACTCCTCTCACTAACGTGTCCTCCTCCACCTCTGTGTCTGTCTTCTTAACATCTTCCTGCTTCCTCTTGTCCTTAAGCTCACACAGTAGCTCCTCCAGGCGCTGCTTCAGAGTGACATTTTCATTCTTCAAGTTCTGACACTGAAAAATACAAGGGGAGACACGTTTTAAAACACACCTTGATCTCATATTTGGTTTCTTTGTGTCCTTTTTTCCTATATTAAGTCCTTCAATCTACTAAAAAAGGGCTGAACATGAATATGTACTTCCCTTGACACACACGTTAAACAATGAAAAATTAAAAATCTTGGGTGTAACTGCTATGAATACATTTTCATGCATATGACGAGATTAAATAGAGGCTAAGCATGGAAAACATAAATTTGTAACGATCAAACATAAAAAACTACAATTCCGAGGTATGGTATAAACAACTGAACATACAACACTGATTGAGTTGAACAGCTGTACAGTTTCTAATAAAGTCCCATTAGACTTGATTATCTTAAATAATTGGTGCGATAAAAACTATCCAAATCAGATGACGTGACTGCAATATAAATTGCATCGTGGAATGTATTAAACTTTATTATTTCTAACTAACATATTAACCTCTTCTGGGGGTGGATGGCACATTTGAGTATTTCAAACAAACAGTTAATTCATCACTATGTGTGCCATTCTCTTATCATACATGTTATACGTGGCTAGAATTGATAGTTATTCTATTTTTGGACAGTGACACAATTATGCAAAGTTCTCACTCGCCTTAAACACAATGGACATGAAATTAAGCAATCAAGATGTGATTGAAGAGTAGAAATTAAATTTTATTTCAAATGGTTTTTAAAAATGTAACTACTGCTAGAATTCCTAAACTTATAACAGGCTATGTTAAACTCCTTGGATAAATGCTGCAAGCCTGCAGTCCAATCACTTCTTGATTGCTTCAAGTGGTTTTTCTGTCTTTTCCACAGCGGCGGAGAAAGCAAGCACTTGAACTTAAAGAAGACATAAGACGATGCTCTTTTTTCACAAGAAAGCACGAGTTTCTTAAATAGAAGTCTGTAGACAGTCTTTGTTCAGAATAACAAAGCTTCTTCCAGTGTTTTACACATTTATAAAATGTGAAGTGAGCAGTCCAGCTCTTCTCTTTCCTTTGGGTCTGCCTCTTTTATACATAACATATAACAACCGTAGATGCACATTATTATGTATAAGAAAATATCGTGTAAATGATGCACATTTTTTATCATTGGATATAATATTTGATTCTAAAAGCAAAAAGCAAGACCACAATGACTTGAACTTCCTTGTGTTTTCTTAGGTTCAGTAAATAAAGCATCATCCAAAGATGTACCAGACGGGGAAAAAAAGGTTGGGTAACATTGTAAAGCCGTATAAGTTTAGGTAGCAAAAATATATGACATGCCATGGTTGTGAGGTCAGACACTGATATTTTTTTAGCACCCTCTTTAACTTTGGTTGTGCTACATGTTTTTCCATGATTTCAATAAGCTAAAACAACGTGACAGCTTTAATTTCCACAAAAAGCTGCATTAATTTTCACAGACATCCTCGATCGTTTTATGGGTTGGATAACAGTAAAGTCTTCCTGGCACATCTGTGAAGATTCTCTATGGGTTTGTTTAAGAAATTGACAACTTGATGACAAATTAATGTATGAAAATGTCATGTGCTCTTTTAGTCTAATAAATGATCAAATTGTCATCTTGCACTGTATCCAACTGTGGGTGTGGGGGTGGGGGGGTTATAGAGAGCAAAAGAAAATCTGCCAGATCGCTTTTGTTAACAAAGCTGGTTTTTGTAGCATCATGGATATGCTTTTCTATGTTCATATTTTGATCAATAATTCCCCCCCCCCAGACACCTCTCTCATGACCACAAATGTATCTTCTGACATGGATGTTTTTCAGGAATGAGGATCCATTCCAGTTCAGAGGCTCTTAGCTATTTCTTTAGCTAAATCACTGCAATTATCTTTTTTAATCAGACAGTTTTAATCATCTTATAAGGGCACAATAGTTTCTAGCTGCCTGAAAAAGAAATCTAATTTTCTCGTTTTTCTCTACTTTTCACAAGTTTGTTTCATAATGTCTGTTTTCTGTGGTGCTATCAGAGCTTACTATCATTCAGACAAAAGCTATTTCATTCACAGAGGAACATCTTACCTCCCTGAGTGTGTTCTGGTGCTCGATCTCCTGACAGGCCAACTCGCCCTTTGCATCAGGAGAATCAGCCTGAGAGAAACTGGAGGGTTAGTGCCTTGTTTTGTTGTTTTTCCTGTCTTCTAATAACAACTGAAATGACTTGCATCATGTCTTAAATGTCACATTCTATTATCCCACTCTGCTTGCAACTTCAAACAAGGAGCTAGAAACAGCTGACAACTAAATGCTAAAATCTTAAGCCTTTCAAACCCGACCTCCTGCTGGGTCTCCAGCTCTTCCAGTCTCCTCCTCAGCTCTGCGTTCTCCTGCTCTGCTCCCAGCAGCCTCAGAGTCGAAGCCTCCCCTACTTCCACACTCAGCGGCTTCTGATCTGAGACTTTAAGGAATACAAAGATTGAAGGTTGACAAAGGATGAAAGATGAGGACACTTAAAGAAAGAGAATTCATTTGACAAAAAGGAAAATTATGTCTGAAAAAGATTCCCATATAAGTTGTCCTATGAGGGCGACCGTGTTGGTCATTTTTTCATCAAAATAATTTTTTCCTCAAAGGACATGGAGCAAAAAGCAGCTGCTCTGACCAGTTATGTCACTCAGCTCCTCATCAGAATCCATCAGTTCTGATCGGAGAAAACCTTGGATTGGATAAGCAGGAGCTGGGACGCTTCCGGTGCTGGTGCTGATGTGCCTAATGTCCGCCTCCAGACTCATGTTCATCTCCAGCAGCTCATCTACTCGCTGCCTCTCAGTGTCCCGCTCCTACACACACAAAACACACCATTAATCCATTACAGAAATACAGAGTTTTTCCCAGACATGTTTCATGAACTTAATTTCTTATGAGGTAATAATTAATTTATGCTGCTCATATACTGCTCATATACTGCTCATATATATATATATACAGTGGGGGAAATAAGTATTTGACCCCTTGCTGATTATGCAGGTTTGCCCACTTACAAAGAATGCTTATTTTTCCTCATCAGATGGTTATCAATTTTTATAAATTCATATGATGTGATTTTCTGGAATTTTCTTTGGGATTCTGTCTTTCACTGTTAGAATATACATATGATTAAAGTTATAGATCGTTGCATTCTTTGTAAGTGGGCAAACCTGCAAAATCAGCAAGGGGTCAAATAATTATTTCCCCCACTGTTTATATATATATATTCATATACCTGCTGTTTAAAGTATGTTAGTGTACGAATGTTAAGTTAAGTCCTTTGCGTGGAACCCAAACATGCATACAAACACAAAAATCTGCAGCACAATTCCACCCACCGCTTCCACATCCATTATTTTCTGACGCAGCAGAAGATTGTCCCTCTCCAGCTCCCGTAGCGAGGAGCAGCGTGTCCGCGCGTCCACCAGCTGCTCTTCAAGAAGACTTTTAGTCTCTTGCAGAGCAGTGACCAGCTGCTGCTGTTCCTGTAGGGAGTAGAGACACGATGTTATACCACAACTCTCATCTGCCCTTAAAGCAAACTGAATTTGTGTAAAAACATAACACATTCTAAGGGAACATAATTTTTATCCCTTTCGCCTAGACTGTTTTGATCTTTGGCATTTTTTGAGCTACAAGATTGACTTTGTTGTGTGGCCATGCCTTTGGCCATTCTAGACATGTCTCAGAATATGGTTTAATGAGCCACAATAAATTCCCCAATTAAACAAATCTGCAGATGTTGCAAGTACGCTCAGTTTATGACCTGCAAACATGAACACATTTGGCCATGACCTTACTGGACCTTACAAAACTCGAATGTCCTTTGAGAGCTAATTTATGGTAATGATATAGGTAATCGAAACTTTATAAAGCAGCCATCATCAAGAACATCCCAGACTGTGTACATGTTCATTCCATATTCCCCACAGCCTATTAAATCCCCCAAGATTCCTCGAGGCAGCTATATCTTGTTTAATTAAATGAATATGGTGGAATCATCTGTTTTGGTTTCATTACTGAGGTATCTGTACCTCTCATGAGAAAGGGCTCGGTGCAGCTGCACCTAAAGTGGAAAGTATGTCCACGCAAACCCAGCATTCATTCAGGTTGGCTAGTTACAGGTGATATAGGTCAGCGTACCCATGCACTAATTAGAATTTGTGAGAGAGACAAGCACAACAATAAAACTAAACCTCCAACAAGTAATCTCACTATGTGTTTTTGAGCTTATCGTCACATTTGAACTTTCAACTATGGGTCCTCTGGTGTGAGAAAAAAAATCCCAGCACCTAGTTTAAGCCGCCAGGTGGACGTAGAGTAAATGGGGAATGAATAAAACATGTCTGACGGGGGTCATGGTGAGGTGGTTAACGTTGATGTCAGCACCTTTTCTGCCTCTAAAAAACTGTGCCTCTTCAGAATAAATCTGAAGTCTTAAGTTTCAATAACCGAAGCTGTGCTCTCCTCCTCGTCATCAAAACTGCTCTGCGCTCTAAATCCAGATGGCATCACATCATCCTCTGACTTTGAGCGTAATCAATTTTCCGTCTCACTTTTGCGTGAAAAGCTCAAGGCCATGAGAGCGAATAATGGCACTTTAACATTAAGTGGGTCTTCTTTCTGAAAAATAAAAGGTACTCAGAGATGGGGTTTTGAAAGAAATCTTTTTGATGTGACCCTTTCTGGTAAGAGTCATTTTGAATAGCACATGATTTTGCTTTGTGAAATTTCTTTTGTGTAGACATGTTTAAAAAAGATTGAGACTGTATTAGATTTTGTGCTGACACAACGTGTGTGACCTTTAGGTGTGGGTGTTTGTGAGAAAATATACTCACTCCTGTGAATTGTGAGTTTTTGTGTGTGTGTGTGTGTGTGTGTGTGTGTGTGTGTGTGCACCTTCAGCTGTGTGCGTGTGAGCTCCAGGCTGCGCAGTCTGTGTTTACAGCTCTGAAGCTCAGTCTGGAGCTTCTCGGTCCATGTGGCCCGCTCTCGAGCGCAGTCCAGCTCATCCCGCAGCGCGCGCATGCCCCTCACCTCACCCTGCAGGGAGCGGTTCTGCACGCACACACGATCAAACACACAAGTTCCATTAAAGTTGTGAACCGATCTTGGTTGATGTTAAAGTAAACGTTGACAAAGCGGGACACAAGAAGAAGGAAATGTCTTTAGCATAGAGATAAAATGATGGCATCTATCAGTTTACTTTTTCGAGAAAATCTTCTTCAAAAAGATATTTTTAGAACATTCAGATTCAGTTTAAGTTACTCAAATGACTTATAATGAAGAAATTCTTACATGATATAAACTGCAGGACAGCAGCATGTAACAACAGAACAATATTAAGAGGGAGAATTTGACGCTGTGATTTTCTGGTTATGTGTGTGTGTTATGTGTGTTATGTACGTACCTCTTTTTGAAGCTTTTTGAACTGGTCCTCCATTGTTTGAATCTCCTGCTTGTAATCCAATATCTGATCACCTTTATCTTCCCTTAAACACACATACAGCCATCAGCTCCATGCATAACAGTCTCTTTGACCTTAGATTTTTTTTTTTTTTACATTTAACTCATATATTATGTGAGAATAACATAGATCATGTTTGCCAGAAATAGACATAAAATCATAATAATTTCTAACATTGACCTTTGTGAATTTAATACTCTTGGAGGTGGATTGTAGAAGTGAGAGTCTTGATTCGTTCCTGCATTGTTGCCAAGTAACAATTCATTTTTGTGCATGGTGAAGTATAAATATTCTTTCACAGTGTTCAGGCTGACCTTTATCACAAATTTTCTAAAAGGTGCTCTGGGTTTTTTATGTTGCGCGCACTCACAGCTGTTGTTTGAGGCGGCGGAGTTTGGCCTTGCTGTCTGCCAGCTGGAGCGCCAGACCTTGAGGCAGCTCTTCGCTGAAGCCAACCAGGGGCACTGCTGTTGAATCAACTTGGGCTTCCCGCTCTCGACAGAGCTCTGTTATCCTCTGGGAAAGACGGAGTAAGATGGATGTGGATGTGACAAGAAAGCAAAAAGGAGGGCACACATACCAGATGAGGAAAAAAGGACAAACAAGCCTTGAATAGAATAGATTTCCCCCTTTTTGCAAACGGTTACCTGACTCTTTGCTTGTTTGACAATACTCTACAACACAAAGTGATACAAGTAAAATCATCAAAAAGGTAAAAAGAAGGAAAATACAAGCGACTATCATCATTTATAATCAACACTGTTGGCATCTTCAGGTTTCTACTTTTAACAGCAAGTCTGTAAATGAAGAAGAATAGATGTGAAATTATTCTATGATGTTGAAAATACACAAGAAATGCTAAAGTGTAGAGCAAATACATACAAGCCACCAAAATAATTGGACTCAGACTGAGCATTCTTTCTAATTTCTCTGTAATCTTACCCTCTGCAGCGCTATAGCAACAGAAAGTTCTTTAGCTTTTTTTTCACTGGTAAATAAGCTTTGTTTCATGAAGGCTTATCTAAGTCAGAGCGATTTTTTTTATATTAAAATGTAATCCTTTATTCTCCTCTGAGCTCACGATAAGGTTGTACCTGAAGTTTCAGAAGATTATTTCCTGTTTCAAAGAGATAATGTATTATTTTTTCATTAGCAGATTTTAATCCCATAGAGGCTGAGAACAGATCAAGGTAATACTGACTGATTTATGGATGAAAAACATGCTCATTTAAAAAAACGAGAATTTGAGGATTTTATGGCCTTGCTCAACAAAAAAAATAAAACATGACTTCCTACATCTCAAAACACTTTTTCTCAGGTCTGTGCCAAGAACAAATATAAGCCTAAGCCTCTTATCAATGTTAGTTTCAGTAGTGCACAAATAGCAACTTCTAATAAAGGCCCACTGGCTACAAGAAATTATCACTACAGGTAGTTAATTGGTACCTCAAAATGGCAGCTTATTGTATAGAAATATTTGTATTGAATGTGAAATGGGGGAAACACAATCGCTGTTTAATCATTTCACTAATAGAAATCCGAAGTGGTGATTCTAATCACAAGTCCACATTTTCATTCATAAAATGTATCTGCCATGACTCAGATCACACGAATTAAACCTAAAATCACTTAAAGGAATGAATAAAAAAAACATTTGAGGTCCATACTCCGACAGAAACTGCATTTGCACTCAAATGTTTGATTCCATGTGTCTAAATAAATGTAAATAGTGGGCTCAATAGCTTCTCACTCACAAATTGGCTGTTAAGATTTTTCCAAAGTGACCAACACTCCAAAATCGCTGGCATTATTATAAAGCTGACAGTTAGCCAAATTTAGTTCAACAACTCCAAACAGAGACGAAGCCTGACTAAGACTGAGACTAAAATCTGCCACTAGAGCTTAGTAATAATAATTTTATTTATAATTTATGAGTTAACATGCTGCTACCTGGTATGCAATCATTCAGACACCATTGCGCACGTTCAATTAAAACAATTATAATTTCCCTAACCCAAACCCTTATAGCAAATAAATGTTTTTACAACAAAGAGAAAATCCATAATTGCAATGTTTTCTTCTTTTTTTCAACACACATATTATATTATCTGGATTCAGCAGGTAAAATCAATTTTCAATCTTCGAGCTGAAGAATAATTTTCCACATGCTGTTCCTCATTTATTTCCTTTTTGATCATATCCCATTCAGGTCTGTTGGTCCATGCAAACAATAACAAGCGATAATATTCAAAGGATGTTGACTTGAAATGATGGTGGTCGCAACCTCATGTGAAGAAGCAAAACAAATACTAATTTAGTTAATACCAACATTTCTAAGTATGATACATTTATCACATTTATCATAATCTGAGCTACTTCTGTTCCACCCTGACAGCTACCTGTATAAAAACCACAACCCAGACGCACTGGCTTTGTGACCTCCCCTCATCTGATGAAAAGTTCTATGTAAACAAAACTCTTCCCGCAGCACTGAGACATGACGTCATGTCTGTGTTCCCAGCATGTGAATGAGGCAGCTTACTTAAAATGCCAGAGAAAATGTTCTCATTATCCTGCAGTAATCACCATTTAATTTCTAAAGTTGCTTCAGTGACTTGATGGCCTCCATCCTTCAATATAGTGTGCGAGTAAAAAGTCCTTTTAAATGACCCATTTAGCGCTATCTTGCAAACATCTGTCGTTGTCATGTCAACTAAATAAAATCCCTCTTATTTCCTGATGGAAAAACATGGAGATAGCAGCACGTGTTGACTGAAACCAAAAGCCACTGCTACAGATATAACAGCCGTAAAAACTTGCTAGCACCATTCTACAAATATTTTCACCTCAACCAAGAACAGTCATTTCATTTCTGGAACCAAAAACTGCTTTCCGGTGTGGACAGAAAACTATCTGGCCAGTGGCCAGCTTTAATTATTCCAGGTCTTTGTGGCTTTGGGGCAGTTAGATACATGATGAGGTTGATGAGGTAACACTCACATGAGGAGGGAGTTTAGAGGATGCCTCTGAAAGTAGTGTTTACTTCCCGGTCATGCAAATGAATCAATAATCTTTGTGTCTTAAACTTTATGTGCGTTGTTATTTCTTTTTGTGTTTTCTCGTTATTGTTTAAATAAAATGCCGCATGTAGGACTGTGCTTTTTTACATTCCCATAAAAATGTCTCAGCAGGGTGTCAGTGGATTAATGCCACTGGAATACATTTCAAACACATTATTCAAAGATAAGCTGATAATGGCTATTTTGTGTTCCAATAGTAGGTTGCAAAACTTAAATATTTTATCACTCAGGTCGACACCAGGGGCTACTACTTATTCCTAAAAGTGTGTGCCTGCGTACCTCCAGATGTGAGTCTCTCTGCGCCAGCAGGCTTTGGATTTGTTTGGCCATGGAGCTGAAGACCAGCTGTAAATCTGCACCTTCGGCCTCCATCAGTTCTTCCCACTGAAGCGGCAGCACCATACGAGGATCCTGAGTCACCTGCAGCAAGGACAGCTTTTTATGTCTGTACGGTAAGATCTATGTAAATCGAACACAAATGGCAGACAAACATTTCGGGCAGAGCGAGAGCTGTATGAATACTAAGTACCTGTGCAGAAGGAAAAAAGAATATTCTCCCATTTATGTCTGGAGAATGTGTGGAGAAAGAAAACGCCTGACTAATTCATGCAAAACTAATGATCATGTTGACGGGTCTGAGATGTCCTCGGGTGGTAGCCATATGAGAAGGAAGCAGGGGGTGCAGCCATCCACACAGGAGGAGCACCTCTCACCTCCATGATTTATTAAGCTGAGAAACTTGGCATGAAAAAATGCTGGTGGGCAACATACTGTTGCTGAAATTCAGCCCCGCTAGTATGCAACCTGCTGTTTTTGTAATGCTGGAACTCGTTCATGGGGGGTTTCTTCAAATGGGCGCAATTTGGCATTCATGCCTTATTGGACAGGATGACAGAGAATGACAGAAGAGAGATGAAGGGGAGAGGATGGCGTGACATAGGTGGAGGTGAAGAGGTGGACATGAGGGGTGGAGAATCCATCACCAGGGGCCACCTGGAGGTCCTGATGAAGCTGCCTTCAGAATCTCAAGCAGCTCATATTCAGACTTACTTGACAAAAAAAAACAGCAGGAGGAATAATAGTTTCAGATTCTCTGCCTACCGGCAAAACACCGAGGAAATTCTTTGCAAAATCATCTTTAGTAACTAAAATATTCTTGGAAATATCTCCCCGGGACTAAATGTATTTTAATAGGGAAGGCTTGATTTGATTATTTCTGCACGTACCTGCTGAATACAGCCTGCAATGGCTGCCTGGGACTCAATGTCCAGAGACTGGATCTGCTGAATGAACGTTTCCTTCCTCTCACACTGCAGACACAAGACATATGCAAGTTAATTGTGTGCATGTTAGATTGAAATACATTGTTAAAATTCCATCTATAGGCTTTTGAAAATATGCCTCAGATGAATAACATTGTCAGATGCAAATAATCAGAAATGGCTCTGAAATCAGATTTTTTTTTTAAAAAGCAATCGCTGAGAATGAAAAGTTTTCACTGAGGATGTACTAGTGTCATGCTATTATGTGAAGAGAAGTAAAACCTCTCACACATAAGTGGGTTCAAACACACAACCAACCCCCAAGAGAGAGAGATGGCATTACACTGAACCCTGAAAGTGTGTCAGGAAGTTGCTGCCGTCAGAACCTTTATGAGACATGTCAGTATCTGTTTCTTCTTAGAGTGCATCTCCATTGAAAATGAACTTGTGTGGTTTTATTAACAACTATCAGAGCCACAGTTAACATACAGATATAAGCAGAAATGAAAGACTGAGAGACACAGTCAAAAGCCAGATGTGAGCTGTGGTTAGGTTGTTTTATACTAGAGTGAAAAAGGCTAGGTTGAAACATCTGAGCACTGCTAATGGACAATTTCAGTACTCTGTGTTTCACAAGTGAATAAAACAGCCCTTTATTGCCTTCTGTGGTGAGAAAAATATTAAACCCATGAGTCCCGAATAATAGCACAGGATGTACAAAAAGTTCAACATCCTAACCTTTGGAAAAGAAAAAGGGGGAAAGGATTTTTGCAGGTAAAGTAAAAACAGCTCCAGTATAATGACCCCTCTTTGTATATGTGTGTGTGTCTGTGTGTGATCACCTGCACTGCACATCCTAGTATGAGCAGCAGCAGTCGCCTGAGCTCTTCCACAGCTGCCTCTGAGGACACAGAAATAACTGCCATCATCATCATTATCATCATCATCTCCACTCTCCACCACCATCCTCCTTATCATTATCACCTTAATGCGCCTCACAGATAGCCGAGATATGGACCTGTGCATAAACTATAATGAGTTTCTCATGGTTAAGAGACATGACACTGATAGGATCTTGTTATCTTGTACCTGTCAGGGGGTCCTGCCCCAGAATAGCAACATTAGGCAGAGGCATCAGTATCAGCTGCTGCAGGTCCTCCTGCAGACACAGATGAATGGAAAGAGTTAAAAACAAATATTTCTCTGTTCCGTCATCTGCCCTTAGAGAGACCGGACAAACGACAACAGCAAAACTTTCCACCATCCGTGACATGTATGGTGTAAACAAAGACCTGATACCTGATAAGAATCCATTTGTTCGTTCTTTCAAGGCAAAGAGACTTTGTACAAATGTAACTTATCATATTTCAGGGTATCTTTTTTGGGCTTGATCTGTACATTAGAACAGGGTGATGTTGGGTCACCACAGATTTTTTTTTTTTACTTTAAAGGACATAAATGAAATCAACTAAATGTTATTTTGTGTTAATTTGTTTCTGCAATTGAATGTATTGTTCCACTCACTCACAAAATATTTTTATGTCAAATAATATTCTCAAAAACACCTCTGTAGAGCTTATTGTGTTATGTTAGCCTAGTTTTAGTATGTTAGCCTAAGAGAAAATATATTTTTTGTTCATGAACTAAAAAGAAAGTCATTGCTCATAAACATCTCATCCATTATCCACTTAGCCAGGGCAGAACCAAAACTGTTCAAGAATGTGTTTCAGATTAAATTAGGTGATTCAGGACCAGCAGAGGGTCCAACAATACCGTGGTCAGCTTGTTTGAGGGAGTTGTAATTTGTGCTTCGAGCTCTTGGACAAATCTCCTGGCACTTTCAAATCAAATCACTCTGAATCAAGCTGAGACATCTCAGACTTTCCCCACTAAGAAACCTGGCTTCCCTGGCAGCAAACAAGTATTTCTAATGTGGATCTGCTGTGCTGTTTTTTTTTTCCTGCATTGCAATTAGTACAAAAGAAATGTAGCGAATGATCCTGTTCCCTACTTTATTTACTTGGTTCTAAACTCAGAGAAGACCATGGACCATTCCTGATAGTTAGAAATGTTTTTGTAAAAAAGCCACAAAATGGCGTTGGCTGGCTCTTTTCCCAAATGCTTTGGAAGTCTGTTCGCATCCTCCTGTGATCCATCAATGCAAAAGTGAGCCACAATTATAGCTCTCTTTCGTCTGCTTACTGTAATTTACAAACTGTGCAGCAGGAACAGCGGTGCACCAAGAGGCAGCGGCAACTGTCTTCAGCAACTGGCAAGCTCAGCCAACTGCACTTCTCCGCTCCTTTAGGGCACGCAGGGTAATAGCCTCTGCAGCTCTGACTTGGTCATCGAGTAGCTTATGGTTCTCAGTGCCAAACAGACTTCTGCGGAAGATTACACAGACTGAAAATTATATAGCTTGTTGTTTTTGGCATACTAATGCTGTTGAATGAACAACTCCCCGTCTGCCCGTAAAGCCATGCTACACACACAGAGCAGGGCTGTAGATGCCAGGATCTCTCCTTCTCTATAATTTACACATCATCACTTGATACAGTAATAAACCATGTCAGAATATGTGAGAAAACAAAATAAGTGCTGCACATTGGAATTATATGTGCTGTTCTGTGATTTCCAAGACAGTGAACTGTAAGGTTAATCAGTGGTGGCTAAATTCACATACTTCAGCACACTAAGCTGGTTAAATGTATTTTTTGGGCATTTCACGTTAATTTAGCATTGTATGATTTCTTATTCTTCCGCTTCACTGTATTTCATAGGTCGGTCGGGATCTTTACACTCCATTTCATATGACAGTTTGAATTACAAAGTACTTTCTAGATGAGGATTTTAAGCAATAGAAGTTGCAACCACATCTTAAAATACAGCACATCATTAAAGATTAAACCACTGGTGTCCAATATTTTCAGCTTCTAAAAACCTGTAAGTGCGGCCACATTTTAGATGTCTACGAGTTCAACTCCTACATTAAAAACTGAAAAGTCTTGTGTACCTTTGATCTTTCCTTTGCCATTAATCAAAATGATCCCTCCAGTCAAGCCTGTGCTTTAATGGGCCCATATAGAACCATAACTAGCTCCACCACCTGCTGCTACCTGTAGCATGCTTCAAATATAGAAAAGTACAATATTTACTTTAATACTCTAATAGAGCTGGGCATCTAATTTGACTGAACTTTATTCAGCGTTGTATTGATGGTTTTATTGAAAGATCTGAGGCTTTCTTCCATCATTTCCAATGTCAATACAGTAAAAAGTGAAGAATTATTCACATGTATCCCTTTCTGAATTTGAAGATCATCTATTGCTATAAAGTCCTGCCTTGAATAACAAATGAGTGCATTAATCAGGCTACTGGCAACAGTTTGGGAAAGAATTAATCGCCATCTGCAACAATATCTGCTCCAAAATCCATCTTTCTACATCATGTTGTCTGATATGTTTTCATTTCGCCCACTTACTTTTATTTTCTATTTTTTATTCCTGTTCTTTCCTCTTATGTCCTTGATATACAGATTAATTCAAGTCTAATGAACTGAATATTCAGTGACTTTAAAATGGCATGGCTTACCTAGAACAAAGATCGTTAAGGGTCAATAAATTCGTGGTCGGGCGAAATTAACATTTAAAATCCCATTAACTGAAGATTGCAAAGCAAGTTTGTCATTAAGTGGCATTACAGGAATTGTGGAGTATTTTATCAAGATAGGATAGAACAGAGCAAATACAACAGCACAGAGTCCACAAAAGAGAGCAAAACTGAGCAAAATGCAATGAGCGAGAGCACTGAAAGAACAATTGTACACTAACAGTGCAGCAAAGTCCATCCTGTCTTCACACTCGATCGTCTACAATTAGCTCATCTGCTGCACACCAGAAGCTGATGTCACAGTAGAGAAGATGAAGCCTTTACATGCTACTCGCCGTTTCTGTGGCTTAAGCTCGTCACACCCTTGAATGTGTCATAGAAACTTGCATAAACACACATCCAGCAAAACAACCAGAATGAGAAGTAAAACTGTGGCCGGTGCTGAACTGAATGTCCAGAGCGGCAGTGGAGCCAATTCTGCAACTCTGCTATGACTGATATGAGCTTCCTACTTTCTGCGAGCCTCTGTTGTGAGCCTTTGAGTTTAAAAGGACATTAGTGACTCCCTGGAAATAAGGAAGTGAAACTTTTAGGCTCATGTTCTTACGTTATGTGACAAGTTAAGTGGTGCCGGTTCGGTTCACCTGACTTGCTTCCCAATGATGGTCTTTGTGCTAAGAACAGAAGCTTCTGATTCTTCCACCAGGGGAGGAATTACGCCATTTCCTCAAATGCCACAAGCACCTGACATGCTAAATGTGAAATACATGTTTCTGAGAGCTTTTTGAGTTTTTTTTCTGTAGCATCAAACCCCAAATGCAGCTTGTAACTTTTTTGTATCACGCTATTCGCAGGGACACGTCTGCTGAGGGTGGGATTTTTTTATGTTTAATCTTCTGTCACTGTCACCCCCAACATACAAAAAAAAACATTGTACAATATCCTTAAGCATAAAGCTTGTGTGCTGCTACAGTTTAGCATCGTATTACCCTTTGTTTCTACCACCTTCAATCTAGGCAACTGCTCTTTTATCTCTCTGTCATTCCAACTCCCTCCCCATTTGGTTTGACCTGTGGTTATGTTTTAGAAGAACTTTTTTGTGTTTCTATAAGACAATTCTGCACATAATGAGCTCTGAGGTGATTCAGTCTGTTCAAAAAGATTACCCCATGGATATGGAAATGCTTTAGCTAGGAATACATGCAAAAGAAACTGCTGTCTTGAATACAGCTATTCAAGACAGCATGGAGCCCACATATGAGTCACAAGTCCAAATTATTTGGTTTCCTGTATCACTGAGTCACAAGTGTGCCACAGGATCTCCATGCCACATCTTCTTTAGAATTTACATTTAAATGTTGCTAAAGTTAGCGGATGTGTGAAAAAATCCATTAAAGCAGCTCAAAAAAAGTGCAAACTGATCAACACCAGTTCTAAGTCTTTGACGAGAAGAAGGCAAAAGCCAGCAGCTATGAGGCTGGCATCAAGGAGATAAAACACAGAGAAACTGCTTGCTTAAACAAACAAAGCATACTAACTAAAAAAGTTGTCAATATCTCTGCACATTAACGGCTGACTAATTAACACATTTTCCTCGAAAATGTTCCTACAAAAACCAAATGTAGATTTTGCCGATGCAATGCAGAGCTATACTTTCACCATGGTGAACTCTCCATTTTTTTTAAATAAATAAAGCCAGAATAATAAGTGAACTAATAATTTTTCAGTCAATATATACATAGAGCTCAGACAGGTGATTTTCATGTTTTCAGATTTTTGTGCTTAGCTAATTTAAGTTCCTGATTAATGGAATGCAAATAACTTCAGCAAAGAAGGTGAATACACATTCATTTGGACCTATTTAAGTAAATTAAGTGTGGAACTGTCCTCTTTTGACTTGCCTTCAAGCAAGGACATGCATGAGGTTGTGTGATTACTTTTTTGCTATTGGTAAGAAGTGCACCTCCCCAAAGGGCACCAGGTGTTCTTTGCAAATGCAGCGGTGAAAAGAGCTCACAGAAAAAAATCCTAACCTCAAACAGCTTTTTTGACAAAATTGTCCATTTTACTCTGACTTATTCAATTTCAAAGCCTCAGGATGTTTGGATCCTATCCCAGTTGTTGTGGTTGACACCGGACAGGTTGCTAGTCCATGCATACACAGTGCGAATATGCAAACTCCACACAGGATTTTGCAGTAATGAGTCTAGAATCCCAACAGGTATAACTAAAATGATTTTACACCCACGCGTGTTTGGGTTACTGCTAAACTCTTTCCAGTAATTGCCATGCTGAATCTTTTAGCTCATTTTACACCACTAAGGCTCTAACTTTGTCGGCCTGCCATTTGATGCTGGGAAGGTACCATAGAGCACATGCATTTTATCAAAGGCTTTTCAGCTGCCGGCTGCAGCTGGAAACGGGGTTGATGAGAGCACTGAGGGTGAAACAGAACAGAGGAGCTGTCGGCTATAAAACCAAACCGTGAGCCGTTAGACATTAAGCTCTGCAGGGCTGAGGGGGAACAAAGCTGAATGACAATTCTTTTGGGTTTTACACTTTATGTCATTTCTCCCATTACACATTAACACTAACAATCACAACAGAGTTATACTTAACTATATGTTTTGAAATTACCTTTTCAACAGGTCTGAAAAAGACATAAAAGTTTGTTTGTGATCATGATATCTGATCTCCTTTAAAAGCCAAAAAATAAAGAGAAAGAAAAGAGATGGCGCCATGGCTGGAAGACTCATCATACATTCAATACTTTTCATTCATTAGAGTGAAAACTCTTGAGAAGACCCCTTGTGCTCTGCTGACTCACAGCAAATCAGTCTGATTTCCTTCCTGATAATTCAATCTGACAATTTAATCTCCCCTTCAACCCCCTGGGATTGTCCCCTACCTGGTAGAACGCTCTGAGGTGTCTATTCAAAATAGAGAAGTTCTGGACTCTCAGCATGTGGTCATCTCTCTCACTGTGGTACAGCCGCTCCGTCTTGGGGTTTGGATCTCTGGGCAAACAGAAAAAAACATTGTGGTGTGTCGGCTGCAGCTTGATCAAACAGCCTAGCCCCGTGTCTCTCCAGATGAGAAATTCTTATGCAACAGTTCATTTAGGCAGAGAGTGAATGAAATCTTAATGAGCCCAAGAAGCAGGCAGTGAGAATCCACATGCAATTATTTGCTGAAATAACGTGGCTTAGGTCAGACTAAATTAATCAGCTGCTCTGCAAAGGCTAAGATTTTGTCTTGCAAGATAGCAGACAAATGGATTTCTCCTGCTAAATTTTGAAAATGATGATAGGAAATTCTCTGGAGATGCCTAACAAGATGACAAGTGTGCAGAATACCAATTCTTGATCCACATGAAATTTGTGGGTAGTGCACACCACTCCTTCACACAAACTGCAGACAATGTAAGCTTATGAACGGGAGGCTTACATCACATTTATGTGAGGGATGAACATTCAGATTCTGATGCTTCCAACTCTCTGAGGCAAAAAAGAGGGTGTGATGTTTTGTCTGTTTGCCATCTTGTTGACAAGCAAACATTAGTTAATTAATGACATGGTAAGGTCATTTTTGTAAGTTCACAATTTCCAGATTTCTTTGTGTGTCATTTAGGTTTGAACTACCAAAACTAGCTGTAGGTTTCTTTATCATCACCACTATGTATTGCTTTAATATTATTATTAATATTGTTTAATATTATTCAGCTTCTTTATCAGGAACATCACCAAAGTCCTTTTGGCTTTCGTAGATGTCAATTATGAAAGAGACAGCGGTAATCAGCAGCATCGAAAGAAGGTCTCATTTGACTCATCTTATTGTGAATTCTAAATTAATTTGATATCCCTGTTTGTTCAACTTCACCAATAGCTTGAAAAGTGGCTCTTTTCAGTTACATTACCTTAACATAAGCTCTAAGCAGGAACTCATCAGCAGTTTTCATTCAAATGCGGGGCAGGTTTTTCTGAACCTGCTGTTCAATTTATTAATTCAACAAAGTTCAATTGCGATACTTTTTGTACAAAAAATGTATGTTTTTATGACTTAATTCATCGTAACAACATGGAGCTCCATGTTAATGCTTTTCATGGCATTTCATTAATTCATTTTAAGCTCCCAAATGCCTCTCATTAGGCTTATCTTCTTTGATTTGAATATAAAGTTTAAAAAAAGGTTAATTAAATCTCCTTCTATTTCTCTACTCAGTGGCTACTTTCATTGCCACCTTGCAAGGCAGTGAAGCAAGTAAATCTTTATTAATCTTACATGATCCTCATGACCTGATTGAGAAAAATCCCATTGGTCAGCTTCATGTAACGCTCTCGGGCGCCCTGGGAAGCTGAGTTCACTTCCATGTACTGGCTGTAGAGCTGGACGCCGTCCTCACTGTCCACCATATCCTCAAACAGCACGACCTGAAACAGACCGGGAGCCATCACCAAGAGGAGGACAACGGCGAGGAAGGCCGAGACTGGGGCAGAAAATATGCACAGAAAGGGAGAGGCAAGGGAACAGGACAGTGAAGAGCACACATTTTTACACAGGAAGCCACTTGAGCCGGTGCACCTGTCCAAACAGGTGGGATCTGTGCTCTCACACTGGGAAGCACTTCACAGTGACAAGCAGCCAACCAGGACTGCAGCCAAGGTCTCTCTCTCTCTCTCCCTCTCTCTCTCTGCTCAGTCAAGTTGTGCCAATGCAAACTGCAATTTAGTGTTTTTTCCCCCCCACCTGCACCCTTCAAAACTGTTCTTTGGTAGCAAACTTAATATAGCGAGGCTGAGCTCTTTCCTTAGCCGGCAAGACAGCGCCTCAGAGCAGCTGCCCCACGCAGAGGAAAGCTCTCACCGAACAACTCTGCTGAAGTACATTCAAGTAAAGACCTTACAGGTATCATAATGAACCTGACCCCTCTGACCTCCTCACCGGGAACGGTCAGCAGCTGAGGAGAATATCTCCCCAAGATTCAGCTCAGTATCCAAACACCCCATAAACACTGTTCGGTGACCAGAAACACGAAATCCTCTGCGTTTGACTGCTTTTGCACGTGGAAATGTCAACTAGAAGATTTTAAATGCACCAAATCCTCACAGTGATTATCACTAAGAGTATGCTGTCATGAATACATTGAAGATCATTTTGTTTTATTTCCTAGTTCAAAACAGCCCAAGGACACGGAAGTGTCAAATGTTAGAAAAGAAAAAAAAAAGAAGAAAGAAAAAAGCTGGTCACTGAGAGGCAAAGGAAGCTGCCAAAAGGAGAAGTAGAGTGTTGCTTTTCTGTTCACAACACAAAGAAGTCAGGGTTATTTCTTTCATTTATTCTATTCTAACTTTTATATTCATTCATGTTGACGGCATTCAAATTATAACTGTTCTCAAAGATATTACAAATACTTCTGAAAAAAAGGATCTGGTAATGTGAATCTTAATGCAGAGACGGACCCCTACGGAGGCCAGTGTCCAGTTAGTTTATTGTGTCGTGTTTTAGTCCACGCTTTGCGGCTTAAATGACGGACTTTTCTCAATCAACGCGACAAACCAGAAGTGACATACCCATTGAGCCAGCGCACCTCCCATGAATTCCTCTATTTTCTCCTTAATGTTAGGGTCCATTGTTGTGGCACGAGGGCAGCCAAAGCACTTCTCCAGACAAATAATTACAAAATCTTATCAACTCTGCGCTTGTAATGAATAAAAGAGCGAGGATCCATCTTGCTTCCAGTGGAGCAGTTTGACATTTGTGCGGCCCTTCCCCTCCCACCACCCCAGTCTCTTCCTCTCTGACTGTGTGTCAGTTGGTTTCATTGCAAAACCACACCGGAATTTCTTAAAACGCACATGCTGCGTTTCTTATAGCACAACCTCGACGCTCACACAGAGATCTTTCCGGATAGCGTGACTAAAGGAGGTGCGCGTCTGGGGGGGGTTTGCGCGCTGTGGCGCACCATGGTGGCTCGGCCTCTCCAGTTATGGGCCTGGACGACCTGTTTGTTTATTCCCCACGTTCTCCATGGTTATACTGCTTGTTTTTTTCTTCCTACAGTTAAAAGAGGAAATGAAGCACAGCTAAACTTTTTTTTAAGTTCTCATTTAAAAAGTGACTGGCCTATTCAGGGTTAGGACGCGTTGAACGATCCTTTCTGCGCTGTGCAACAGTGACCTCTGGTGGCTGAAAGACACGCCTCCTGCTTTTCACCGTTTTTTACATAATTGCATCATTGTTTCCGTGACTAAATCGTTCATGGACTAAGCATTCGCAGGCCTCGTTGCTATTTGTTGAACTCGAAAGTCGAGTGGGAGAATGTCGTGGAAATCAAAACCAGAAAAAAAAAATCTACTTGAAATCTTGACAGGAAATCTCAATGTCTTCCTCCTGCACAATGTAGCTTTTCTTTGTTGGTAGCTGTTTGCAGGCATGAAAGCAAAGAACAATTCTGAGTCTGCCTTCATTTTTTTGCACAGTTGGCAATTGATGCTCATTCCTCTGAACAATTTTTAAAAACTGTGCTGTGAAGTGACTGAGGCTGTGGTGTTGTGAATACCTTAGTCAGCTTTATCACCTAAAAGTTTAATTCAAGTTTCGAATTAAAAGTGAATAATGATTAGATCCTCCCAAGAAAGAGAAAGTAGTCTTGATAGAACCTTTCAAAGGGATTGTATCCAAAGTTGGCAAGAGGCCGTCAACCTCCACTGCCCCATGCTAGGAGTATCCAGAAATACAAGACATATTGAAGACAGGGAAATAGAAAAAAACAGACTCACAAACTGAAGATTACTGATCGGGATCCATATAATGAATGTTTGTTTGTTTTTACAGATCAAGGAAACCCATTATAGAGTAGATTAAAAGGTCTGTTCCACATGCAAGTCACAGGAAAGCTAAATGGGAATCTGTCAGTAAGGAACTTTTCTAGATGAAAAGCAATAAACAATGTACTTGAAGGGATCAGCATTCAGTGAACCCATGGTTTAAACCAGTGCCACTACTTTCAGCCTTTCTCCTGGAAACCCCATCGGAGAATTCTTTAATTTAAGACTCACTGAGGCGTCTGTAAGGCTCACTTCACCTGTCTGACTCAGTCGTCTGTGTCTCGTCTGATAGCTTCTTAAAAAAAACTAGCCAAAAGTCTGACATTGGTCCAAACCTTACCTCTTTTCACAAGCAGCCAGCAGAATCAGAACAAATTTCACATTTTGATCGCTCACATATCAAGACTTCCATGAAATGCCATACATGTATAGACTTGTGGAGTCGAGTTTTCCTGAGGAAATTAAATTGAAATTTCAAGGCCTTTCATTCCAATTCTGGTTATTCCATTTCCATTTTAAAAGCAGAAGTGACCAGGCGTTAAAATTGTGAGTCTATCCAGAAAATATTAATTCCACTGAATAGGAGTCCTGAGTTCTCTGTGATACAAAAAAGACATTTCTTTCTGACATAACCTCAAAAACTTTAAAAAGACACCAAACTTAGGACTGTTTTTTGTTGAATATGGATTAACTTTCAATTCTGTAAGATGTTTCTGCCTTTTTCACATTGGTCATTTTTTATGTTATTGTTTTGCTCTTATTTTCTGTGCTTTCTCATTAGCTTCGAGGCATGTTTTGATGTCATGTTGGTGATTTCTGGGGGTGTACTTTTCTTTAATATACATACCCCTTTGTGCTCTGACAATGCTCTCCCACAAGCATCAACATTTACCATTGTTTTAACTTGACAGGACCCCCCACCCTGCATTTTAATCATAATAAGATCCCCCGAGTCAAACCTGAACTGCGTGCACCTCTTTGAACAGAACCAATGAGACTGTGGCTGCTGCAGAAAAATATACCAGGAAAACAAGCAAACTGTTTCTCTGAAAAATAAAATTCAGTTTCTTTCTTAATTAAGCATTCTGGCTTGATATTGAACGACGTTTTTATGTTGCCCGAGAGTGTTGTACATGCAGCACAGGATTCGGCCCTGATAATTGCAGTGTTGAAGCAGAGATCCTCTCCCTGGGAAAAGCCAGCCCCGTGACAGTGTTACTTCTGTGGATCCATTCTGGCTGAGTAAAGCTGCCATATAAACCTTTGCGTGCAGATTATTATTGATGCGGTATGAGGTCATTATTCTGAGACTTATGGAAGGAAAATTTGGTGGCAAATTTACCTGTAATAATAAATTAAATCAAGCTCCTCTTTGTATATATAATCACTTTGTTTGGTGTGCAATTATCTAAGAGAACTAGCTACTGTAAATCACTTTTATCCTCCATTGCATTACTGTAATAGAACTTGTGCATACATCACATTTTTGACAGTTTGAAACCGGAACCAACATTCAGCATCACCCCTTCCAACACTTAACATTTCTCCCACCACAGAAACTTTATTGTCATTTGTTTCTTTGGAACCAAATAAGACATTCATTGAAATTATTCTGTGACAGAGATTTTATTTAAGAAGAATGAGCACACATTGGATAAACCTGTAAGGACAGATAACCATGATATGTACTTTGTAAATAGAAAGCATGTAAACACCGTTCTACTTCGTGAAATCACAGGTTGAATCAGTGTGCCATCACTGTCGTTGTATGAAAGTGTGTTCCTGTGCGCTGTCTGGGGGTGCAGATACTGCTTGTGCAGCAGTTCTGGGATTAACTACACCAGGATTATCAGATTGTATCAGAGCTGCCAGAATAGACATGATGACAGCTTCATATAGGGCACCACACTCACATACGCTTATACACACAAACACGCGCACACACACACTTAATCCAACTCTCAGTGTTGAACTCAGATAAACCACCATTAGTTTACACATGCCTCTATTGTATGACATGTACAAAAGGAAGCCGACACTACAAAGCAGTTAAAAACTTCTACCTTTAATATATTATTCATGTGCGTTGCCATTTTAACAGGTTCCTAAGCATTTCATTGCAATTCAGTACAAACTCTACAGCTGTGGGATGAAGAATACAGTGCACATGGAATAGACTTCAGCATCATGTGATTGGAGTTTTGCCAAATTTCAATCAAAATTTGCCACATGTAATTTTGAGTGTTCAAGCTACACCTGTTTAAAGTCAATGTACTCTCTTCTAGACACAACAAAAGGTACTACACATCTCCTGAGCAAGTTCTCTGATGTTCATGATGTCCTGCACAGAGGAGATGTTTGTTGGTGTCTGTGCAGGGCCTGATAAAATCCCCAATGTGTTACTGTGTTTTGGCCATGTGTGAGGGAGCCCCGGACAGAGTCGAAAATCAAAAAACAACAGGTGTCCTACCTGCCACCACTCAAGTCACAAGACCCAAAAAAAAAAAAAACACAGACACATCCCCCCACCCTGCATCCCTTTTGCCTCAGCTCATGTTGAAATATTTCTTTTCTCTAGCTGGACGGAGTAGGAGAGGCAGCCTTCTCCGAGCCGTCGGCTTTCTCGCCCTCAGGGTCCTCCTCAGAGGGATCAACCTGCCCAAACTTTAGCAAGGCGAGGACCTTTGCTTTGACATCCTCAAAGGTTTCCTTCACACCCTTCTCCAGGATGTACCCCTCACTTTCATCTTCTGGGTTCTCCAGATCCATGGCTCCCTCCACAGCTGTTTGCAGGTATCGCAGGCTCAGAAGCACCGACATCTTGAGAGAAAGAAACAACAAGGATCCTTTGAAAATTATGTCTGAAACACTGCTTAGCACCAAACAAGTGCTCAGAGTTATGGGGAGTGGGGGTGTCTAAATCTGTGTCAAAAAAGGTTTGAATGTGTTGCACCATTTTGGCATAGAGATGCTATTGCAATGCTCTGTAAGTTTGCACAGCATCTCTGACATTAAAACATTAAAATCTACCCTAATTTTTATACTAAAAACCGACGCCTTCTTCATGAAGCAACAAAAAATGGAGGGACATGTGATGAAGTCAGCTGTTCGCATGTGTTTATCTCATGCCTCTTCTTCCCTCTTTTTGTCAGCTGTGCGGTAAAATAATTAAAAGCCACTTTTGGCAACAAACTGGGGTTTCTGGTTGATAGACAGATGGCGCAGTGCTTAGCACGATCCCTCAGTATCGCATCCGTCCCAATCAAAGAGGAGCAGAGAACCATAGCATTGAGCTGTTGCATTTAGAAGAATAGATTGCCTAGTTAGCCAGGGGCATCATGCGTGTTCTGTTGGAAGTGTGCGTGTCTGTTCCAGCCTGAGGCTTTGTGAAAAGAATGTACCATCAATACTGTGACTTTGCAAAGAGGTGACAATGCATATTTGATTAAAAGCTTGCAATCAATGGTTGTCTGTGATGTTTTCATTTCTGATATCACGAAAGTCTTTGCATCAGCACCCATCCAGAATTCTAAATTCTCTTTGGTATCTTTTTCCATTTCTAAAGTCAAGAAAAAAGCAAAGGACCAATCAACTCTACTCTTATATGTTTACATGACTTATATGACTCACAAACCCTTCTGCTCATACTGCCCATAGTTTGTGCAAATGTGGTTAAACTTGGCAATTTCCTAATCCAGACTTACAAATAGTGCAAGTCTGCACACCCATTACCTGGCCCCCTCTCAAAAGGAATATCTGCCAGAGCTAAGACAAGTGTGTCAACCTTTAGCCTCAATCAGGCTGATGGTGGATTTTTCTGTGGTTTAGAACATTGATTGAGCTACTGAACTGACCCTTTGTCTACCCACCTGAATTAAGATGACTGACAGCACGCCGGGACCGGTTGAATTCATCAAGCCCATGTAGTAGTCGATCAGTGCCCTCCTGCAGCCACGGTTGTGGAGGTTCAGCTCCTCTGCCTGGTAGTCGTAGTTATAGTGGGCTCGGTTGTCTGTGAGGTGGAGCTGCAAGCAGGGCCGAGGGGAGGCAGGGTTACAGCAGCTGAAAGGAACGCCATCCAACAGATAACGGCGGTCCACGTTACTCCGGATGCGACTGCAGACATAAGGCAGAGAGACAGCAGTTTGACAGACACCGATGAAACAGGAGCACAGCCACATGGGTAACAGGCAACAAAAAGAGGAAAACAAAACAAAAGCTCAGCTCGGGAAAGGTAATAGAAAATACTGAAGACGCGACTTTTAGCTCAATGCAGACTCAGCGAGAAGTGAGCAGGACGTCAATGCACTGTCATCGTGTCTCAACCTCTCTGTTTACTCAGTCCCTTCCATTTGTTTCATCTTTGACCGACTTTCTTTGCGTTTTTCAACCTCCCCATCCACTGCTGTCAGTCTCTTCAAAAGCAAAGGCCAGATCTATTTTTAACACACTTCACATCATTCTTCCTCCCTCTTTGTTCGATACTTTTCGACCTTTTTGGATGTGAGATATTGTGGCGTGTCAGTCACTCAGACCTTTGCCGCTGCCTTTCCCAGGTACCTCTCACTGACTCACAGCCGCTAACGTCACATAATGTGCCATCGTTCACTCACTCTTTGACTTCCTGGGAGGTGAAATCCAGATATCTGTTGCTGACCCACTGAACCTCGAACCAGTCCTTGAAGTTGTTGTTTCCGCAACAGCGAAACTCCATCTGCAGACGATCAATGGTCTCCTTTTGGAAACAGCGGCCGGGCACGTCTGTGTCCTTGTAGAATCGGATGCCATTTCTCAGACCCTCCTAACAGAGAAGAGGAATACACAATTCAAGTGATGTTTTGGAGAGTTGTTCCTGTCTTGAGTGACAAAAATCTTACCTTTTCTGTTTATCCTCCTCAGAGGACAGACCTTTTTACAGATAATCACTGTCATTGGTGACTTTGCCCATAAGTTCTTTCTGACTTGTAAATATTCTGGGCTGTAAATAAATCAGCTGTCGAAATATTATGCAATGAAAAGCCTTGAATTTCAATGAGAGTGGGTAAAATGGTAAGATCTCCCCCCACTCCCCGTTACAAAACAGTAAATAATTGAAAAATACATGATTGTTAAAAGTTGAAAGAATGTGAATGCACAGTTTTTCTCCTGTTTTGCACACTTAAACCGCCTTTCTTTCGTGAACAAACCCCTGAGAACTCATATCTTTGTCTTACATTCACGAGCCTTGCTAGGCTCTCATTTTGGGCTTCAATTTGGACAGGCCTCTTGAATCTACCAGCACCTACTTCATTCCCTGACCTGTCAAACTAACATTCTTTATCCAGCCTTGTGATTCTCACCTTGAGGGACTCCTCCAGGCGTCCCTGCAGGGCATAGCTCAGCACCACCACTGCCAGGAGAAGAAAACACAGCAGCGCGGCCACAGCGAACCAGGCCAGTAGGAGCACTTTCCAGCGGGGGAAGCGGCTTGCATCCAGGGAGTCCTGACACACCCGACTGGCAACCCAGTTGGTACCAATGGAGGCCAGTCCCACCAACATCAAGATGTTGGGCACCACATGGATCTCTGCGTTGTCCATTACCTCAAGAACAGAAGAGCAGAGTCAAAGATAACAGCGATAAAAAAATGTCTTTAGCCAGCTGCAGGTCACTTTGTCATTTCCTCCACCCAATTTAGCAGGTAATAATCCTGCATTCAATTAGCCTCATCTCTTCTAAAATCGATCTTTGCGGTCAAGAGATTCAATTAGCGGCAAATGGGCTGGATGGAGCACCCATTTAGTAATACCATGATGGATGTCATTCATTGCCCCTGTTACAGCAAAAGTCAATTATGGACTGAGTTTATTATTGAAGCAATCTAAAAAGCCTTCCAGCTACAAAGAACCTTTGCCCTTTGTTGTTTTAAGATAGAGCCAGTTCGGCCACCTTCTGACATCTTCCTGTCGTACAACCAGCCAACCATACAACCAGCTGTGGTTCCGAACAGTTTGGATGCTAATGAGAAAAAAAATCATCCACACTTTGTAGAATGAAGATGTGTCAAGGATAACGTGCCACATTTGGCAAAATGTAATATTTGAAGTGCTTGTCCACCGGGTGCAGAGGATGATTAAGCTTGTGAATCCCTCTCCAACTTCCTTACATCATTTTATCCTTACAGCAGACATGTTCCTTTCACTTCACTCACTACAGCAATCTCTACTTCAAATGAGTGGTGCAGACTGAGGGTTAAAAAACTGGACTCAAATCTGAGATCAATAAATATTTGAAGGCGTGTGGTCATGCCCTGGAGCTTTCCTGTGGAACCGGCGGGATATCAATTCTTCCAACCTGTCCAAATCCATCAGTGATCAATGTGGTGCAGTGACTAGTTAGCTTGGACTAGAGGCCATAACCTTCACCTGCAGGCCACATTGCAGATCAATGCACACTCCATGCTGATGAATTTGTAGTGCTGATGTTGAAAAGATGCTTTTTAGTACACAAACTCAGCACACATAACTCTGGATGTTTACACATATATTGAGTATGTTCTATATCTATGGATTAAAGCCAATTTTGATTTAAAAAAAATATCTGAAGAGAGCAACTTCCTTCATCTTAGCTGAGCACTCAAAGGCAAGTCTGAGCATTTTGTTTTTAACTTTGAACAAACATCTACATTGTTAATAGTCTTCATTTGCTTTGACAATGGCATCACATTAATGACCTTGACATTACAATATTGTGCATGTTTGTGTCCATGTGAGTATATTTCTTGCTCTACCTCGGCTCTACGAAGAAGCTCTATCTTGAGGTAGACCCCCAGACAAAAGACGAAGGCCCCGCACATCACTGCCAGCCAGGACATCAGCCATAGGCCCTGGGCCAGCCGCACCCGTCTCTGCAGGTTGAACTTCATCTTCAACAGCGTCATGGCTCACTACCATGCAATGACCAGAGATAGAAAGGTAAGGTTGGATGGAGACAGTTGTGGTTGAAAATTGAGTTTATCCAGAGGCGGTGAGCGACGTGTAAAGATACAAAGATAGCAGAGCTCATAGGAGAAGTTTAAAGTGGTGCACAGGTTACACTGCTGCTGGAATGATAAGAGGTTCGTGCAGGCCTTACGCTTGTTGTTTGGTGAGTTATAAGCAGGTTGAGCTCATCTAAGTTGTTCCAGGTGGAGGGGATAAGCAGGTAGATCCCTGAGATGATAAAGGACACAGTCGACCTCAGACGATAATCCAAATTTCACTTGATTGTTGAAATTGTCCAAAAAAGACTCTCGATAATCCAAATCCGAGTGGTAACAATATCAGAAATGTTGGAAAAAATGTGATTAATGAAGGGTGGATTAAATAGTCCTTTTTTCAGGTATTTCAGGTTTTACTTCAGGTTGATGGTCTCCCTCCAGTCGTCTCTTCTTCAAATTGAAACCCCAAATTTTTTCCTGTTGATGTGATGTTGTCTTTTAATGGCGCCCCTCTGGGTCTTTGCATGTGCGGCGCCCCCCTAAACCGCTGTACCCATGGTTGGAGGACAAAGAGACTGGCCAAAGTCGAGAGTTTGGAACCGTAATCCCCCAAGAGAGTCCCTTGGATCCTATTAAAGTCCAGGGGCCAATTGGAAAGCAGGCCAGTGTCTGATCAGCAAACTTGTTCTGATAGACACATAGTATGGGCGGGCCTATGGACTAGTTTGACAGGTGGTCTTACCTGACCCTTACCAGTACAGGATGGGCCCTAGGGATAAATCATAAACCAAAAATACGCTGTTGCTGCTGAGGAAATTGTAAGAACGTCATGACATTTTGGGTGTGAGGCCAAATCTAGGACTCAGCTTCACTATGTTTTCATTTTCTGAAAAATCTAGGACTCAGCTTCACTATGTTTTCATTTTCTGAAATAGCTAAAATGTCTATTGGCAAGACAGTCAATTAAAAATAAAACATCAAGACATCTCAGCCTCTCACTAATAATAGTTAATATAATATTACATCTTTATTTTTATAACAATTTTCAGATGCGGCTTAACGTAAACACAACAACTTATTTAATGTGTTTCAATCCAATTCCCCTATGCTGCTTTATGTCAACTTCAAATCAAATCTGCTGTCATAGCTGCTTTAGCCTCACCCTAACCCAACAACCCAAGGTCATCTACAATGTAAAGATGTATGAAAAGGTTGTAACTTTCCTAATTTTTTTCAATGAATTCAGAAAAATTACTAGGTCAATGTTTAGATTAAAGTTATAAAAATCAACTGATTTGCTGATAGTTGTAATTGGAGTATACAAGCAATCCTGGAGAGCCTATTACGGGCTTGTTCGTGTGTAGTGAAAGTTGGATGGTAGTTTTTCTTAGAGGGGATTATTAATACAGTGCAAACAGGAGGGAGGTTGGTGGGGTTGGATCATAAGGATTAAAATGTTATGATAAGTATTTATGACAGCTTGAAACAGAGCTCTATTAGGTTGCAGCTAGTCTCGCTTTAGCAGCTCTCTTACTTTAATTCTATGAACTATTTAACTTTAGGCCGACTGAAAGAAGACTGTTCATGTTTGCACAATAAACACAGTTGTTTAGCGATCATGTGGCACTGTTGGAAATGGCAGTCAGACGACTCAACAATCACCCGCCAGGTTTAAAAAATGACAACAGACTTGAAGTGACTCACAGGTGAGGACCATGATAACTTTGGATGTTAGGTACATAATCAGTTTAGGTGACAAGAGGACAAGTGAATCATGAGGAGTGTCGTGGAGTGGGGTGTTAGAGGGGTTACGAAAAAGGTCTTCTCTAAGAAGATGAAATTTCATGAGATTCTTAAAGGCACCCTGCTCCGCTAGCATTTAGTGACTATTTCCAACAACGCACAGCCACAAAAGAGTGTCTGGCTGAAAAAGATCATAAACGTGTATGTCTGAGTTTAAATAGTTAATTGTGTACAGGCAATGAATGGTGATGGATGTTCCATCGCGTTCCAAAGCACCTAAGAAGGTTCTATTTTGCTACCAGGATATCTTGTTTCAAGGATTTTGCTTTGGTCAAGGCATAAAATAATTAAGAAACTCCAGTCCATGCAAACAACTGGGAGACCGCCTGACATGGCCAAGAGGTGCAAAATGATCGGAAAAAGTTCATCATGACATTCAGGTTTCTTCCAGCTGGATAAATCTGAAACGTTTGAGAGAATATGCAAAAATCTCATTGTGATCCTTGAAAAACGTTTCAGTGGACTGAGTAGAAGTAGGAAACTGTGTTCTCCGATCATTATCTTTACCGCTTATTCCCAGTGTGGTTGCAGGTAAACTGTTTTATGTAGTAGTTTTGTAAATAAAAAATTCCACCCATTAAAATTATTTTGAATAGTATGACACAACGTATTTGACTAATGTTGAGCAGATTAGAATATTAATTGTGAGAGCGGAAAACATTTAAGTTTAATCCAGCTGTTGTTGTCTTCACCTCCAAACTTATTACAAAAGTCAGTTAAGTTTCATAAAATTAGTTGCTTTCATCAAATTCGAAGAATATTTGTTTTAACAAAACATGTAGAAATTTTGAGTTTTGGCACTAAGTAATTGATCTGTCCATGATGGCTTGTGACCTTTTAAAGATATGCAAATAATTGATTTCTTCTTTCTCGTGTGTTTTGAAAAAGAAGGAAAAGTCCGTAAGACATCAAGCTTGACGTATAAGGCATGCATATGTTGGGGGTTAACAACTCCTTGAAGCTGAATAGAAGAAAACAGGAGCACAAAAGACAGAAAAGAGAAATTGAACAGATTCATTCTGTCTGTATTTGGAGTCATACAACATAATTGTCACTGCTAGTAAAAGAACTGTACAAGTACAGACACCAGTATACTGAGAAAACTCTAAAGAAACAATAGGCCTAAGAGAGCCAATACAATTAGCTAACTTGAGATTGCTTTCAATTTATTTGACATAATTACAATGCGTCACAACACCTCACGTCTTTGTTAATTGTACATTTTGGCCAACTAAGATACTTTCTAAAAAAAATAGGATCACAGTATTTGATGCATCACACAGAAACATACAGAATCCATTCATATTTACACAGGCCACAACATGCACAGAAAACTTCCAATTACATTTATTACAATGCAAAATATAACACAAAAGAGAACTTGTTGACAAATAGCACCATCTTGGTGAATCATCAGGTACCAATTTGCTCTCTGAAGTGAAATTTATTCTTCCCCAAAGCTGGAGTAGAAAAATTACACATTTTTTTCCTGAATAAGTTAGAAGGAGAATGATTTTTTCTGGATAAAATGTTTGAAAACCAACAATAAATAAATAAATTATTTGGAAATATTGGCCATGACCTTTCAAAAGAATGCTGCTTCGTGCAAACTTACAGTAAATACATTTCAATAAGACCCCACTCCTCTTTTGACACCTTGTATTTCGGAGCATTCTTTCATATTTAAGATGAACATGGTGGTCAGCAATGGAAAAAACTGAAAACCTTTGTCTAATTATGTTTCTATACCTGAATAAGGTCATTTTTTTATTATTTTTCTTTAATTAAGAGCAATAGCTGAAACAGAAGCCACATTATTAGACATATTAATAACATATAAGTGATAATAAATAATGCAATATTTTCTAAATAAACCTTTGCGGAATGTTAACTATGTTAAATGGTATTTTTCTTCTTATATTCTTTCACTGACTTGTTCTCATTGCCATTTTATCGAAGCAATTCCTGGAAAGGGGTGATCTACTTTTTGTGGAAAAAAATCAAAAAGTGAATCTCATTTGGGCAATTTTCAGGTTTCAACAATATTCATATAGAGTTTAATGTTTCTAAATCGATAACTACATAAAGGCTGCAGATAAATATTCATCAAAGAAGAGAAAAAAAACAATGAATTTCTCAGCTACGTCATCTTTAAACAGTGTTTGTAGCAGACGGATTTTCAGGAGACAGATGGATGAATACATATGTGTTTGGATTGTAATTTCAGTCTGCCACTTTGCCTGTCTGCTCTACCCCACTCGCCCACTCCTGCCCACTCTGCTGCTCCTTCCCTCCGCCTCCCTCCTTGTGTGTCTGCAGATGCTGCATGAAATCATCCAGGATCTGCTGGGCTGACATGGAGTTCACGTCCCCAGCTTCCTGCTCCAAAAGCAACACCTTTAACCCTCCCCTCCCTGCCCAGCTGTCAGCACCCACATGGGCCTGCTGAGGGTCTGGGGGGTTCTTTATATAGTTAGTGACCTGGGAAGATGACTGCTGGCTCTGGGGGTAAACAGGCTGTGGTCTGGAAGCAAAACTAGCAGCCATTTTTTTGTAGATGGCAGTGCTGATGTCATCCACAGAGAAGGGTGGGCTCTGGCTCAACTCACTGTGGCCCAAAAGACTGCCCTCGTTTTTTTTCGTTGGCACATTTTGTTTTACTGGCAGGAAGGCGGTGACCCTCTGTGAACCTGCCTCGGATTCGGTCATCCAGTCATATCCTGCTCCCTCCACTTTAGGAGGATAAGACTTGGTGGTCGGTAGAGAGGTTGTCAGAAAGGTTTGGATGGCCTCAGGTGAATCAAAGTGCTTCTCCAGGAGCTCTTTTATCAAGCATGGAACCTGAGGGAAAGAATATAAACATAAAGTACAGTTTTACATTTCAAGGTTCTCTATATTCCCTTACCCTAAAAGTCATTATTACTTATGTATATGTATATACAAATGTTTATATATATATAAATGAAATACTTGAATACTAATTACTAAGCACAAGGTAAATTACCACCAAATACTTACAGTGAATGTAATGTGATCAGTTAGATCTCTTCTATTATACCTAAAAAAAATTATGTCAGAATTCCCTATATACATGCATTGTGTATAAAAATTAATTTGACTCAATATCAGCAATTCTAGACATTATTGGATAGTGTGTGTCATGTAATGGTGCCAACCATTCTCCTGACAAGCTGACAAGCTTTTTGAATTTTCCATCCAAAAAGTTAACACCGGTCATTCAAACATTAAATATTTAAATTTAGAACCAGACAGAACTTTAACAAGCTGGAATTAGGTTCATTAGGTTATTAGGTTGGATTTGGGGGGTGTTATGACAAGATATTTGCATTTACTTATGTTTGTTTTATATACTGTTCATTCCTGCATCACCTCTGGCCACTCTCTGCCAGAAACGCTCTGTTTTGGCTCCTGTCTCTTTAATTCCCTCTTCCCGAAAGGGCCAGGCAAGGGTTGGCCTTTAAACACCTCTGAAGCCCTGTCCTCCCCCGTCAAAAGGACACCTTTTTCTATCTTGAGAAAAGACATCAAGAAATATCTTTAATTGGCAGAACTTCAGTCAAAAGTATTCACAATCTTAATCCACATAAAGGCAGACCAGAAATATCAGTTATCATGTCTGCAGATGGCCTATCGTATATTGTAACTTTGCTATTCATTTACATGCATATAAAAGGTATGTAACACTCTTGAGTGGAGGAAAATCAACTAGCAGAGGCATAATCTGAGTTCTAAAATGTTGTCGCTCCTCGCATGCATATGCTTATTAATATTACAAATTTATCTTTAGTATGCTTCCCTTTTTATGTTATAATGCTGGTATTTCTTGTATTCCTACAAAAATCTGTGAATAACGGAAATAATGACTAGTTTGTATATTGTTGCTTAATTGTGAATATATGTAATGTAAATGCAGTAATGAAGTCAACTGTGATTCTAAGTCTTTCTACATATTTATGTAGTGAAGCGCACACTTAACAGTGAGTGGGTCTGTGCCTCTGCTATTCGTCTGATTATGCGGAATACAATGCAAGGAGCCGGATAAGTTCATCAAAATTCATATTGGAATTCAGTGAAAGTGGTAAGCTCTTCCAAAAGTGACCAGGAAACTTACGGAGAAAGTCTGTTGATGCACTTGCACCCTTTTATTGACATAATGTGATCTCTCCAGTGTGTGCAGCGTGTGTATTAGCATCCACTAGATGGCAGTGTGCTCACATTAATGCTCTCAAGAGCTGCAATTGTCCTGTTGGCCTCCTCCAGCTCTGATCCCAGCTGTGACACTCGATTCATTAGGTATTTCCTTTCACTGCTCAGGCTCTCCGACTGCACGCACAACAAAAACAGAACAGAATTAATTTAATTCTGCACAAACTAAGGTTCCTCTCATTGTCACTTTGCCCATGGTTACGCAATATTATCTTACCGCTATATGCAGGTGTTCCCCCAAGATGTTATTAGTTTGCTTGGTCCCAGTGTGTGTCTGCAGAAGGCTACAAAGGAAAAATGATCAAGAGTTATGCATAATATGGTTAAATAAGATCCATCATAAAAGTTACTGAGACCCTTTTCTTTACTATACTATCTTCTGAGAGTGTCAGTAGAAGCCTTTTGTGACAAGTGGCAAAAACAAATGTTTTGAATACACAACAAGTGACATCCAACACATGCCCAAACTGAAGAGGCCATTCAGTCCAGTTGCTCCAGTCTGGTGAGGAATGTTTGGTATGAGCCTGTTGGGCAGCAGCAGTTGTTTGGTGTTAAATTCAGCCCTGAGCAGGTCAGGGGGTGGGGGATGGAAAGTCTCCCAGTCTCTGTTTTTTAACATCACTGCACCACAACTACTGACTAACACTACTAATTCTGAGTGTCACGTGGAGTAGTTAATCTTTTGCAAAAAATTTTTTTTTAATCAAGTCCAGAGGCTGACCCAATAGATTTTAAGCAGATGTAGACATGCTGAAATGGCTCCTTCTCATTTTGGGATGTACTGTCATCTAGATCAAAATATATAAGACTTTCTGCTAACTGTACTGCACTGCAGAGACAGGCACTCAAAACCTGTCATGCAATGAAAAAACGACAAATTACAGTAAAAAAATTAAACAAATACATTATATAATTAAAATAGTGTATAAGATATGCTGAATGTAAAAGTAAAAGCTGGCTCTTTTTGGATTAAGCTATACTCCTAAAATAAGTGTACTGTGGGAGTCAGCAGTTTCCTGCTGAAATATGCTAAAACCTTCTTGAAAAAGAAAAACATAATCTGGATTCATTTCTTCTCTAGTCTCTAGTCACCTTTTGTACTTCTCTTTAACATGACAGAGCTCGTCCCTGGTCCTCTGCAACTCCGCCTCCAGGCTTTCGATACAAACCACGGTCTGCAGCAAGTTCTGGTGAAGATCTGCGTTTTCCTCCTGCAGAGCCCTGAACACAGAGGGATGACAGGCGTCACAATATCCACCAAATCATTTTCCCCCAGTAGTATTTGCTAGCTTTCACTTTTAACTAAAAAAATACAACACATTTGAATCGCATTAGTTTTCATCAAACCCATAAACCACTGCTTTTGCTGCATTGACTTTTTAAAAATAATAATAAGTAAAACATAACATGGACAGGTTAATTCTGAGAAGAAACAAGGTCAGTATGAAGTCCATATGCTTTGCTGCCACAAAGTTGAAAACTTCCCTGAGACTCAGGGGGCTGAAAAGTAACCTCAGTTGTTGCCCACTTGAAATAAATGTACCAGTAATAAATTCTATATTACCAACAAAGAAACGCTTAACTTTTTAAGGGCAACAATGAAAACACTATCAACATACATGCTGAGCTATTTTTGATGCGACAAATACTGCTATTATAAAGAACTTGCTAATGGTTAAACAAGGTGACTTTCCCTGACACGTGTGGGCATTACTGACAACACAGGGATGGTTATATAAATGACTCCGCAACAGCTCTTCCTATTTAAATGGAAGAGGAAGTAGGGAGAAGGCCCATTAGTGGAATCAATAATCCACTGACCCATCACATGAAAGAAATGTCTGCAATTTTTTTATTTAAGCAAGAAGATAACATATAAAAGGCACTTACTGAAGGTGATCGGTGTCGAACACCATGTCCTGGAATAAGAACAAAACAAAGTTATGAAGATATCTGATAAGTGACTGTACTTTTGACACAAAGAAGTACTAACCTACCATGATGTGGGAACAAATGGTACCCTAAGCAAAGTAACTGCTGCATCATTTGAATTTCAGTGCATTGGCAGGGATTCAAAGTAATCAGAAAACATGTCCCTGCTTAAATACAATGTGCCCTGGAGACTTTTGATTATGTGAACTGGAGCTTTTCCACTCAGTCTTTTATGAAAGAGGCAAGTCTAAGGAACATTCAGTTTAAGGCAAGGCTTACATGTTCACATGAAGTGCTCTAAAAATGAAGATTTAAAGAGAAAGAAAGAGGGCAATTCTCCATTCAATCTGCATCCTGTGATCCCAGAAGAGGCCACAACCCCATTATTAAGTACATGGTAGATTCAATAAAGTATTGAATTGTGGCAGACCTGTATCCAGAATCTCCAGGGATCAATTTGTTCAGTGAGGCTAAAACATTGCTAGGATTTTCCCTTTTGCACTTGTGCTGCTTCATATGATGCACGTGTGAGCTTACAGCACCCAGCAGACCAAGTGGAAAACTAAATGTTCCCCAATGTGTGTTTTGGGGTGTAAATCATTATGAGCCAGAACACATTCTTACATAAGAGCAACCTGATAATAGCTCTTGGGCTGCGCACGGTGATATTTTGCTCAGTGCTACTTCCAAGTGCAGGGTTTGCTGTAGTTTTGGTCTGAATGCACAGTCAGTTTAAAGAACAAAGAGGGTAAAGCCCCAAAAATTTACACAACAGGATAGATACGTCACGTAGTTTCAAAGGAAAATTACCCGAAAAGCACAGTACAGTCATCTGCTGCATTGCCGAACAATGACTCAGCCTGCAGTGCGGAGAGTTTGACACATCCCACACAGATCTGTGACTCGGCTATGCCGCCTCTGTAAGAGAGGAGCAACACTGCTGTGATCATCCTACTTTTTCTATATAAGGATCTTATGTCCTCATGAACCAAATCAGTGACTTCAACTACTTTGACAGCTATGACAAAAGGTTTACTGGTGATTATTTTGCTTGTTGTTTCGTAGTCAACAGGCTGTAATGTGATGTATCGTAGACATATATTTCATACATAGTATTCTAATAAAATCTCTCAAAGAATGCTTTTCGGGCTATGTTCCAAATAGACCCCAGTTAGTTGTTTGAGGCATTGCCTACAGTAAAGACAGAATTACTTCTGTATTGAGCGTTAAAGGGTCATATATGACGGGCTATTTTTTCAAATAAAGAAGAACTCCAGCTTTCCCCTTTATTAAACCAAAATAACTTCTTTCGTTGTGGTAGTTTTTAAAAATTTCTTTCCTGGAATCTTGCTTCCCCATTTCATGTAGCTGGTTTCTATCAAGGAGAGCACATATGGACAACTAATAAAAATTAACTCACTCTGTGCTGTTTGGAGTGCCCCATGTGCTGTGACTGGTGTCGCCCACTCTGCTCTGAGCTCTGACTGGTAGCTGTGGAGCCTGTGTCTCTGGCCCTCGACGAGTCCGATTTTATGGAGGAAGATTCCGATCCAAAACCTGGTCCTGCGCCCTGGACTGAGGAAGGAGGAGAGTTGTTTGGCCTTCGCTGGTCAGACTCCTGGTGCATCTGTTGAGGGAAGTGCTGGGGATGAGGATGTTGCTTGTGGACCTGCTGTTTTCGATGGTGCCGCTTTTTGGGGTGGCTGGGTTCAGGACTGGTGCTGGTTCCATCTGTTAAAAGGGGGCCATATCTGCTGTATCGCTCGCCAGGCAGTGAGCCCCCAGTAGGCGAAGACATCCTATCTCTTTGGCTTAGGCTTCCAGGGTGAGGATGCTGAGATGGTGGTGGGCTACCTTGATGGGTCCTAGCTGAATATGAGATCAGTTTCTCAGGGTTAGAGGAGTCTGACTGTTTTCTAGAGCTGTTGCAAGCTTTCACCGGTCTGCCGGCCTGCTTTGGAGGTTGTGCTGTTTCACCTTCTGTGGCCCTTCTGTGCTTCTTGGGTGGAAGCTGGGGCTTGACAGGTCCAGATGTAGGAGCATGGGCAGACATCTTTTCTGTAGTTTTGTCACAATTCACTCCAAAGGTGTTCAGATCTGACGGACTCATAACCTGTTTGGTGATCTCGTCTAGAAAAGCTGAAAACTGCAACTTTCCCTCCACAAAATTTGCCCTAGCTTGCTCTATCTCAACTTGAGTGACCCCTTTTCCCTTTTGCCCACTCTGTCCTTCGCCTTTAGTGACTCTGGGGGATATCACTTCCATCGACTTTGCCTTGCGTATATCATTATGATGCTCTTTCTTTTTGAGTATCCCTTTGCTGGGTAACTGGGTGGAAGAAACTGCCCTCTTAGGACCCCTGGGCACCCCTAAAACAATGTTTTCCTCACTGAAAGCCAAACTTCGGTTCAAACTTGTTGTTTTATACAAAGGCCCATAGTTTATGTGTGATACTTTGGATTCTTTTCCTGCAACATCCCCTTCATTGCACTGTAGGAAGCCTTCATCACTCCGACTGTGGCCTCGGTTAAGGGCAGCGAAACCATGCCTTCTGCTCCTTTGTGTGTCATCATGTAAGCAGCTACCAACATTGCCTGTCGGGTCATGTTCTACCGTAGCAAACACAATGGGACCCCTGCTGTCATCCTCCCTCAAATTTCTTTGCACATCTGAGATGTTTGAACAGGACAGGGAATGCTGGGGCCGCTCCACATGTTGAAGAGAGATAGTATCATTTCCACTTGTCTCTGTGTACCAGGAGGAGTAGGATGAGGAGGAAGAGCTGGAGGAGAGGGAAGAGGAAGAAGAAGCCCTGGAAAGAGTAACCGAGGTGTAGTGGTTGTAAAGTTTTCCGTTGTCTTCACCTTGGTGAAACTGATGAGGATGGTGCTCATCGTGATGACCACTGTCATGGAGATAATGACTTTGCCTGTGGTGGCGATGGTGACCTTGGCTGTCGTCTGTGTTTCTGCCATTGTTGTCAATCTTTGCGTACCTTCATCAAATGAATTAATTGTGAATATGTGAATGTTCACACAAACAGCTTGAAATCATTTATAGTACTCACATTTTAAAGAATTGCATTTGCTTTTTTAATCCTAAAGCTGCAGATCACAAAACACTTTTCACTCTCTCTCTGATGGAATGAAGCCAGCCTACCTGTGCAAATGTTGGTCTTGGTGTTGTTGAAAACGATGATGATGATGGTTCTTCTGAAGTTTTATCTCATCCGTTGCAGAGGGGCTGTGAACAGGCTTAAAAAACTTCTCCATGACCTGTCTCTTTCCTGATTCCAAGGCTTTCGATGGAGTTGTGCACAGATGTAGTATGAGTAGAGATCGCTGACAGTAACCTGTTGTTGGCTTTTAAGCTCTATATATTTCCTACTGCTTTCTTCTATTCAACTAATGCTTGGTTGAGGATGTCACCGCCAAAAACAGTTACACAGAAATTTTAAGCTATTCTGTTTGGAAAAACAGATACGGCATTGGACGAGTTCGTGAGAAAATACAATATCTAATCTGTTTAAGGAATTAAAATCTTAATGTTCAAATAGTATCTCTAGAAAGTACTCAAAATTATTTGATCATCATTATTTTCTAAAGTATTTAGCTGTTGGACTTTGGACATGCATCTACCCATGTGAAGCTCAAAAGCAGAAATGTATGATTCCCAGTGTGCAGCTTGATTTTGCATCATGCCTGACGTAACAGCTAAGAAGTCATCGAACCAGCTGAAAGAGCAAAAGCATTGTCCTCATACAGGGGACTATTGAACCAAGCCCCAGGGAACAGGATCCATACCAGTCATTGTAAAACCTTTTTTTTTAAAGACACTGATAAACAATGCAGTTTAAGGTACATGTGTGGCCTTATGTTTAATTTCTTCTTTCTTCTAGTAATCATTTTCAGCTACTTGAGTTAATTTTGACTGAAAAAAACCCTATGAGCATTAAATTAAACTATTGAACTGCCCTCTGTTCTCATTGATTTTCTAAGACTTTCTGCAACAGTGGAGCTGAGGTCTGCATAATTGCATTCACAAGCAACATGAGTTTTTCCTCCCATCTACAATGAAAAGCTAATCTCTGCAATCAGTAGCCTACCTCAAATTAATAAAATGAGTATATATTTTATTTATCACATATATACTTTGGTGCATTAGGCCAGTAGTTTCCTTTGGCCCAAGATTTTAACACAATCTACTTGGCTACCTTCAGTAAACACTTCCATAGATAGCATTGTCAAGGTTTTGGAACCAAACTGTTATCAAGTAGGACTGTGTTTTGCAAGTCTAGAAACCCCTCCCCCAACACATTTATCCTCTTTTTGTTTTGTTCTGAGTGATTAGGTGCAAATAAGGAGAGACTATTGGACAATGATAAAAGCACACTAGGCATTGCATGGCTTGATTATCATAACAAATAAAGCTATCTTTCCTGAGTATGTGTGACTCTGACTGCATCTTGTTGGGCAATGACAGTGATCGATACATTGGTGTTGGAATGGGGCTGAAACTCAGCCAGAGGACATATCCTAACCATCAAAATGCTGTTGATCAATGGTCAGCCACTATATTACAATTGGTTGCATAAGGGATGTTGCCCAGACTTGTTTTAGTTATTCTTATCAAACATGTGGTTGACAACTAGAAAGGGAGGGCAAGGTTTTAGCATGGGAAGAAACGTGACTCACAGCACGTACTCTCAGTGCACCCCCTGCTGGTTACCAACCGTAAATTCAGACCTGGCCTAGTAATTTTCCACCATGTCACAGAAACATAGTCTGGCACTGGATGTTTCTAGATATTTCTAGTCTTTTCTAATATAAGTTTCAATGAGCACCAAAACGGTATAAATGTACCTATTGAATCAAACACTAACTTGGTAAGAAACCTAATATTAGAGATCTGAAAACAGCTTCAGACAGGTCACAAATTACCAGAAAGAGTCATGCTTGCACAGCTGTAGAATTCGATTAAGACAGAGGCAACTTCAATGACAATCCACCCAAGTTAAACTGGATGGGTTGGCTGTTTCTTTTGTTCTTTAATCACAAACTGCATATCACTGCAGTAAAAGGAAAGTAGAAAATTCCAGTTTGATCCGGTTTGCGAGGGCGTGTAACACAAGCAAAGATTAATCCGCGCATCGCTTGCTGTGACGTCAGCTTTTTTGAACGTTATACATTTTGTTCAAATACATGTTTATATAGGAAAATGGCATTTGATGTCTAATTTATTTACGCATAATTATTCGGTGGTTTTCTTGGCTTTGCAATAAGGAGAAAATATCTTCAAAACTGCATTGCTCTCCCTCTTTGTTTGTGTTCTGTATTTGAATACATACGAGCCTGAGTGTATCACTGCTATTATAGGCTTATATGCCTACATATTATAGGCCTGCTTTATTTATCTCTTTCAAAATGTTAGTCTTGTTTTGAGTCCGATTCGATAGAATTGTAAGCTTTCACCTAGCTTAAAACAGGGTCTAACTTCTTGTCGGATGGATATCTGTAGTGCCAATAGCCCCATCACCAAATAGTATAAATACCGAGGACGCCATTTCGTCGCTCACTGCATCCACACGATTTCTACAGGCGGGTGAACGGGCCAGAGACAGGAAAAGCAGGTTTACTTTTCGTTGTATTGTCGGAGGAACTTAAATAGATATGAAGAATGGTCTATTCGATGTTATTAGTTTACTATTTTAATGTGTTGAATCTTGGATTCATTTTTGTCGAACTTTAGGCCCTGCCTGTATTGAAACGGCTTCAGTTTCTAGATGCAGTTTAATTTTTTTTAATTTTTTTTATCTTAACCTTTTTCTTTTATCATCACGAATCAGCTACTAAGTTTGAAATTAAGAGAAGAGCAGTTTTTGTGTTTTTGATTTCTAGTGAGGCCAACGCCATGTTAATCGTTTTTATCTTCTTCGCAACATAGAATAACTAACGGTTGCCTGCCCATGATTTTGGGAAGATTTATGACAGATAAAAGTTCTATTTTAGCGTATATGTCTTGTAACGTAAATGTATCAACCTATTGGTTAAACATGGGTGCCGTGACGTAAAACGAACATCTCTCCGCTATTGGTTGAATCGAAAAATGCCGTCGTGACGTCCTAGGCAAAACAAAGGGAGTGGTCTGGCTTTTACGATGCCCCACCCATAATGATCGCGTGTCCCTAGAAAAAATGACCTTTTGATATGGCTGAATAGCTTTAGGAAAAAGGGAAATGATCAAGTTAACCGTGGTCATGGTGATCGAAACAGTAATGAGTTGCGTAACCGGACTAAAGTAGAACAGGGACATGGTTGTACGCGAAGAAACTCAACCCAGACTATCAAGCGGCGTAAAGTGACATTAAAAAGAATGTAGGTGCGAAAATATTAGCCTTATTTTAGGACTAATGTAAACCACGAAGTCTTTATACTACATACTTATTGTGTCTTTCTTTTTTTTTTTAATCTTGGCAATTTTCTTTCGGTATTGGAAGTTAGGGGAAACTACCGTTTTTTTGTTTTTTTTTTGTCGTTTTCGAACACATCAGCTTTTACCCACTTACAAGTTGAATGATTAGGCAGTTCCCTAGAGCCTTTTTTTCTCACTTTTTTTGGTTTGGTTTAAAGAAGACAGAAGATTTTTTTTCTTGGAAAATGGACTGAGTTGTCAAGGGATGAATGGACTTAGTTATTGTGAGGAAGAATGGACTTAGTTATTAGATGAAGATCGCGAGACCAGCGTGGGACACGGGGCGAGGACCAGTGACGCCAGGCAGGGAAGGACCAGAGGGCGAGGGAGGAGCAGATTGGAGCCAGGCAGGACAGGACCAAAAAGGGGCAGGATGCAGCAGGCGCTGTCGGCGAGCCAGTCACAGGGCGGGATGCAGCAGCAGGCGCTGTCCACCAGAGGGAGCCAGTCACAGGGCGGGATGCAGCAGGCGCTGGCCACCAGAGGGAGCCAGTCACAGGGCGGGATGCAGCAGGCGCTGGCCACCAGAGGGAGCCAGTCACAGGGCAGTGTAGCAGAGGCCAACGCTGAAGTGGTTCCAGAGAGCCAGCCGATGCTGAGGGTGGGACGGGTGCAAAGTCTTCTAGCATCGCACGTTTAAAGCGGGTCCTTGGTTTGTATGTTGGGTAGAGGTATCTGTAATCGTAGGCCTTTAGTCTTTTTTTCACCTTCAGAATCAACTGTTGTGAAACAAAATGTCTCGCACAGCTCTCTCTTCCTCTTTTCAGGCAAGCCGTGTAACGCGTTTTGTACCATGGTCCCCTCCTCTTGTGTGCTGACATGTTGTGGTGGTGTCCTTTCGTGAATGCCTTGGTAGTGTGCTGACGAGAAGAACTTCTTAATTGGACTTCTACCCTCCGCGATAAGAAGTAGTTCCCCATCTGGAAGGAGGCGGCCCCTTTTGTTGTTCAATAGGTCTTCCCCAGGGAGGCATGCAGCGTTGGCGTGTGAGAGTGGATGATCTTCTGTGCTGCCATATGACGTAAAAATTCAGCGACCCTTCAGTTCAGCTACCCCCCCATTGGTACAATTCAGCTACATCTGCCTCTTAACCCAAGCAGTGAGTTCATGCATGAAGTGTACATATGGGTGTAACGATCCTGTACATTAGCTCATCTTGGTTTTCCTGTATGGTGTATGTAGTAGTATTTGCAGTCAAACCTACTTCTGAAATAGTGGCTCACTTTGGTTGGTAAAGATTGCTGGGTTGAGGTGGGAGGGGGGTGGGGATTTAAAACATGTCTGGAGTTTCTCTTTTCACAGGCATGCCCCCTCTAAAGCTGATCATGGAAAGAAACCCTGTGCTAGCCACTCGAAACAAGTTGAGCCATCTTTCGTACTGTAGTGCTATGGATCTGGATCATTTTCCACTGGGTTGACAAGTTGTAGGAAGGTATTGAAGAAGAAAAAAAAGAAATTATTCCTTCAACCATTACATCAAACTTGTTTATTCAAATGGGGATTTAATGTAATTTGAGGGGTTTGGTGGGAGGGTGGGTTGTGGGGCTTTAACCAGTCTTTTCCTAGACTTTACAGCTCCACATTGCCCAATGTCAAATGGCTTGAATAGGAAACAACCAGGCCCACCTGCAAGCGTCAAGTGGACACTTTGCCATGCTGGCAACTTCAAAACTAGTCTGCCGGTGTAAAGTCTCTTGCTTCAGGGAGTGCGGTAACACGTCTCTTTACTAGAAGTCATTTTAATTGTGTACGAAATCAAGATGCCTTTTTGGGTGGGGTTTTGTATCTTTGACTCTTGCAGATTTAATGTAAGGCCCACATGTCAAATCTACACGTCTACGTCTGTTGCGGAAGGATTCCCCATTCTCAGGCCTGTCATTTCAATGCTTCTTCTGGAAACTGGCTTCCGTCATTCCAATTCGAGTTATAGCCCTTCACTTTTGAATGCAGTTCACAATTGAGCGCTGTGACAGTAGTAAGTTTAGTACTATTGTGCTGCTTCATTGTATTGGGAAGGGTATTGTGGGGAGAGGCTTTTTCCTTTGCATTTTTCAGTGTGCTGTGTCCTGTGCGCTTTCCAATTCCAAGACCATCAGGAACTTCCTAACTCATTGTATGTACAAGTTCCCTTGCGCATCGAGCTTCACGTAAGGTCACTAAATGTGTTTTTACCTCAACATTTATTGTTTGGCAAGATGCCTCCATTGCTATTCCTTTGCAATTAGTTACTGTGCCTTGTATTGAAAATACAATGAGAGAACTATCTGTAAAGGATTTTACTGTTGCATAATAAATGCATAGCTTGTTGTGATTGAATACAGTTTTGGTATGCATTTGTTCTTTTTGGGGCTTGTATGGGGGGAGCTTTTCTTGTGCTTTTTCAGGTGTGACTAAAGCTTGGAGTATTGTAGAGCACGGATGTGACCTGGGCTCAAATGACTTCCCTTTCAAAGTGGAAATTTAAGGCAGATAAGTTGCATCCATCAAATATTGATGTTGGAAAGATGAACAGCTTCAGCCCTTCATGGGACACTTGCATTTTTTATGGATTTGAGTGTTCAGATGATTATTCTAGAAATGAAAGCTACTTCCTATTTATTACCAAAGTACCACGGTAGTGGGTCTTGACCATGGGAAGATTTGATGGAGCTTCATTGAATTTGCCATTATCTGCAGTAAAGCATTTTGGTAAGGATAACTACAGTCAGTTCTACGATACTGTGGGGAGGGGCGCAGGGTGTCTTCTTTTCTGCCTCTTTAATCTTACAGAACAGACCAAAGGAAGAATGCTGTCTGCCTAGGACAACACAGGAACCTTCTTGCCCTTTGAACGCCACCAACTTGCAGTTCGAACAAAATGGGTCAGGTTGGGAGTCTCTGTTTTAGAAAGGACCAGTTAGCCCTCAGCTGCTTGCCCTTGTGCAACTGTACAAGTGGCAGTTTGGTCACGTCTTAATAAAATTCGGAAGTGCGCAACTGTGCACGCTTTTTCAAATTGAATCAGCTGAGGAAAGCTGCGCATGGTGCGGCTTAGATTCGGCCTCCTGTGCAACGCAACTGTGTTTAGTACATTGGGTTTGGCCGGGCGTGTCCCTACACTTCTCTTCACAGAAATCACAGTACAAGAATGGTTCACGCACGAGTGAAGTCCTCTAACCTGGAGCATGTAGTAAGACTTTGGCTTATCTTAAACATGACTTAAAAATGACATCTTGGAACTGGCTTTATGTTAACCTCAAATCATCAGTAACAATGCTTTACTAGCATATTCCTCTTTGGCCCTGGGGCCCTATTGCTTTGCATCTTAAGACCTCAAGATGAGTAGAACTTGAATCTTTGAGTATTGTGTGGTTGGGTGTGTTGTGTAGATCACTCTTTGTTTCAGATCATTCTCGTCTGTCCACTCCCGATCTCGCCTGCCTCTGAATGCAAAGCCATCTGTGGAAGCTGTCGGCGAATATCAGTGTTAACCCCTGAATGAAGTACCAATTCCCCCCCTGTGCGCTTGAGCTTATATCTTGACCCCCTCCGCCCCCCCCCCTGGTGTCCCTCGCAGAAGCCCGGCTGTCTTTGTGTTTGTGTGCCTTCTTCTTTTCCCTTTGGTTTCTCAGGTCAAATTGCCAAAATTTAGTCATCTTGGATGGCCATAACCTGTGGAACACTGAGAATCCTGTCATTTTAAGATCAAGAGCTGCAAGCTTGTTTCTAATACTGCATCACTTCAGTCTCGTGGGTTCCAAGTTAAGTAATTTCGGTTCCCTTGATTTTATTTTTCCTTAACATATCATGGCTTTGATGTAACTCTACATATTGCATGCATCTCGGCTCTGCATAACATTTTATTTGCATTATGCAACATAATCATGAAATCGTTGTCAAACATTGCTGTAGTGTATGGTCCGGGGTCTCTTGTTTCCCCCTCTTGTGGGTGGGTGGGAGGGCAAAACTCTTCTCTCTCTCCCTTTCAGATTTCTCATTGAACATAACTTGCTACTGAGCCAGGCAGCTTGCACATCTGCAGTGTCATCTCAGTGGGATGCATCTAGTCTTTGATACGTTGGAAGAATTAAGTGTCTCTGAGGAAGAGTAGCCGTGGTAAATGTTCAACAATGGCTGCGGTAAACGCTAAACTATCCTGAAACATTTCGTGTCTTTGGTGTAGCACGGGGTTCTTGTTCGGGAGCGGGTGGGCTGGGGCGGTTAAAATTGTCTTGTCTCTTTTTTTCCCCCATTACAGCTGTAGCTTAGCAAGAACACCTTCACTGTTCACCTTCAAGTCCTGCCGCCTTGCAATGGGAAACCGCTTTGCGTATCACCAGGGACGCTGGTATCGTGGCTTTGTTTACAGATAAAGCAGGATTCAGTCGTACACCTCTTCAATGTCCCTGTGGGGAAATGCTGGGGAACGGGGAAACGGTTTTCTGTCTTCTAGTTTCAGCCTCGCGATCAGGAGAAATCCCCATATGGTGACAGGAAAATGTAGCAGCCAGGTGTTGAGGGGTTTTCTTTTCCTGGGGGAACAAACTTTGTTCCCTCAGGTTTTGCTTTTGCCCATTACAGCAATAACAAAAAAGCAAAAGACTCCGGTGGTGGCACTCCAGACTTTGTCTGGATGGGGTTCAATTCCCTGCGGTGTCTTGCTTTTGTGCTCAGTGGGCTGTAAAAACCGACAGTAAATGATCAGTAACTGTTTCAGGGTCATGCAAACTTGATAAAGAGCTTTAGGAAGTTCAGTAATGTTGCCTCAAATGATCAATAAAAGATTTATAAACTCTTCAATGTGTCTGCTGCATTCATTATTTTAGGAATATGTTTGAGGCTTAACTCTGAAATGTGTTTCAACAAGGTGAACCCAAACTTCATTAAAGCTGAATAAAGCAATCTGCATTAAATTATAGTCTCAGGGCCAGGGACCACAGCAGCTGTCCACAATAAGTCAGACTTGGCACCTAATTATTTTAAATGTGGAGATGACATGCCACTAAGGTATTGGTTCAGCAAAAATATCTTTAAATTGCATTCTTTTGGTACCTGAGTGTACAGGTCACTAATTTTCTTTCTTTATGAAAGCAACTTCAGATGTGCCATGATTCAAGAACTATCCCTGAAGACTCCTTAAAGGAATCCTGAAACGCATTGAGTTGATGAATGAACATTAAAATAAATTCTGACTTGGAGCTCATTTGAATAGTAGAAACCAGTTAAATGTACTGTATTCTCATTCATGTTGCATTTTCATCAAATCAATGCTCTGCTCCTTGATTTCATGTTAGTTCATGGTCAATTTCAGATTTTACTTTGTAAGTTTTTACAATAAATGCAATATATGTATCTATTTTGTAATAGTGACGTCACACACACTATGTACAGTTTACTTCCAAAACAGCAGTGCTACAAACTCTGAGAAGGCAATATGAATAAAAACTCTAATATCCATTCATTTGTTATATCATCTAGTATGTTTACATGTAACAATAAATATGATACACATTTACATTGAAACACAAGCTTTAACAAAGGTAAAGGGGGGGCATTGAACCTCATATCTGGTTTGATAAAAAAACAAACATTTTTTTTTCATAAATATTAGTGCATGATATGCATTACATCACGGCCTTCAGAATTGATTGCACACTCCTGATTATTAATGATTAAATGACATGAACTTCCATGAGACATCTATTATATTGTGTTATCTTGTAAATTCTATTATCTTTTACCCGACAATTTAGTGATTTATTTTCTCAATCAGATCTGTTTAAAACGTCTTCAAATCATGACTTGAACTGGCTTGTGGAACTAATGTTCCCAGCCATGGTTCTGGGGGAGCAGTTTTCAGCCCGTGCCATTTAGTTGTGCCCAGCCATATTTAGGCTCTTCCAGGCAGTGTAGTTGTGTTTGTTAGATGAGGTGTGGAGGTTAGAGGAAATGTGGTCCTTTTTTGCCAGGGATCCTGTCAAAGACTTTTCTTATGAAATTCTCCCCGACAGCCCAGAAAAGAGTGGAATATGGACTCTTCATCGGGGGAAAAGAAAGGTAAAAGCGACCGACTGCCACTCAGCCTCCCGGTAACGGTTAGCGTTAGCTCGTTTGTTTAGAGAGGCCTGTCAGCGAACTGGCAAATATCACACCGTGAATTGACTGATAGGTTAGGCGTCAGACACAAACCTGTCTTTTTCTGGTGTTTTCCAGCCCACTGCACACCAGTGCCAGTTGTATTTTCAGGCCTGCCCGTGTCGTGTCAGTGCTTGTGTGTATTTGCTCAATTAGACAGACGCATTTCTCGCCACGTCACCCCGTCTTCGGCGAGTTATAATCACCTTATTTTAATAGGATATGTGCTTATGCTCTTGTCACGTTTATAAAGGATGTGTTCCACATTACTGACAATAACAAAGCACAGTGTAGCACACAGTGGTGATTATTGTGGCTGAATCTGAAAGTAACCTGGGACTGTCATCATCAACACCGACTTCCTGCCCTCATCTTTCTCCGTCAGCTCTTTCGTAATTAAGTAGGGGTTTGCTTTCTTTTTTGTTGGTTTGTTTTTTTTGGCTAACCGTGACGCATAATGTGCCGTCAGACCACCGGAGAGCCAGTGTCCGTGTTCGTGTACGAGATGGCTCAGGGGACGGAGCAGCAGACGCAGCTGGCCAAGGCTGCTTTCAAGAGGATGAAGACCCTCCGCCACCCCAACATCCTGGCCTATGTGGATGGGCTGGAGGTATGCATCCCCTTCAGTCCGAATGAGTGTTCTGTATTTAATGGAGTTACACACACAACTTCAGCTCAACATCTCATTCTTTTCTGAGGACCCGTGTGCCTTTTGTTTCATGTTCAGCTGTGTATTATTTACTCTTTTTTTTGTTGTTGCATGCTTATGTTCAGAGAGAGGTGAGTGGGAACAGATTCATGTCATCTGTCAGTAGTGTAGCAGTGGTTAGTTTTGTTCACAGAGGGAAACCTTTGTTGAAAGTAAAGCCTGTGGCTGAGTGATAGTGTGAAGTTCTTTGTGTATCCACAAGCTTGGGGGGAAAAAATGTGATGAATGTGTTTGTGTGCCTCTCTGACTCCTCCAGCTATGTACCTGAATTGATAATAGTTACAGGTTTCAGTAGCAACTGAACATTTGTACAACAAACTGCCTTCCTGTTTTCACTCCTTTGAAACAAGTTGTATTTATTATACAATGATAACAGTGCTATTACTTTGTATTACGATTATTGCCACATTAAAACCTGTTGCTTTATGAATCGTGCATTTATTTATTTTGCTCTATTAAGAGCTTCACTAGAATTGATTATGTGAATTTATTTTATTTTTTTACCGGATCCAATTCCATACTTGCTCATAACAGCTAATGATTAGGCAGCAAGTTGGAAGCCACTTTTTTTTTTAATGCCATTGTATACTTTGTGGGAGGCTGGTATGTGCTTAATTTGCTTTAGCTGAGAAAGGCGTGGTAATAATTTTTTACGGACAATGATATCTTTTGATACAAATGAGCTTGACTTAAATATTTGAAAACAATGACGCAACCACAAATATTCTTCTTTAATATTTAATTGGTGGCTCTCTAGTTTCCGCATCATGTTAATGTCTTGTACAATAAAATGTTTTATGTTCATTTTAATTGGTACACTAAATATGACTATATTAGTCCAGTGTTGAAGTCTCTGCACTTGCCTTCTGCTGCTCAGAGAATAGACTTAAAAACAGCTACTGCTTGTGTACAAGTCTCTTCTTGGTCTTGCTCCAAAGTGCACCTTTGTCATGTTGGAGCTTTATGAACCAGTTCGGGCTCTGAGAACCTCAGGTACTGGTCACCTGTTGGTGCCCCGAGTCAGGACCAAACAAGGAGAGGCTGCATTTCAGTCTTATGCTCTGAAACCGTCTTTCTGAAAAAGAGACACAAGACTTAACTTGACAATGTCTTCGTCCAGGCTTTAAACAGTTATATTTAGCTGTGGATATGCCAACCAAAGGTATTTTGTCTGGACTGTTCGTTAATTTATTACAATGATTGCATTTTTTATGAAGTAAAGCTCTTTGAATTGGCTTGTATAAGAACTGTGCTTGACGGATAAACTCGCCTTGCCCGATTCTCCTGCTTATTCCAGACGGATAAGAGCCTTTACCTGGTAACTGAGCAGGTGACGCCTCTGGCAGTCCACCTGAAGGCACAGGCGGACAAGGGCGGTGCTGGGGAACTGGAGGTGTCGTGGGGACTGCACCAGATAGTGGTAAGGTATTTTCCGGTGAGGCTGTTTCGGCTGGTTGTTCTTCAGATGCCGTCTCCAACTGCCCTGTGCTGCCTGTGTCCCATCACAGAAAGCTGTCAGCTTTCTGGTCAACGACTGCCACCTGCTTCACAACAACTTGGGCATGTGGGCTGTGTTTGTGGACCGCGCCGGGGAGTGGAAGCTGGGCGCCCTCGATCATGTGGCCCCCGAGCAGGGTGATCCCAGCGGGGTCTCTCTACCCACCCCGAAAGCTGTTTACCCCGACATGGAGAAATATGACCCACCAGAGATCCCCAACAGCAGTGGAGAGAAATGGTGATGCTGGAGAAAAAAATAAAATAATTCTTCTTCTTTTTTTTCTGTGGGAGTATTTTTTTTTTTACGTGCTGATATTTGTTTGTTGCAGGGCAGGGGAGGTGTGGCGTCTAGGCTGCCTCATCTGGGAGGTGTTCAATGGGCCGCTACCTCGCACCTCCTCCCTCCGCTCACTGGGAAAGGTATCTGGACAGTGTCTATGTGGAACCACCAAGTTTTTTTGTCACCGTTTTCATGGCTTATTTTCCACATGCCAATTAATTGAAATAACAGTTTTTTGTAGTTTTGATGATATGATTAAATTGTTGATATGTTGTTGTTTTTTCTTTTTTGTTATTTTATTGTATGAAATTGAGTTTTTGTATGCACAAAAAAAAAAGGTCAGAGTTGTCACATTTCTTTTGCTTTTTGTTTCCACAGATTCCCAAGTTACTGGTCCCCCACTACTGTGAGCTGGTTGGGGCCAATCCACGGGCTCGGCCGAACCCAGCCCGCTTTCTCCAAAAATGCAGAGAACCTGGAGGATTCCTCAGCAACAGCTTCGTGGAGAGCAACCTTTTCCTTGAAGAGATCCAGGTTCATGATCTCACAAATAGTTTGTGTTTGACTCGTTTGTAGGTTTCCAGAGCAGCAGAACACTCGTTTGTTATCTCTCTGATCTCCGCTTTGTAGATCAAGGAGCCAGCTGAGAAGCAGCAGTTCTTCCAGGATCTGAGTGACAACCTGGATTCATTCCCTGAAGACTTCTGCAAACACAAGGTCCTTCCTCAGCTGCTCACTGCTTTTGAGTTTGGCAACGCAGGCGCCGTCGTCCTCACACCGCTCTTCAAGGTTAATCTTCAGTTCTTGGCAAATTTCCAACCACTAAAAAAGAGAGAAAAAAAAAGAATGTGTAGATCAACTGGAGAGGTTCCAGGATGAATCCTATTCCTGGAAGTCAAAGCATAATGATCACTCTCGTCTGTCTGCGTGCTAGGTGGGGAAGTTCCTGTCTGCAGAAGAATACCAACAGAAGATCATTCCTGTGATCGTGAAGATGTTTTCCTCCACTGACCGAGCGATGAGGATCCGACTTCTGCAGCAGGTATTTCATTGGTGCTTGTGGAGGCGAGCTTTCGTTAGCAAGTAGGATTTAAATTAGGTTTCACCAAAACGTGGAGGCAACTTCTGCTGAGCGTTTCCATTTTATATTCTGGTTGTCTTATTTATGCGTGCAAAGTCTCCCTTTTCTACCCTAAATAAAGAAATATCAATAAAAACTAGGAAAAAAAAGTAAGACCAAGAAAATTAAAAACTCTGTCTTCTCCTCTTTGTCTCAGATGGAGCAGTTCATTCAGTATCTCAACGAGGCAGCAGTGAACTCCCAGATTTTCCCACACGTGGTTCACGGCTTCACTGACACCAACCCCGCCATCAGAGAGCAGACCGTTAAGGTATTTCATGGACTTGAACACAACCAGCCCTTTGTGTGTGTGTGTGTGTTACAACATGCTTATAACTATATAACATGCTTTTCCTCCCCTTCAGTCTATGCTGCTGTTGGCTCCAAAGCTGAATGAGACTAACCTGAACCAGGAGCTGATGCGTCACTTCGCCCGGCTGCAAGCCAGAGACGAGCAAGGCCCCATCCGCTGCAACACCACCGTGTGTCTTGGAAAAATTGCCTCGTACCTCAACGCCGGGGTAAAGAACACGAGCGTTTAACGCTAACCCTGACCGAGCCAAAGCCGGCCAAAGAACCAGACTGTGCTTCTCTCTCTCCGCAGACCCGACAGCGCGTTCTGATTTCAGCCTTCTCTCGAGCCACCAAAGACCCGTTCCCCGCCTCCCGCTCCGCCGGCGTGCTGGGCTTCGCCGCCACTCACAACTACTACAGCGTCACAGAGATCGCCGCCCGAATCCTGCCCACTCTCTGTGCCGTGACCGTGGACCCCGATAAGAGCGTCAGGGATCAGGTGCTTAAGAATGCAGCGGTCATTATGGCCTGCTGCTATTTTCTGCGGAGGCAAGAAGACAGTTTGCGTCAAGCTGTGATTTCTCAGCATTTAAAATTGTCAACAGATTTCTTGTAAATAGTTACAGCTGCTTAGAGGTGGTAAGTTTACTGAGGATAGCCATAAGACATTCATTTAATGCATTAACTAATATCAGTGTAACTCTGAAGGAAACTTTACCTGACAGCATTCAAATGCTCTAGAGAGGTTTTAAGGAAGCAAAAGGGGAAAAAAAGGAATTAGCTCTTTATTGTCCTCTTGTATTTTTCTTCTTTCAGGCATTCAAAGCCATCAAGAGTTTCCTTTCGAAGCTGGAGGCCGTTTCAGAAGATCCAACCAAGCTGACTGAGATCGGTATGTTCATACATGTCCCCTCCACCGAGAAGAAATGTCACATAGACTTCCATCACAAAAACAAAATGTGTCTCCTTTAAAGAGGTTGGCTACTGTTTGTTAGTGGATTAATGATGGAACTTCCTGTGTTTAATTTATAGTTGAATCCAGCCTTAGAAAATATTAATTTTAATGGAAATGAAATTGAAACTAAAGAATCAGAGAGATCAGGTAATTTCAACAATGGTTTTGGAAGCTCAGAAATTACCTACACTCTACAAAAGGGCAAGAAACAGTAGAGTTGGACTTGAATGGCTCTTTATTTAAAAAAAAACATTTTTTAGGCCTGCTCGATTATGTGTCGTGACTCTTTTTTGGTGTCAGTTTCCATCATCCTAACACCTGAAAACATTTATCCGCCCTCTGTCTTGCAGAGAAGGATGTCGGGGCATGTGCTCAGCCCGCTGGTGCCTCCTCCAGCTGGGCCGGCTGGGCCGTGTCCTCTCTAACTTCTAAGCTGATCCGCAACGCTCCGGGGAAAGAGGGGGGCGCAGCCGCTGAGGACGGCGGGCCTGCCAGCGCCAGCTGTCCCACCACTTCTACTGACGGAGCACCTGCAACGGGTGGGGCTCTCGTTTTTTTATTTAACGAAAGAAAAAATAGGTTTTTTAAAGAAAGGTGGAATTATTACATTATTGAAATAGCCCCAGATGTTCTGTCTGAGACTCAGTGATTTGCTGCTGTGTCTCTAGGTTCAGAAGATCAAACTCCTCAAAGCTCTCTGACTCCCCACGCGGCCTCTCGCCGTGCCGAGCAGCCCCACGCCGCTCAGGTCCCAGACAACGATGCTGAGCCTGCAGGGGACCACTGGGATGATGAGGAGGACTGGGGAAGTTTGGAGGTAAAAGGATTCCTCCTGAGTGGACTTGTCGGCTTTGTTTGTACTCGTTGTTATTACTGTTTCAGATCGTATAAACTAGCAGCACTGTTTTTATCATCAGGATCCGGAAAAGTCTCACACCGATGACTGGAACTCTGACTGGTCTGGGATGGCATCATCCAAAAAGAAGGCCGGGGACAAAGGAGTAAGTCTTTTATTTGGCACCCACGGCACAATAATGTCTTTTGTTTCGACCCTACAAGCTTGTCCTTGGGTTATTGCACCACCCATGTGTAATAATGCATATTTCTGTCACACCACACAATGCTGGCCTTAGATTCAACATTCATCACAGACAGCCTTTTTCACTGACCGTGCGGCGAGTGTTGATGAGTCTGCTTTTTTTGTGTGTGTGTGGTTTTTTTTTGTTGGTTTTTTTTGTAGGTGGGCCGGTCGTCCACTTCCGTGGCGGTGAAAAAGCAGAGCGCCGACTGGAGCAGCTCGGGCTGGGACGCCGACGACAGCTGGTCTAATGAAAAGGAGGGCCAGGGCCAGAGCTCGGCCGGAGAGGAGGGCTGGGGAAACGACTGGGGGGAGGAGGACACGGACGGCGCCCCGGCCGGGGGCGCGGCGCTGCCCCTGCCCGAGGGGGTGCGCTTAGCCAGCGAGTACAACTGGGACAGCGGCAGCTCGGGGAAAGGGCCGTCCCAGAACGACCTGTTCGCCAGCGTGTCCCAGAGGAACTCGGCGGCCGCCACGGTGAGACTCCAGGACGCACAGACAGACAAGCAGCAAACCGATTTCAAATGCCGTTTTTTAAAGTTTGAACCGAGGCAGTGGACAAACCGTGATCATGAGATCATTTGTTGAATAGCATATAACATTTTATCTGTAGTACACTCAAACATGAAGGAATGGCGCCTGCTTGGTGTGTTTTTTATGTTGTCATGCTTGTTCCATGGTAGGCCGGAGATGGCTGGGGTCCAGAGGCAACAGGAGAATGGGGAGCTGAGGAGACCTGGGAATCTGTAGATGGAAACCAGGGTAAGTCCACTAACTGAGGCCCTGGCCATTTGTAGAGAAAACCCATTGTGGCATTACTCCATTCAAATGAAGTAGCCCAAAAATGAATGAATGGTTTAGTTAACAGCTTCACTTTCTTTTTTGTTTTTTGTTTTATCACACAGGTCTGAGCAAGGCAGAGCTGTCCAAAAAGAAACGGGAGGAGAGGAGGAAAGAGCTGGAGGCCAAACGAGCTGAGCGGAAAGCTGTCAAAGGCCCTCTGAAACTAGGAGCGCGGAAGCTGGACTGATTCAGGTGGAGCCGGGGAGAGGAGGAGCGTGGACCATAATGAGCGGAGCACAGGGGTGGATGGAGAGTCCGCATTCCAAAAAGAAAGAGAGCGGACAGGCGGGGGCAGCAGAGGAGAAAACTGAACAGTCTGTCACAGGAGGCAGAGTGGATGAGCACAGATATCTGTGGGTCAATAGGTGACTCCTGGGTTTGGGTGTCCTCAGAGAGCTGATAAAGATGAAGGCACAGACAGAGAGGCGACCAAAAATCCAGAGACTTGAAGCGGCGCCTTTAGTTTTGACTTTTCTTTTTAAATTCGCGTACAGCTACTTTTGTACATACATGTATATAACAGGTGCATCTTGTCTTAAAGAAATCACTTTTTTTTTTTTTTAAGAAAAAGAGAAATATATATATGTATAATGATAAGAAACTCTGAATCGGACACACATTACTATGCTGAATGTTTTTCATGACAAACTGTACAAATACACAGTGGCTGAGACTGTTTTTAGTTCTACCGTCAGATTTGCGGCTTCAGATCAGACCGTGCATGCGCCTGTGGTTTTTTTTTGCCACCCAGCAAAAGGCATCATAACAGTAGTGTGTTTACTTTGCACAAGTGACGCAGGCTTTACTGAAACGACCACCCGAAGTGGTCCTGGTTGCACAATTGCAAATGAAAATGTTAAAGTAAAGATTGGAGTCTGACTTTTGGGGAAATGGGGACATTTACATGAATTTGTCTGTGTCCTGTAAGGTTTGGTTCTGTGGTGGAGGATGTCTGAATTTTGAAGCCTGTTGGGGGCTCATTGTGTGTGTCTGTGTAACTCTGCAGGGGTCACTTAAAGCAGCATGAGAGGAAACTAAAACTTATCAGTCAATGATTTTAATAAACACTTAGAATGGTGTGGGTAAATGGGAAGCCTCTTATACTCTTTTATTTGTGCCTTTATTTTGTTACAGATCTGTTCTGTCTTATAAAACCCAATAACTTTAAATTTTTAAAACTGGAACTGACTCAAATGCTGACTTTTTTTTTTTTAATCAAAGCTTTCTCTGCAACACTGTGTTGCTTGTGAAACACTGATGTTACTAGTTGTACAAAATGCCTTAATGATGAGCTAGCTGACATCATTAAAGCCATCCCCTCCTCAGTTCAGGTACTGGTTTTCATGGAAACATACAAGTCGATGCTGTGTTAGTCTGAATGTTTCACAGAGTATTCAAATCATGTAGCATGTGAACTATTCTCAAATAAAAAACAAACAAATATGTTTCCCCTTATTTTTTAAACAGGCTATCACTTAAAACCAGAGTCTCCCTTTTCCAGTTTCTCACATTTCTTTCAATTCACAAATACAAATTGAAACAACAAACGGATGATTTTTGTTTTTATTAAACCTAAATTAAAATAGATTTATATAACATGTTACATGATAACAGGCTGGTTAATCTCTGTTAGAAGTTTTTGATGGCATTAAGCCACATATCCTTTACTCTGTAAATACATTTGCTCTAGATAATTGCTTACATAGATCAGAGTTGAACAGATAGTCTAAGTATCTTTAACCCTGTGGAGCAGCTCATCTCTTCAACTGAAACACACAACTGGACAATCAAAGTCAACCAGACACAGAAGACCTCTTATCACACAACCTCAGAAAGTCAGACTACAATCTAGCTTCATGCAATTTGTAGCTGTTTTTTACACAAAACAGTTCAAACTTACAGTCAGAGGAAGTTGTGCCACTGCTTTCATCACGTAAAAATATTAAAAGAAACAATGTTAGTTTTATGGCTTGTTGAGTTTTGGCAAATAGAGAATCCTATTTTGACTTCAAAGTTGCTTATACTAAATCGATATTAAATTATTTCTTAATAAAGTTAGAAACTACCGGGATAGGCCCCAGCTGCCACCCTGAAATACCGGGTATAGAATTTGAATGCACTGGTTACAAACTAACATTTTTTTTACTGAACGTTACGTCTTTGTTAATTCCAAAAAAATAGGAAAGATTCCTTCTCACTAACACATATTCAGACCCATAAATATGAACCCACTTTGATAGAAAAGCATCCTTATTTAAATCAACTTGGCACCTTTATTTACCCAAAATACTATTAAGTGCTTTTTGTTGAAATTCTAAAATCCTGAATGTAGATAAACCCAAACCAAACGCCTCTGGGATGTTCTTCAAACAGGGAAAAACTTGGAGATAGAGCTCTGTGGCAAAGTTCTGTTTTCCTGTTAGCGCTGGGGGGCAGTGCAATCTGGGGTTACCCATTAGTGGTTAGTGCTCGGACTTTGCTGGTGATCTGTTAATCAAGTCCTCTGCACGCTCGGTCACTCATGGTCACTGTGCTTGTCTTCTTTTTTGCTGCCACTAAACAGATATCCAGCCAGGGCCACAGCCCCGAAGCCCAACGCTGCGGCCAGGCCGGCCATCGCCACCGTCTCCCCGGCCCTACGCACCTGCAGGGACAGGGACGCACAGCCTTTTAGACAATAGCCGTTTAAAAAACAGGAAATATTATGTTTGCTGAACTCCCGTCCCCTCCTTTTCATGACCTAGCACCAAAAGGGAAACGTTTCTGCGCGGGGTGGAGATGTGCTCCCGCCTACCTGCCGGGACTCGGCCTTTCCGTAGCGCAGCTCGGTGGCAAAGTGCTCGCAGTTCCCCCTGACCACGCAGTAGGGCAGCTCCTGGCCCACCAAGGCGCAGGCGTCCCGCACTATGACCTCGGCAGGACGGGGCTCGTACTTCTCGTCCAGGCTGTTGTTTATTTCCCAATGATCGTGCCCCACCATCTCCCAGAGCTCCTCCTTCTTCACCAGGGCCTTCTCGGTCAGGACGGACATCATGCTGTTGGCGCCCTGGCCCGGGCCCTCACCTGCGGACACGCGAACGGGCACTCAAACACACTGAGAGACACGGGCAGCAACCCGGGACACCGTCGCTTTCTTTTCCCTGTTTGGCGTCAATCTGACACCCGGATTATATTTGGCCTAAGGTAGCTACACAACACGGCTATCACCAGCCATCTTAAGCCCCCCTGGAAAAATGCTATTTTGGAGAGGTGGCAGGCTTTTGTTGTCGGGTGGACTCACAGGGTGGTGCCAGGTGAACAACGAAGCCATCGCCAACGTACACAGCCCAGTGCTGATACGAGCCACGGAAGACCTCGATCAAATCCCCCCGCTCTGGTTTTTTATCATACTGGGGGGGGGAGACAGACAGAGGAGAGTTGACCTGTTAAACAGCCTGTGTTTGTAGACACAGCACAAACTCTGACCTGACTGGAACAACCTGACATTGAGTGTTAAGCAAACACAGGATCCTCCCTCTAAAATAAATACAATCACAGAGGATGTTGACAAGAACAGCTGGAGCCATTCATCATAGTGTTGTCCACTATGACCAGTAGCAATATCACAGAGCAGCTAAAAATAAACAATTAAACATTCTTACCAGGGTGGGGGCCATATCAGAGTTTCTGTCAAGCTGGGATGCTTTCACTTTCTCTTTGACAGCTATAAATACAAATGACTATTAGCAGAGTTTTAGTGCACAAAATGAGAACTGATTCTTAACTATGGTATGATTCATTGTCCCAAAAACAACGTTTATTTGACTTTTTTCTCCAAATAAAGCAGACATCAGATGCTCTGGGTTTCAAATGGAAACAATGTGTTATTGTGTCGTTCATTTAGTCTCGTTGGATTTTTAGCATTGAAATAAACACGGACATTAAAGGCTTGTGTGTCTGCTTATGTAAAGGCTTCTACCATGATTGTTTTTGTTCGAATTTCTGACAACAAGCCATCGCAGAAAACATAAACGGAGCAAAAATATGAATATTTTCCATCTCGGTCGAATTAAGATACATCGTTTTTTTTATCTATTAGATCTTATGGGAGATGACAATCGAATTCTAAAGATTTAGGAGACAACGTTTGCTCTAAAAGAAGATCAACTTGGTCGATGTGGGCTGGCTGTTGTTATTATTGGTGTGTTAACACCATAGCCCACCTGATCTCAGATCAGACACAAACAGTGACATGCAGCTCACACCATAACCGTGTTTACCTGGTTTATGAAGTCCCCTGTTTGCAGAATGACCGACGACGCCGGTGGTGCCGACCCCAAAGTTGATCTGTGAGCTATCAGCTGACGTTTGGTGTTTTTAGCTGAATCACGTGACTGATGAGTCATAGAGTCTACGTAAAAGAAGCCCGTAACGTGGCCACGCTCATGATGGTGGCGGAAATTATTGTAAAAATGATAATAATTCCATAGTGGTGCTCATCATCATTATCATTGGCATTTCTCCGTTTTTCCTCGTTATTTCTTTATTTTTTGTTAAGACATTTCAAGGGAACCAACTTTCATCCCCCCACTTGCTCCCCCCCCACAGTGCCCTGTTTTAATCGCAGCCACTACATAAAGGGACTTCTGTGTGTCCCTGTTTGTTACAGCACTACCACCGTATACATCTTTTAGCCACAGTGTTTTGGTGATTTATGGTGACTTTGTGACTACAAATCATCGTTAGGGACCATTGTAGAACTACAGATTAACACGAATTTAACTTCCTTGCATGAAACAGCAGCACTGTGAAATGCTTTTGGATATTAGCTGCTCGTCCTGGGCTTTCTTTGTGGTATCACTCTATTCCATAATCCTTCCTATTTAAAGTGGGTGACAAGTCAGTTGAAACAAATTTCGCAGTTGTTTTTCTCTTAGGAATACACAGCTTGTCCAGTGATATGTTGTGCAAACTCCTCCAGCTTCTGTTGAAACATCTTGTTGGCATTGCACCCATTGGGACAATTCTTAAATGATTACATTCCCCACTTTGGCTTCTCAGCTTTACAGTGTTTTCAATCTAATTAATTTAGACACAATAAAAAAGTGATGCTTTTCGTTTGTTTTTTGGCTGAAGAAATCTGAAGTATGAATTTGGGCTAAAATTAGAGTAATCAGGGCAAAATTAGGGCTAAAATTAGAGCAGAGGACATTTATTTAGCAAAAGTATGAACAGTCAGGCTCAATGAAATGCATTAATATGCATGAATATTTTCATGTTGGGACGGTGGACAAACAGCTATAGACAGCCGTGGCCACCAGGAGTCGCCAGTGAGTTCTTCCAGGGATTGTGAGGGGTCCTTCGACTAACTCCGAGGAAGTGTCTACTTCCGGCTGAGAAGCTCCCCTCCGTTGGGTCTTGTCCTGAGTTGTGGCAGAAAAATAACCACACAAAAAAAGGCGCTATAATCCCACCGCCACTAAAACCCACAGCCGAGAAGTAGATTTGATGTGACGCGTTCATGCTAAACGACCGAGCGATGTCCGTGGTTTTTGACGGGAGTCCGCTGAAAGCGATGCAGAGCGCGCACAGTCTCACCCCGCAGACTGCCCCGAGGTGAGAGCCGAGCGGCGGGAGGAGGCGAGGCGGAGCTGACCGGCCGGTGCCGCTGACCGGCCTGTGCCGCTGACCGGCCGGCACCGCTGACTGGCCAGCGCCGCTCACCCCCAACTACGGCACGGCCTAACGTTTTGTAGTTTAACGACAAACAGGCAGTAGGAGCCCGATACATTTAGTTGTTTCGACAACACTCAAAGGTCGTAAAACGACTCTGGCGTCGTAGATGGAGCTAGAACTGGCCATTTCCACAGCCACGGTTTTGAACTGTTCATTTGAAGCAACAGAAGTTAGAATACTTGTTTGTTGTTATTCTTTAAAAAATGAAGACGTGCTATTGTATAGTTGAACAAATTTTGAGCTACTTTTAGTGCAGATAGCAGAATCTGTTATGTATTTTTCTCCTTCACTTCTCTGTTGTCTTGGACGTAAAATATTATGGTGAACACTTGTTATCAGGGCTGTCTGACAGATGGACACACTTCACACAGGTCCTCATCAGTCTGTACTGACTGCTCAGCATAAGAAAATATACACCAGCTCTGATGTTGAACGCAATACGTTTGAAATGGTGTTTTCAGTTTTATACAAAGTGATAATTTGGGAATAAACAAAGCCATCTATCTTTAACCGTGAATACAGACAGTGTTAATTAACTTTTCTGTTTATCCATGTGGTTTGTTGTTGGTAGCTTGAACAGTTCTTTCTTCTTTGTGCTCAAAGTGACACCCTCACCTGGTGCTTTTGTACGGTCCAAAAACTGGAACTGTGTCCTCACTTATCAGATGCTCAGTAATTATCGGAGAAACGTCACTTTTGAATTCCTCATTCGTGCCGAGTTTGTGGCACAGCTGGCTGTCATCTGTTGCCTGACAGAAGCCGGTCCCTCGCTGACCCCTTGCTTTCTTCTGTCCTTCCCCCCAATCCTTCAGCACCCAGGAACTGTCCCAGGAGATCAAGTCCTTCATCAGCGGTGTGGATGCCGTTCAGGGCCGGAAGCTCAGCGTCAGAGAGCACGCCCGCTGCGCCGTGCGGCTCCTGCGCTCCGTCCCGGCCTGTCGGGGGGCGGTCCTGGAGCATCTGAGGGGGGTGTACGATGAGCACGTGTCCGCCTTTCTGCACAACCTGGAGACGGAGGGTAACGCCGGCTCCGGGGTCAGCTCCAACCTGGAGGACATCATACAGGTGGGTTTTTTCATGGGTCTTCAGACTCTTTTAAGTTCCTTCTTTTTGATGATAGTGTAAGGTGAAGTACGCTCTCCTCCTCCTCCCTCCAGGAGGTGCACGGCGTGCTCTCAGAGTTCATCCGTCTCAACCCTCGAGCCTGGGCCCCCCTGGTGTCCTCCTGGGCCGTGGACCTGCTGGGCCAGCTGAGCAGCAAGCACGCCGGGCGCCGAGTGGCCCCCCACTCCTCCAGCCTCAACGAGCTGCTCCAGCTGTGGATGTCATGCGCCGCCACCCGCTCCCTCATGGAGGCCTACTCCCAGTGCCTGGCGGCCATGCTGGCCTGGTGCCCCGACGCCTGCGTGGACGCCCTGCTGGACACTTCGGTCCAGCACTCGCCTCATTTCGACTGGGTGGTGGCTCACATCGGCTCGGCCTTCCCCGGGACCATCATCAGCAGAGTGCTGGCCTGTGGGCTGAAGGACTTCTGCTCTCACGGTGCTAAAGACCAGGGGATGCTGGTGATGGGCGTGGATAAGGGCAGCCGGGTGCCAAAGATCGGTTCGGTGGTGGGGATCCTGGGACATCTCGCAGCTCACCACTCCGACAGCATCCGGAAGGAGCTGCTCAGGATGTTCCAGGAGAGTCTGACTCCGTCGAGTCCTCTCTCTCCCACTTCGTCCTCCATTTCTTGGGAGAGTTCCCCTCAACTTCGGCGTGCCGCCGTTCCCTTCCTGCTGCAGCTGGCCGCCATGTCCCCAGACCTCTTTGGGGCGGTGTCTGCGGAGCTGGTGGAGCTGTTGCGCCCCCCGGTGCTGCTCCAGCTGCAGGCTCTGCTACAGAGCCTCCCCAGAGAAGAGCTGGACAACATGCTGGGGCTGGCCGTCCACCTCATCAGCCAGAGCCCTTCGGGGGGCGCCCGGGTCCTCAGGTTTCTGGCGGACACAGCGACGCCGGCCTCGGTCATCATCTCTGGCCCCACGCCGTCGCCTCACGAGGGGGTCAGGGAAGGCTGCGACCGCCTCCTCCAGATGCTGCTCCTCCACCTCCACAAGTTGGTCTTCAACCGCTCGGACGGGTCTGAGGTCGGCCCCCACAGCTCGGCCGCTTACCAGCCTCCCAGGGCCATCCCCTTCCTGGAGGAGCTGCGCTCCCACGTGGGCCAGCTGTGCGCCGAGACCCTGCGCCTGGAGCGGAAGCGCCACCTCTGGCTGCACCAGCTGCTGTGCCTGCTGTCGGTGTACGGGGGTCCCAGCGTGGCCACCGAGACCCTCTGCCAGCTTCTCACCCAGGCCCGCAACCCCGAGGAGCTGGCGCTGGCCTGGCAGCTGCACACCACGCTCTCCTCCTGCATGGCGGGGCTGGTTCCGGCCGCCGTGGCGCGCTGCGTGGCCCAGATCCACACGCACACGCTGGGGCCGCGGCAGCTGAGGCAGCTGCTGCTCAACCTGGCGGCGGCCATCCAGAGCCAGGACGAAGAGAGGAGGGGGGCCGCCGGGGCCCAGTCCTCCATGGCCGTCCAGGTGGGCCTGGCCGTCTCGGGACACCTGCACGACTTCTGCCCTCTGCTGCTCCACGGCGACCCGGCCGTGTCCCACGCCGCCGCCCGCCTCCTGTCCAGCAGCCCGCTCCCCCGCGCCTCCTCCCCGGCCCACCTGCTCCTGCTCTCCCGCGCTGCCGTCACCCACTTCTTCCTGTCCCTGCGGCGGCGGGCGGAGGGCGGGGCGGTGGGCCGGGACGGGGGCCAGGCGGGCGAGGCGGTGAGCTGCTCGGTGCTGCTGCTGTGCCGCTTCGCCGCGTACTCGCCGCTCACGCTGAAGGCGGTGCTGCAGCAGCTGGTGGAGGGCGCGCTGCACCGGGGGAACGCCGACCTGTTCGGGGGCCAGATCGCCGACATGTCGGGCGCCCCCGTGCTTTCCCCCTCCGTGTCGCCCGACCTGGGGGCCTCTCTGCTGGACATAAACTGCCGCTTCGGCACCACCGTCAACTTCTCCGGCAGCGTGTGGTCGGTGTTTCACGCGGGCGTGATCGGCAAGGGGCTGAAGGCCCGCTCTGCCGCGCAGCTGCCCGACCCCTCAGGGGTGGTCCAGGTGGGTGTCGGGTGGAGAGCGTGATGTTGTGTGTGGGGCTGACGGGGTGTGACGGGGTGCTCTTCTCTCCGCAGAACACCCAGACCTTGCTGGCTGTGATCGTCCAGTGCTGCAGCTGCTCGGGCATCAACGGCTCGCGGTCCCCGTCCGACCCCGACGAGCCGCTGCCCATCAACGCCGAGGCCGCCAAGGTGGTGGCCGTCACGCTGGTGGAGAGCGTCTGCTCCGACGTGGCCAACGGGGAGCTGTCCTGGCCCCCCGAGGAGCACGCCCGCACCACCGTGGAGCGGGACATCCACATCCGGCGCTGCTTCGAGGCCCACCCGGTGCTCTTCCCCCTGCTGCAGGTGGTGGCGGCCGGACGGCCGGCGCTCTGCTACTGCTCGGCCGTGCTCCGGGGCCTCCTGGCCACCCTGCTGGCCCACTGGGAGGCGTCGCGCGAGGCGTGCTCCACGGACTCCCCGTGGCACCTGCAGGCCTCCTGCCTCCTGGTGTCCTGCATGGGGGAGGGCCAGCTCCTGCCCCCGGTGCTGGCCAACGTCCACGAAGCCTTCGCGCACCTGACTCCCTTCGAGGTGAGGCTCCTGCTGCTGGCCGTGTGGGAGTACGTGCGGGCGAACGGGCCCCTGCCGCAGAAGTTTGCCTTCAGTTCGGAGAAGGGCGTGTTCTGCCGGGACTTCTCCCGGGACGGAGACGTGGCCAGATACGTGGCGCCCATTCACAGCGTCCTCCACAAAAACATCGACAGACTGGGGCACCTCTGCTGGCGGTTCCAGCTCTGAGCACGTCGATGGGAAATAACACGGCCACAGTTGCGTTTCATGAAATTAGAGCTGCATCTGCTTTTGTTTGAACTTTTGTACTGTATTTTCAGACTAGACACATTTCCAACTAGTGACAAAGTGAAGAGAAATGGCACATCGGTATATTATGTTAATATATTTGCTCTCCAAGTAGAGACGTAAAAGTGTCATTTTGGTTTAAAAGTGCAACTAAAATCCTGTGTAGATTATTTTCTATGTTTTTCGGGTTGTTTGTGTTGTAAAACTGCACTTAAAAACACGCCTTTCATCTCTGGTGTTAATGAAATTGTTAAAACAACTATACAAAATAAATTCCCTTTTTTGTCAGAACTTGAAGGATAATGAATCTCACTATAGTGATAACTCTCAGTGAGGAAGCATCAGACGCACAAAATCCAATTAAAGCTACCACAAACTTAACAAAAATGATCATTTTAGAACGTAGCTTTGAGTAATCAGCCTTTTTTCCTTTTCTTGATGCTTTTAGTTTTAGTTAAAACAGGAACATTTCCTGAAATAACAGGACATATGCCTATTTTTGCTTTAGACTTTTGTTTTTGACTCTTTAAATGGTCAATGACGGGATAGGCCATAACTCCACTATTATCAAAATATAGGAAGACGGCTGAGTGTGTAATTATATAATTTAATTTGGGAAAATGCATGGAGGTTGTTGAATTTTACATTTGTAGACCTGAAACTGAGTTACCTTGAAAAAAATTAATAAGGGACAATTTTGTAAATCAAATGGGAACTCTCGTGACTGGCTCGATGAAGGGGAGATTACATTTAGCTGATTTACCACTGGCGCCTTGATGGTTATTTTGAGACGAGTAATCATAGCATGAGGGCCAAATTAAGTTTAAAAATTGATAATAATTCAAGTTTAAGAGGTTAGCGGAAAGTGCGTGTGTTGACAAAGACAATTGCTGCGTTCTTATGAAACCGGAATCCCGGGAACAAATCCTGGATGGATGTGTGTGCTTCACTGACTGGAGCCTGGAGATGACGTGTCCGCCTCTGAGAGGGTAAATACTTACCCAAACCCTTTCTTTATCATCAATCAGGCAGCCAGCCTGCTGCTTTGGAAGGCTGCTAAAAAGTTCGAATGATAGCATATCCTCAATTTTAGAACATATGCATATATATCTGGGTAAGTTGTTGAGAGTCTTACTTTTTTAACGATCTTTGTTGCGGAGTGAAAGGGGCGGAGTCAAGTGGCAGCATAATCAAGATGGCCGCCTTCACTGAAAGGTAAGACAAAGCAGTTCCGCTGTTTTAGCCCTCATTTAGCTGCGGTTTCCATTGTTATTCGTTTAACGGAAACGTAAAGATTACAAACACGTGCACGCAGCAGGTTGAGGCTGAGGCTAATTAAAGGTTTAAACATCGCCGAGGAGAGGAATCATCTTGAAAAGGACGAGACTCTCCTTCAATTGAATTAGCGGCTTGACAGGCTGCCTGCGCCGCTACGAGCAAGGTTAGCCTTGTATTTGATTGATGGGGCAAATGAACGCGTACACCGCCGCCATACAATCTTGACTTGCTCTTTTTGTAACTGACAAGTGCAACGCCGTTGATCACTTGTTACTCTGTGTAGGTTTTCCGTGAAAATAGTTGGTAAAACCGCGCGCACAGCAGCTAATTGACGTTAGCTGATTTGTTAGCTAATACTGTCTCTTGGCGTCAGTCCAGGCTCGTCATTTCTCATCAGCGGGATTTGACCTAGAACATGAAAGTTCGTTGCGGCATCAGGGTCAGGTCTGAATAACGGGGGTCTGCCTTTAATGCCTGCTCAATGCACTGTGTGGGTGCAGCAGCAGGATGGCGAAACGGAAAATGGTTTACCTTGCTGTCAATATTGACAGATTTTTACCACTACAGATCAAAGTCCGGACGGGGGACATGTGTAGTTTAACTCGCTAACTCCATTGAATGCGTGCAGTAGCTTGGTCAAGGCCTCTTGGGCAATTGACTGGCTATTGCTCCAACAAATCGGGGTAGATGGCTGCAAGGTAAAAGTTGACGGTCCTCACGATTTCCTTCCCAGGATGGCGCCTTTCTTGGTGTTTTGGCTGGCCGTGTGCCTCGGTGGCACCGGGGCTGTGGACAGGGGAAACTTCAAGACCTGTGACCAGAGTGCCTTTTGCAAGTGAGTGCAAGATACAAAAAAAAAGATAAAAAAAAAAAGGTGCTTTACCAACCTTAGAGTGCATGTTTGTAACTGATTTGAACTGTGACCAGGCGTCAGCGTGCTTTGAAGCCTGGTGAGTCCCCATATCGAGCCTTGCTGGAGACCATGGAGCTGACCAACACTAGACTCACCCTCCAGCTCATCAATGACAACAACAAGGTAGTTCTGTATTCAGCTGGATCCTGTTGGAGGAAGTGCTGTCATTTATCTTCATTGAAGTTATGGGATTGAAGTTATCGTATTTAAGAAGAATTATACATTAAAAAGCAAAGGAGGAAAAGAGGAGTGAATATGCAGGGAATTTATTTTTATATTGATGTGCAAAAACAAAGTTATCCAACAATAAAGATTAAAAGATTAGGCCAATCTGTCCTTGAAAGCACCACTTAAGCATATATCATGGCCTTCACCATGAGACGCCATCTTAGCCAAATATCTTCTGTGTCTGATATATCGGAGGGTGAAATAGTGATGGTTTTGTACCCCCCTTTTTGTGTTTTCTGTTTCCTCGCCTGCCCCCAGGTGCGTCTGCTGCTCGAGCTCTACCGTCTCCAGGGGAACATAACCAGGGTGAAGATTAATGAGTTGAAGCCGCTGAAACCTCGCTATGAGGTCCCAGATGTGCTCGTCAGGGAGCCGCCCACTGAGCCGTGAGTGTCTCGCCGGAGTTCTGTGGAGCTTTGGAAGTTTGAGCCGAACTGACGAGAAAGGGTGGGGGGGGAAGTAGATTCTCAAGGTGGAACTGATGGGTCAAATCTAGAAAATCTTCCGCCCTTTCTCTGCTGCAGCATGTCGCTCTTGTCTCAAGACGATAACGGGGTGGTGCTGTCTCTGGGGGTGGAGTCTCAGAGGGTCATCGTCAGCGCCCGGCCCTTCCGACTGGACATCATGGAGGGACGCGATGTGCTGATGTCGCTGAACTCGCGCGGGCTCCTGGTCTTCGAGCACCTGAGGATGCGCAAGGACACGTGAGAATCCACGCATGCACGCACGTTTCCAAATACCAGCTGCCCGTTGAAATCCACGTCCACCTTCGGTGGCTGACTTTTTGTTTTTGTTCCCATGATACGGTTTGTTTTTGTTGTCTCTGACTCGTTGTTCTGTCCTCTTCTCCCTATCATCCTAGTTTCTCCTATAAAGTAACTAGCACAGTGGCTAGCGTGTGGGATAATATCAAGAGGGTATTCTCTAGGTAAAGACCCTTAAGACTTGTGTGTATTCTGTTCCTTGTGCTAATGCCGCCAATAGTGACACAAAGTAGGGTCTCCCATCTCACAAAGTTCTGCATTTACCCTCCAATCAATGTGGCTGCGAGAGGTGTGGCTGAGTGCGTGCATGGAGATGCGGAGTCATTCTGGCCCTGACTGTTCGCTGTCGCCTAAACAAACATGAAATTATCACCCCGGTGATCAGAAAGCTACAGTGTCCACTCCAGGCCCGGTAATGTTCCAGCTCCACACCCGGCAGGTCTGCGTCTCATTAACCGAATTATGCAAGCTGATCTGATCTAACTTGGTTGGTGCATGGCTGACGGGGCCTCTCAACCAGCCTTGGTGGATGAATGCGTCTCTGGTGGAAGCTTCGGTGCAGCAGATAGTCCTATAGTCCGAGGGTGTGTGTGTAGGCTTAGGGGGCAGATCTATCTGAGTGACTGTCTGTTTCCAAGCTCCGCAAACCAGCCCCCCAAAGCCAACAGCAACGTCTGTCTTTGTGGTTAAGTTTCCCTTTGGGGTTTGGGTCCTCTGAGTCAGAACTGCCCTCATTTGGGACCGTTTAAAACCATAAAGTACCAGCAGGCCTTGCTCTTCTGCAGCTGCTCGTGGTGACTAACAGCCAGTGGCAGCTGGAGGCTGAAGCGAAGGGTGTTTTGGTGCTTCACTGTGGCCTGATCTACTCCCGTTAGGTCCTCTGGGAACAAGCTGGTTCTGTAAGGAGCTGCGTGGATGCTTAATGCTGCAGCCTCTAGAGTTCCTGTCCCTTGATGTTGAGCTTTAAGTAGCCACAAGAACATGGAACTGTTCAGTCCCATTTGTCATTTAAGGCCTCATAGTCTTGTCTTAGTTTTCAGTGTGGAGCAAGGGTACAATCGCCAGCCCCCTCCCTGCTCCTTATTTGTACATCCCTTCCCTTTAATCATAGTTTGATTATCCCCACATATATCGTAAGTCATCCAACAATGGTGTGATTAGAGCCAAAGTGACACCTCTCTCTTCTCCCTGCATCCCTTCATCACCACCTCTCGCTGTTTTCCCCGAGCAGTCAGGCGGAGCCGGAGGCTGAGAACAAAGAGGAGGCCGATCCAGCGGCCCAGGCCGAGGTACTACCAGATACTCATTCCATTGCTCTGTGCGGAGTCTAGAGCCTTTGCAGTTTGTTACATGGCTGTATTTTTCCACAGACAACAAAAGAGGAAGAGAAAGTAGAAGAGGGGATGTGGGAGGAAACATTTAAATCGCATGCGGACAGCAAACCCAATGGTAAACGACTCCTTTATTTCCATTTGATAGTCAATATTATTTGACATTTAGAGATCAGTCACTAGTATTTAACTTGAAGTGGGTTTTTCTAACCAATTCTTGGCTGTGGTTGCACTACAGGTCCGTCTGCCATCAGTTTAGATTTTTCATTGCCAGGCGTGGAGCATGTTTACGGCATCCCAGAGCACGCAGACACCCTAAGACTTAAGACAACCGAGTGAGTGCCCCCAGCCACTCACCAATGTCCTGTTCAGTTTGAATTCATGTTGTCCTCCTCAGTAGATTGAAACATTTGTGTTTCTTCGTTCTAGAAATGGAGATCCATATCGGCTGTATAATCTGGATGTCTTCCAGTATGAATTGTATAACCCTATGGCCTTGTATGGGGCAGTTCCAGTTATGCTGGCGCACAACTCCCAGCGAACTACAGGTATCTTCTGGCTCAATGCTGCAGAAACGTGGGTGGATATAAGCTCTAACACAGCTGGCAAGGTACCTTTTCTGTTTTTTAAACTTTTTTTTTTCTTCTTTTCAGTCAATCTTTAGTCTTTTATCCAACTTTGACTGAGAAATTACAAAGTTAGTATGTTTTCTGAACTGTAGTCATTTTAAAGATGCCCATCAGTCCTTCAATGGTTGTATGTCTCTTTCCAGACTGTGTTTGGGAAAATGCTGGATTATGTCCAGGGCTCCAGTGAGACGCCTCAGACGGATGTCCGTTGGATCTCTGAGAGTGGCATCATTGACGTCTTCATTATGCTGGGACCAACTCCCAAAGACGTCTTCTCCCAGTATGCCTCTTTAACAGGTAGGACGTTGGATGAGTGTTTTTCCCCCCCCCCCCCAACAGTCACAAAGTGCCCATTGAGCTGATTCATTGAGCTCCTGGCACTTTGGAATGAACTTGCGTGTTTTGTTCCTGATGTTCTCCTTGTTTCGTCCATCAGGCACCCAGTCGTTCCCTCCTCTTGCTGCCTTGGGCTACCACCAGTGCCGCTGGAACTACAACGACCAGGAGGACGTGCGCTCGGTGGATGCAGGCTTCGACGAACACGACATCCCCTACGACTTCATCTGGCTCGACATCGAGCACACAGATGGAAAGCGCTACTTCACCTGGGACCCCCACAAGTTTGCAACACCAAAGGAAATGCTGCAGGGCCTACAGGAGAAGAAGCGCAAGGTACACGCCGCTGGTGGTTGGCTTCCAGAACGCTGGGATCCTCCTCCTCTGCACCTCAGATTGTTAGATATTTAATGACTTTCCTGCAGCCTCTGGAAGTTGACAGTTTTTTTTCTCCCTCCTAGATGGTTGCTATTGTGGACCCTCACATTAAAGTGGACACCAACTACAAGATCCATAACGAAATCCGCACTCGGGATTTCTATATCAAGAACAAAGACGGAGCCGACTATGAGGGCTGGTGCTGGCCTGGTAGGACACTGGACGTCATGCTTTCACCTGAAAATCCTGCTAGATACTCGCACTAAAATTGTCCCACCCACATGTCTCTCCTCATTTCCGGTGCTGACGACGACCATCAGGCAGTGCCGGCTATCCCGACTTCACCCGGGCCGACATGAGGGCTTGGTGGGCCAGCATGTTCGCCTACGATCAGTATGAGGTGAGCCTCAAAGAGTCATGTGTGCAACTGAGAAGTGGCTCACCTGCTGACTTGCTTTCAGACATGTGACCTGAAATCCTTCAAGGTTTATTAAACATTTCTCTTTGGTGCCAAATAGCACTAACATGCAGTCCGTCCTCCCTGCAGGGCTCCATGGAGAACCTGTACACATGGAATGACATGAATGAGCCATCCGTCTTCAATGGGCCGGAGGTCACCATGCACAAGGATGCCGTTCACGGAGCGTGGGAGCACCGCGACGTGCACAATTTGTACGGCTTCTATGTGGTGAGTGAGCCCCGTCTGATCACACCGAACTGCTTCCCAGAGAAGGCGCTGTTTATTTTTGGCTAGCTGTGGTTGGTGATTCGGAGACGTTTAAAGATTAACAACTGATGCCACGGGACACATTCGTTCAATAAGGCCAAGAAAAGCAGATGTTGTTTAATTAAAACAGCTGCTCAGAGGCTTAATTTAACATGTTGATCCTTTTTTCCCCCCACTCATTAAAGCAAATGGCCACAGCAGAGGGACTGATCCAGAGGTCAGGGGGAGTCGAGCGGCCGTTTGTCCTGACCAGGGCTTTCTTTGCTGGGTCACAGCGTTACGGTAAGCCTCTGAATTCTCTTAGTCCCAGAGTAGACGCTGATGTAGAGATGGAATCGCATTACACGGTCACTTTGTGCGTTCAGGCGCTGTGTGGACGGGAGATAATGCTGCTGAGTGGGATCATCTGAAGGTCTCCATCCCCATGTGCCTGAGTTTGGGACTGGTTGGAATCTCCTTCTGTGGGGGTGAGTACGACCATGTACATCATCTGTGTATCAGATTCTATTCTTAAATGTGCTGTTTTGTCAGTTTACTTTTCAAATCAAGTCTTTGCTGCTGTAGGGATAGCTTCAATAATTTAACATATCCTACACTGGAAACGTATTCAGTACAGTTCATTTCAAACTCAAATAGAAGGAAAATGAGCGTATGAAGCGAACAGTCTGCTGCCTTACCTGCACACAGCTGACGGATGGTAGCAGGGCAAAGTGGCTGTGATACCAAGCTGTTTTGCAAGAGACAGTGCCTGTAATAAAATAAACATGATGAAAATAATTCGATCCAAGTAATTGGATTTTGATCTAACAGATTTAGACAGATCTCCCTGTACTCTTTTGTGAAAAAAGCTAATGTCTTTTTTTTCTACACCAGCTGCAGCTATATTTAAGTCATGTTCCCTCACTAACTGCTCGGAATGTGACCCAAGTTCCACTTTTTTTAGTTAGAATCTGAAAATGGAAGACCTTGTGAGGTTTGTTTGTCCTGCAGACTTTAATTGTTTTCCTGCCCCTCACAGCGGACGTGGGTGGTTTCTTTAAGTCTCCAAGCACTGAGCTGTTGGTGCGCTGGTACCAGACGGGGGCCTACCAGCCCTTTTTCAGGGCCCACGCCCACCTCGACACGCCTCGCCGCGAGCCCTGGCTGTTCGGTCCGGAAAACACGGCTCTGATCCGCGAAGCTGTGCGCCAGCGCTACACATTCCTGCCCTACTGGTACCAGCAGTTCTACCACACCTTTCTGACTGGAGAGCCTGTCATGAGGTGAGGCGGGGGGCAGTTTGTCTCACATAGGTTTTTTACTGAGGTTTTCTAGCAAGAAAACAAGCACAAGTTCACCTTATGGCGCTTTTACATTAGTGCCTACTCGGCACAATGCAGCTCTACATGGTATTTTTGCCTTTCCACTCGGGGCTGGCGCCACTAAACGGTTACAACGCAAGCACCTCTTATCAGGGAAAAAGGCCATTATTTCATACTGGTTTGTCTTATTAAAAACCTTCAGACTCTGAACCAACACTATTTTTCTGTTTACAAAAAAAATACAAAAGATTTGTTTGTCATTGCCAACAGTTTTCCAAGTAGATTTTCTCCTTAAATCAAAAGTAAAGATGCACACCTTGTACCAACATGTGGAAAACCTTAGTTGTAATCTGACACATAAGCAAATCTGTTTGGTGTTTCTGAATTACTTTTTTACTACAGAGCACAACAGGGCAGTCTTTTTTTTTTTTTTTTTTTTTTTTAAACAAAAGCCCTTGGCTCCTGTTCTGCCCTATAACTAATAATAATGTGGTTGCTTCCCTTTCACAGACCTCTGTGGGTGGAGTATCCTCAGGATCCTGCTACTTTTGCTGTGGATGACGAGTTTTTGATCGGTGAGACACAAAATGCCCGAGGTGGACTTTCCTTTTCACCTCCAGACAGAACAGCCTGCTCCTCTTTTCATAAGCTCCCCCTGCTGCCACCTAGTGGCCAAAGACGATGCAGATTTACAGAAAGCGAAGGTCTTATTTTTAGAACTGCATCTCCTGATGCTTCCCTCTGCTACAGGACAAGATCTGCTGGTGCACCCGGTTACTGAGGAGGGAGCCCGGGGAGTCACTGCCTACCTGCCTGGAAAAGACGAGGTAAAATGTTGGCTATAACGGGCATTAGCTTATTTTTTATTTTTTTCAATGTTCAGGTGGTCATGTCTGAACCTGTGTTTCTTCTCAGGTCTGGTTTGATATCCACACCTTCCAGAAGCACAACGGAGCCCAGAGCCTCTACATCCCTGTCACCATGAGCTCTGTAAGACTTGTAGAAACAACACTACCACGCCTAAAGCATTGGCACACTTTCTGCCCCCCCCCCACAAAATTACGGACGCAGCCTTTAACACTTTGACGCCATTTTTATCTGGCTGTTGAAAGTCTTGCTGTACTTTGCCATCAGATCCCAGTGTTCCAACGTGGTGGCTCCATCATTCCTAGAAAGCTGCGGGTCCGCAGGTCGTCCACCTGCATGGAGCACGACCCCTACACCCTCTACGTGGCTCTGAACACTCAGGTAACTAAACCCAGCCGCCGCACGTGCGCTCCCGTCAGCCGCTTCGTCGGAGCTTAATAAATCCACTTCTGTCTGGCAGAGAACCGCTCAGGGTGAGCTCTACATTGACGATGGTCACACCTTTAACTATGAACGGAAGGAATTCATCCACAGGAGGCTGTCCTATGCCAACAACGTCCTGTCCTCTGTGTGAGTGTAACCTGACGCTGAAAGGGAAGGAACGGCTTCAGCTCTGAGATATTCAGGATGCCGTTACTTTGTACCTCCTGCAGCACTTCATTTCATAGTGTTTAAATACTAACTGGAGGGTGGTCCTGCTCCACAGTAACCTGGCTCCTGATGCTCAGTTCACCGCCAAGTCCTGGATTGAACGCGTGGTCATAGTGGGGGCCAGTAAACCCAGCAAAGTTGTGCTGAAGACTGCAGGTGGGTGACAGGTCACATATTTTAGGTCAAAATGATGCAGAAGTTTAAAGACCAGGGCCTTTATCATCTTCCTGTCTAAATGAAGACGGGGATGCTTTGGCCTAAATAATTTCCCCGAAAATCTCTTGTTAATCTCCTTTTAAGAGTGTGGGTTTAATTTCTACAACACCAGCCATGGTTTGAGTCGCTAAAATGATTTCAGCTATTTTTAACAGGCATGTTCTGAGATGGGATTTTGAGACAAGAAATAAAGGATCAGAGTGTAAGACGGAGTGAATAGATGAAGTAATGAAGAGTTCTCCTAATCTGTCTGGGATTAAGGGTTTGGTAAATGCAGGATCTTTTAGTTTTTGGTATTATGATCAGAATTTTTTCTTTTCTTTATCCTTTTTTTTTTTTGCAGATGGTTTGGAGAGCCAGGTAGAATTTGATTTTGACGCCTCCATGTCTGTCGTAACGCTCCGCAAGCCCGGCATGAACTCGGGGGCAGACTGGAGCGTGAGACTCGAGTAAGAACAGAGATGGGAGAGGGGAAGGAGAGAACGACCGAATGGGAAGAAATGGACCTGGGAAGGAACCATCACAAGGCCCTGATGAAACATTACAACACCCAACATGAAGATAAAGTCGCGGATCCCACGCAGTTCTCTTCCAGCCACTCCCAAACCCACGGATACCTGTCAGTCGACCTGAGCCACTTCTCTGACGTCTCCCTCTCGTGTCCAGTCACTGATGCCTGATAGTTGGGGTTCAAGTTGGTAGATAATTCTTTTACGTGAGTTAGGTATCAACTGATGGGGTTGAATCATGTCATTTTTAGGGATCTTCAGGATGAGAGAGATGTTTAGTTGTTTTTCTTTTTTCTATTCTTGGAATCGTCCTCTTAGCTTCTCAGTCTGTCTGCCTCAGAAGAAAGATCACCTCAGGAGTCTGAGTTTTAAAATGAAGGTTGACAGTCAAAACACACGCTCCACTTGTTGCTGATCCTCCATCTGTTTCAAAAATCAATATCATTCCTCTCTTGGGACAAGCACTAAATCAGCTGAGAGCTTGGCTATTTTGAACAAACTTAACGGGGAGCATCACTTCAGGGGACTGATCCACTCGCTGCTGGTCGGTCCTCTGACGTGCTTTCTGTTTTATCACATTTTCCACCTTCATTCACTAGAATATTTTTAATGCACTAGAGGAACGGTGAGAACTTAAGTTGTCTAGATTTAAATGTTTTACTCTGTATTTGAACAGTCCAGAACTTCCATTGTGTCATTTGGATCTTAATTAAAAAAGAAAACTCAAATCTGTCAAGAGTGTTTAACTGAAAAGTATTCTTTTAATGCTCTGATCTACAGAAATATCTGTCCAACAAGTAAAAGAAAAAAGGCACAAATTATCCTCTGGAAACTGGTCTATGCCCTGTTTAGTTAACTCATTTGACTTTTCTTTAGGAATCTTGTTTCTTTGGAGTTTCTCTGATTGTTTTTATGATCATAAATGTCTGTCGCTGCATATTTGTTGATGGCTTGAACTGGTGGAAATGGAAGTAAATGTTGCACTTCTGCTGTCAGAGTTGTCAGATGTATTCTAACAAATGAGACCAAGTGAAAATAAAGTTGACCAAATTTAAAGGAGATTTTTTTGGTTTGTTTTCAGTTTATTTATAATTGGGCAACATGTAATTTGAGCCATAGTAACTGAAAGGGATATAAATTAAGTAGTTTTTCTGCATCACTTGGATGGAATGTTTCAAATTTTGGTAATTAGAGGAGACTGTTTTAAGTAAACTCTCTTTTCTAATTCAGATGGTCACACAATGAATGCCCTTTTAGCATAACTTGATTCTGTTAACTTCAGTTTGCAAATTGCAGTGGATTTTCAACTATAGCTTTAATTAGGCTTGTAGACCCTTAAAAACTATAATGTAAAAATGTTTTTTACAATAGATGATACAAAAAACTGCACATCACATTGAATGGATTTGAATGAATAAATCCTGAATGTCCTGTAACAAACATTTTGTGCCTTCACAGACCATCAAAAGATGTCCCGTCACTTAGCAAAGTATTTGCATTGCATGTAAGAGCTTGTTCTTGATTACGGACAGTCAGCGTAAAAATGTAATCGTTTACTAGATATTTTATAAATTGCATAATTCATTAACCCAACTGCTCCAAATAAATGGTTTAACAACAATTATTTTAAACCTCTTTATTTGTCATATCGTGTTTCACACATCACGCCCACTTAGAACAGGTCATACAAACATGGTGCTTCTCCTCTGCGGGTTTCAGGAAAGGGCCAATCAGAGGAGAGGAGGCTTTTGGAACAACTTATATTTGATAAAACTAAACAAAGTATGAGTAGAACTCATTTTCAAATTACAGTGTAAAGAGCTACCGTATCTTATACGTGGTGAGTTGGTTAATGTTATTTTTGGAGTTGAGGTGCAGGTGCGTGGCGGTTCTTTACCGTCGGCGTCTTGTCGTGTCTGGATGACGTCATCGAGAGGTTTCCATCATGGCGGCCGAGGGCTGTGAGGCGATGAGCGGCAACGGGGAGCTGGGAGAGTCCTCAGGTAGCTTAATTTATGATTTTATAGTTTATAATTGTGGTGCCATTTGTCAGACACCGCAGTGCTTTGTATGCGGTTGCATTGGTTTAAGTAAAGCCTCTCTTATGGACCCATGGTATGACCAACTTGTCGAGCTAGGCTAAGCTAACGTGATTTCAACTGCACACACCACGACATGGCACAGTCCTCTGACTGACTCCCACAAAGTTAACTGCTTTTAAGCGCTAACTTTGCTTTCTGCTGCTGCACAGCAAGCGAACAAGCCATTTCCACATAAGCTCAGTGAGAATGCGGCAAAAGATTTAAACGAGCAGGGATTCATATGAATGAACCAGACCTGTTGTGTTCAACATGATAAAAGCATTACAGCGCATTTTAGTGCTATTTATATAACAGTTTCAGTAACTGCCCAATCTCAAATTGCAGGACATATTAGAATGTCAAAATGAGTGCACTGCTTATTTTTCTTATGTGATCATTTCTGTCAATGTACTGTAAATCCACTGTATCTTGTGTTACAGTCTTTGCTTTGCATAAAATAGGCTGGATTTGACTTGTGTCAGGTGTTTTGGACATAAGGCTGAGGGCTTTTTGTATCATGATTGGGAAATGCTATAGCTTTGTGATCCGGTACCGCAGATGTAGCTGTTAAAACGTCTTTCTGAAACTTGCATGTTTTTAAAAAAATGTTTTTGAGTTACATTTTTGTCATTTTAAAGATAAATAATAAAAACTACAATTTACTTGGCCAATGTTGAAGTTGGTTTACCTTAGGGGTTCAGGTCAAATTCATTTCTGAGGGGAAAAAAATTGGGTGTCAAAAAGAGCAAATGATGACCCTCAGTTACACTCATGGTGATTTCTGGTGTATCTCCTCTTCAGAAGCCATGGATATCTCCGAAATCCCACCGCCACCGCCTCCACCTGATATATCAGAGGAAAACGGCAGCACAGCTTTGGCCCCTGAGGCTCCTAAAGTTACAGATTCTGCCTCCTTCGCTTTGCCACCTGGTCAAGAGGATGAAGAGGGAGAGCTCCCCGCAGACTTTGAGCGTCTCTGGAAGGCCGCACATGACAATCCCCAAGATTTCCCCAGCTGGACCGATCTGCTGCAGTACTGTGAGCAAGAGGTGTGATTACAGGGGCCGGAGGAGAGAAAACAAACAGGGAGCCGAATATTTTTCCTTTCATGAAGTATCATCTCTTTCTCAAACCTTTTTAGATTCACATCACAGCATCTCGCAGAGCACTAGAGGCCTTCCTTCGTCGCTACCCTCTCTGCTACGGATACTGGAAGAAATTTACTGACCTGGAGCGCCGCGCTACGCACAACGACAAAGCAGAGGAGGTAAACCAGCTTTTAAGAGCATTTTCCTTTCTTTCCTTTTACACACGCACTATTATGAAAGAAGCAGCCGTTAAAACTGTCCTGAACCGGTTACTATTGGCGGTTGCGTTTTAGGTGTGTATTCAGGGTCTTCGGGCAATCCCTCTGAGTGTAGATCTGTGGATCCATTACATCAACCTGCTGCTGGGCACACTGGACATGAACCTGCCCGAGTCGCCTACGCGGATCCGCAGGTAAACAAACCCTCAAGCTCAGCTGATTTCTTGTCTTGAACAAGTGTTTTTGAATATAAGAGCACAACTTACTCACCCAAGTTTATTTCTATGGGAAATTTAAATGCCCCATTTTTTTGGGGCCATAATGATAATTTATGAGATTATTATTATTGAGATGTGGTTGGAATGATATCAGAAGAATTTCTTTGCTTAAACTTGAAGTCGTTTTGTATTTTGTACATTTCACCACCTGCAGCGTGTTTGAGGAAGCGATTGCAGCAGCAGGCCTGGACTTCCACTCCGATCGGCTTTGGGATTTGTACGTGGAGTGGGAGAAGGAACAGGGGAACATGAAGAATGCCGCAGCCGTCCTGGACAGAGTCCTCAAAGTCCCCACCCAGCTCTACAACACTCACTATGACAAGTGAGGCCAGTTTTTCCCTGGCGCCATTATTAGCATTATCAGCTATTTTATCCTCTCAAAGTTTGCTGCATCTTCCCTCTGACAGGTTCAAAGAGCACCTGAACAATCATGCCCCGAAAGAGGTCCTTTGCTCAGAGGAGTACGAGGAGCTGAGGGCATCGTGCCGCCAAAGCCAGAAGGCCGAGCGTGCAGAACAGGCCCAGGAGGAAGAGAAGGAGAGGCCACCGGGGGAGGAGGAGCCTGCAACACCCGAAGGCACAGACACGGTGAGTGAGATCCACCGGCCGAGCACAGCCGTGGTCAGAATAGTGGTTTAATGGGGTCCAACTACTGACCCCCTGATAAACTCTTGGGCTCCTTCAGCACTGAACTACAATGACATATTTTTATTGGGTGGAATGGTATTCTGTGTGGGTTGTATCATATCTGTTCTTTTTTGTGTTTAAAGAAAATCCAGAGTTACTGTGACATCAGTGCCCACTCGTGTGTGTGGATGTGTTTGGACTGCATGTAGAAATAGATGAAGAGTGACATGGACTAATTTCTCCTCTGTGTGTTTAGGAGGAACTGATGCAGAAGATTAGGGAGCAGGTGCTGCTTCGCAGGGACAAAGTCTACCAGGACAATGAGGGAGAAGTCCGTAAGAGATGGCACTTTGAAGATGCTGTGAGTTTCTGCTGCCCCCCCCCACCCGTTCATTATCTATATCCCCGTTCAGTCTTAGTAGACAGTCACACCCGGCTTCCCCTTGTTGTGGCACACAGATCAAGCGGCCATATTTCCACGTGAAGCCACTCGACCGCCTGCAGCTCCGGGCCTGGCACTCCTACCTGGACTGGGAGATAGCGGAGCTGAACAGGGACGGCGGCGGCGACTCGGCGGCGGGTGAGCACGGTCGGGAGGCAGGCGCCGTCCGCCTGGTGTTCCGTGGCCTCGCCCGAAATAACGGCTGTCGTTTCAACACTCCTCCCGTTCCAGCAGATCCAAGCCAGACGGCTGCCGATGGCTCCGAGGTCCCGCCTCAGGCTCGGGAAGCGTCAGAGGCCAGGCGGGTCGCCCGCGGCGACCACAGAGTGCGCATCTTGTTTGAGCGCTGCCTGATCGCCTGTGCTCTGTACGAGGAGTTCTGGAGCAGAGTAAGAGAGCGAACTCAAGAGAAGAGCCCGCCCCCACCCGGACGTGCATGAGTGTGTAATCTGCTCTGGTGTGTGTTCAGTACATTCAGTACCTGGAGCCCCAGAGCGTGGACCAAGCCAGGGCGGTTTACAAACGGGCCTGCCAGGTCCACCTGGCTTTCAAACCCAACATCCACATGCAGTGGGCCACCTTTGAGGAGCGGCACGGTGCGACAGAACACTCCCGGCTCCCGCCGTCTGCACGCCGCTCTGTCAGAAGTCACTCCACATCACACCGTTGCTCTCCCCCCCCCTTCCCCCACCAGGTGACCTAACCGAGGCTCGGCGCGTGTTGGAGGCCCTGGAGAAAAGCATGCCCGGTTTGGCGGTGGTCCGTCTCCGCAGAGCCGCTCTGGAGAGGCGGGCCGGCCAGCTGGACCAATCGGAGGCCTTGCTGAGGGAGGCGGTGGAGGAGTCCAAAGAGAAGCCGGCGCTGCACGCCTTCTACTCCATCAAGCTGGCCCGCCTGCTGCTGAAAGTGGGCGGCAGCCCCAGCAGAGCGCGCAGCGTCTTAAAGGAAGCTCTGGAAATCAGTCCGGTGAGACGATCGGTTCCACCCACGGCGCCGCTCTCTGCCCGAGCCGTTTTGAACCCCTCACTGTGACCCCTCCCCCCCATCCTATGCCGCCGCTCTCCGTGTGTCCTCCATCAGGATAACGACAAACTGCACTTGAACCTGTTGGAGCTGGAGGCCTCGGGAGACCCCCGGGCCTCAGCGGAGGCCGTGCAGGAGTGCGTGACACGAGCCCTGGAAGCCCCCCTGGCCCCCCACGCCAAGATCCTGCTCTCACAAAGAGGCCTGCAGTTCGCCGAGGATTACAGCAACTCCATCAAGAGGTACGGTTTCTCAGGCCAACCATCCTGAACAGCGGGGGCTTAACGATGCAGACGGCCTGACGGTGAATCTGTTTCTTCTGTCCCGCGCAGCGTGCTGTCTGTGTACGAGGCGCACCAGAAGCTCCTGAGCGAGCTGGGCGGAACCAAGAGAGAAGCCGAGAACGGGTGAGAAAAGGAGGGAGCAGCTGACCTAACCAGCAGCGTTCCACCCAACAGCATGAAGCTTTTAAAGAAACACGACAGGACAGACCCATTTAAAGCGAAATAGAGACTAAGTCTTATTAAAGAATAACAAGATTGTTTTTTTAGTGTGGAATAACAGTTGGAAGAACAGTGATCTCCTCTGGTGGTTGGTGTGGACACATCCATCCGTGTCATTCAGCTAAATCCGAGAGCAGAAATCTAACGGCGGTTCGTTGTTGTCCCTCTGACCCGACAGGGACGAGGAACCAGAAAAGCTGAGTAAAAGCGAGGACGGCTCCGCTGTTGCCGCGTCCACACAGGCCCCGCCCGCCATGCCACACGTCCCCATCACCACGCCGCCGCCCCCCGTGATGGGCGCCGACATGAGCAGCACGCAGTCGGGCTACGGATCGTACGGCAGCTGGTACCAGGTACAGCCGGGAGCTTAAAAACACAGCGCTTTTCATTGATCGGACAGAGGAATCACTTCCTGCTTTCCTTTTTTCTCTCTTTTTTTTTTAATAAGCAACCCCAGTACGGCAACTACGGCTATCAGAACACCTGGAACTACAACCAGTCCTACTACCCGCCCAGCTAGAGAGCACCAGCAGCTGTGGACAGAGCCAGCAGCTGGATGGACTGAGGAACCAGGCCTGCAGGAAGCCCGGGACCCCCCCCCCCCCCCCCCCCCCCCCCGGGCCCCCCCCCCCCCCTGGGTTTGTGGGGGACGACGGGACCCCATGCAACATGTCAGACGTTTTTGTGTGAACTCCGAGGGGCCGGCAGGATCAAGACAGCACGACAGTGATGCCCATTTTTAGACAAATGTCTCTGCATTTTAATCTGGACTATTTTTGTAACTGCTGGCTCCTTTGCTCCTGTTTTAAAGTCATCCACTCTACCCAGTTTCACAGGTGGCATATATGGCTGAGATTTTGTACCATTCCACTGAGCGGGCTGTTTTTTTTTCTAATGTATATAAAAGTGTTTTATAGTGTGTCAAAACAAAGGGCTTTTTGTCGGTTTTCTTGTGCATCCATGATAAGGGACATGATTAGGTAACACCTAACACTAAGCAGGAGTGTTAGGTGTTACCTGCTTACCTTGTGAAACTTATTTACTGGACAACATAGGAGAAATCTTTGCTTCTATACACATAACTTTAATCAAACTAAACTTAAAATGTAGTTAGATTTTTTTTTAAATGCACACGATGGCATTACATAATGAAATCTAAACTCAGTCATAAGCTTTATATTAAAGTGAAATGGTGTAAAATATTATCTTTTATAATCCACCAAATTAAATCCAAACACGGCAAATCTGAGCTGGCTAGAGCTGCTGCTTTGTGCTCATTAGTTGAATGAACTTTAGGAAGATGATTTTTTTTAAATTGCTCTTATGCACTAATTTCCTAACAGCGTATAGCACTCAATGTATGGTAATTGTGTAATCTGTCATAGTTGAATGTTAAATCCTTCATTTTATATCCTCTTCCAGCATAGTGAACTCAAGGTAAGTGTGTAACTGGTGCTCTAGTTGAATGTTAAACCCTCTTTTTGTAAGTCGCTTTGGATAAAAGTGTTAGCTAAATGCATACATTTAAATTAATCTTTAATTCGAATATTCTTGCAGCAGAAGCTCATTAGTTGACTGAATTGTTTTTAGAAATATAGATAAAGTAACAGAACAAATGATTATTAGAAAATTCAGCCCATCAAATCTATTCTTTACATCACTTTTATTGTAAGTGTTCTCTTGGTGACTGTTGGCATACTGTAACTGTCAATATATCTGAGCATTAAAAAAAAGAAAATTAAAATGGAAGGTAGAATCACAAAATTCTACCATCACAAAATGGGGAACATCATGAGGATTGGACTTAAGGCCCTTTCCGCACCACTTGAGTAGGTCACTGTCAGGATCGGGTTCAAACTGAACGTTTTGCTCTGTGTTTTCTTTCAAACGTGAAAACATGGGCCGTGCTCCTTGAAGGAGTATCAGTCAGAAGCCAGCTATGTGCTCTTTGATCGCTCACAGTTAATGTCCAGCTCAGCGTACGCTTCAGCCGTCAAGCCTTGAGACCTTTCCCCACTTTGGCGTTCTAAGAGCAGCTATAGGTTGGGCATGCAGCGGCTCTGCTTTAGTTCCAGTAGCTGGCCTGTTGACTGATACTAGCAGATGGCGACTCTGATCCTGGACCAGTCTGGTTCTGGTGTCTCTGGTGTTGATGTGGTGGTGAGGTAGGCTCCCAGGGCAGACCCTCCTGTTCTTACTTTTTGGTCACAACCAGCACAGCTGAAGGCACCAAACCTGATCAGACGGGGGACAGAATGGGGCCACAGGTCAGTCGGCGCTGCATTCTCTGTGCAGCCATTTTAAATCCACACCCACTTTTACTGTACACTTTCCACAGAGCACAACCTCCCTGCAACTCACCCAGCTCTTTGAGGGGCTTCTCCATGTCCATTTCAGTGTAGACGTGGCGGGGGTAGGGCGACAGCAGCGTGAAGTCCTGACCCTCCGGCGTGTTGCCGTTCACCTGCACGTACACGCGCACTGCGGCCAGCGGCTCTTGAGCCTTGAAGACGGTGTTGATGGTCGTGCCATCCAGCAGACGGACCTGATGGGCAGGAAGAAAAAAGGGATCTGTCTGATTGGCGGTTTCTCTCCTGACAGCTGTGCATAAAGACAGTCCTCCTGAGCCATCCACTGACTGGATGTGTCCATGTTCACGCACTTATGTTCTAGACAGAAATTACCAGATAAACCCTCTAGTTCATTATGGGAGATGATGTCTGTTCCAAAACAACTGGGTCATATGAGCTTCAAAAGACACATTGGGTCATTTCTAAACCACAAGGTTCCTCCCAGAAACTTTCAAAAAAGGTTTTTTGAGACTAGACGAGCAAAATGCGAAAATCTCTGCACCTGTATCCTGGACTCATCGTACTCCTTCTTAGAGGGGGGAGGGCCCTGGCCGGTTGGTGATGAGGGACTGGGCGGGGTGGGCTGCGACGAGGCAGCTGTGTTTGGGGGCGCACATCCTCCAAACTCAATAGGAAAAAAACACTCAGATATAAGGAGAAACCACAAAAAAAACTGAAACAGAGAGAAGCTGAATGATGAGCTGAGTACCTTTTGTGCCCTCTCCTCTCTGTCTCGTGCTATCTTATCTTTCACTCGTTGTCTGACAGGAACAAAAAATAAGAAACACTTTTAAACATTTTTTTCAGTCCCACTGAAAAAATGTAAATACAGGAGTTCCCTCAGAGTTAAGAAAAATATGAATTGAAAATAAACTCCTTACCTGGCCAGCTTGTCCTCCATCTTCTCTCTCCTGCGCTGATCAGCTATTTTTTTCATGTCGTCGTCCTGTATTTTTTGGCGGATCTGCTGCAGCTCCTGGCCCTGTCTCCTCCGCTGCTTCTCCCGCTCCACCTCTTCTGCTCGCTCGCGCTCTCTCCTCTCGGCCTGCTTTATCCGCATCAGCTCCTCCAGCCTGAGGAACACACAGCGACAGGCCAGTCAGCCACTGACATGCCTGCTCAGTACATCTGGTGGCCCGCATTTAAACACTTGTTTAAAATCGTCCGAGGCAACACTTTCAGAGAAAAGTCCTGACCACTAACATTGCTAAAGAGGATTGTGAGCCCACTGACCTTTTGACTTGTTCACGTCTCTCCTCCTCTGTCATTGGATGCTTTAAAGCTTCCTCTATGAGGCTGCAGTCTCCATCTGCTGCTCCTGAAACCAAAAGACAGGCAGATGAGAAAGCGGCAGAAATATCTTGACATGCATAAAAAACTTTTTTTTAAAAATCATTGTTATGACAGTCAAACTGACGGAGCTTTGAATCAGCAAGCTGAGTCAGCACTATCTGGGACTTTAAGATAGTCAGGATATATCGCAAAACAATTTCCCATGCATTACTGATTGCCTCTCTGGAACGTAAAAGGCACAGACAATTCAAACTACAAAGAAAGTTTTTTAAAAAAAGCCTTTTTTTGTAGCTCTGTGTTAGAGATCATGACCTTTCTTTGTCCAAGTCAGGCATTCAGCTTTAGACTCTATGAACACTTTTTAAAAAAAGGTCAGTTTTCACATTGAATTAATGCTTCTCCCACACAAAATCCACCGATAACTTAATACTTCATTCATCAGAACAAGCTGTATGAATTGAGGGTATCACAGGTATCAGTGTTGCTCTCAAATTTAGGAGAAAAACTGACCTTCAGCTGTGTTTGCTAATGGTGGCTGGTCTTCACCCGACTGGCTGTCGGCTTCCCCTCCCAGAACATTCCCCGCAGGGGGCACATAGGGTTCATCGATGTCGGGGTCATTCTCATGTTCCATTAACCTAAAGAAAACACATCACAGAGGACCGATTATCATCGAAATCATACTGCCAAATTTCAATTACATGACTTAGAACAACTCCTGCCTTTTTTTACAATAATGGTACTGGTTTTGCCACAGCCTGTTGTCACCATAAAGTTATCAGCAAAAAAAATGTGTTCTACTAATGGACAACAAGGTAAAATTTGGGAAGATAGACCTGAGTAACTGAACCAGCTGAGATATCTGTAGACACACTAAACTATGGAAAAGTGACAATTTCGTGACAGCTAGAATTAAATAAACAGAATCACTGGAAAATCATTACAAAAGGGGAAATGGCACTGAGAGCTACAACAGCATGGTTTATAGCCTGTCTCTCACCAGTCCATTGCTTGCTCTATTCCCTGGTTTCCAGTATTGACCACGGCTTTCTCCCTGAAAAAACAAAACAAAAAAACAAACAAACGATAAATACAGATGTTCACGTTGATTTTAAACTGGAAAATGAAATTAAAAGAAGTTAGGTCCTTATTTAACGTTGATGTCACTCACGCTCTGTTTCTGTCAAAGCCCATCTCCAACAGGCTCTCTAGAGTTGTTAGCTCTGCCATTTTGACCTGAAAAAACAAGAATATGTAATTCATAAGCTTTTCCTAGGACGCACCCAATACAGCAATCAATCCAGCAAATACACAATTTACCACAATTACCATGAGAAACCAAGGTTAGCTTAACACTCAGCTTTGGCAAACTAAAGATATTACTCTGCTTTTATTTAGTCCTGTCTAAACACATATTCTCAATCCAATCACAGACCATGTAGTATGAACTAATATTAACCTCTCGGGGAATATCAGCTGGAGGATATTTGCTCGGCTGTTATCGAATATCGTTGCCAAATGATTGCTAAGAGCTAAAATTAGCATGAATGTAGCTAACGTTCACATTCCGAAAGCTATCTGGAAAGCTCTTTGGCCAACACAAAAAACAGCCCTATAAGTTCTGGGCTTTCTAAGATTTTCAAAGTAGTCTGTTTTCTCAAATAAAATGTACACTTCACTGCTTCTTCTTGTTTTAAATATTATCTGTACGTCAAGATTTATTAATGAAGGGAACGTTGGTTAGCTACTCACACATCAGTCGACGCCGCCTCATAAGTACGGAACGCCAGATGTGTCAAATATAACAGCCCCAAAGTCGAACTTTATCACTCTGTCGCTTCACAACAGTTTCCAAAATCTGACATGAAAAATAAATTCTTTTGCACTTCTTAAACAGCTCTAGTGCATTCATCTTTACCGAATTTTTATTCGACTTAGACTTGTTATAAGAACTCAGAATGGCATGGGTATAACAGGAACTGAAAGTGAAATAAAATCAAATACAAATGGCCAATGTAACATATATGAATTTAAAAATCTTTGAGACATGGTTTTACCGTATAATGTGGTGCTTAAATGCGATCTATGTGGTCCATTCTGTTTTCTATTCACTATAAATTTCCTTTAAGGAAATATAGACCTGCACCCTAATGGGATTGAAAAACTCTTTGAAGAAGATGTTTCATTAAGTTCAATTTGCAAATTTCTCTAAACACCAAAAGAGTAATTACTCTCAAGGGTTTGTCAGTGGGTTAATTAATAATCTATTAAATAATATGTAATAGGCATCATGCAATGTATTAACAAAAAATGACAATGCTAGGTTACTCTCTGCGCAAATGTCTTGTCATTAGATAATTTCTATAACACGTTATATTGTTACTTAACAAACATAGATTGATTTGTCTCAGGTTAGAGATCTACAGTAGTATTCCTACTACAAAAACTTTTGGCAGCATTTTAATCCCGAAGCTGAAAAAACACATTTATGTTTATGAAATTACATATGTACGTGCATGTGTTGTGCAACGCAGACAACACACAGGTGTTATCAAAAAGTTAAAGTTAAGTTAAACTCAATGTCAGGCTACTGAGACATTTGATCTCATTGAAACACATAAGGAAGATATTTTAATCTAAACGATCTAAAGATGTTCAGTAGATTTCTGAAAAATATTTCTTTCTATATCTCTCTGGGTTCTCTGGCTTCCTCCCACCGTCCAAAAACAGGCGTGTTAGGTTGATTGGACATTCCAAATTTCCCTTAGGAGTGAATGTGAGTGTGCGTGGTTGTTTGTCCTTGTATGTCTTGTGTATGGCCCTGCGATGGACTGGCGGACCATCCAGGGTGTACCCCGCCTCTCGCCCATTGACCACTGGGATAGGCTCCGGTTCCCCCTGCGACCCCATTAGGGAATAAGCGGTAACGATAATGGATGGATGGATGGATTCCTTGTATATCCATTTGATTATTGTGAAATATGTAAAGATCACTATGTTTTCCTTTTTTGATTAATAAGTTGTTGTGGATATTGACACGTGTTTGCATTTTGAGATAAAGTTCCAGCAGAATTCACTTAAAGACGATATTTTGGCAATGGAGGATTTGGCTTCTCTTGTATGATTTAATTTCATCTATGTGTGCTCATGGGTGTTCAAACAGAATAGGATTTGCTGACTTTTATGTGCTTGTGCGTCTGTTACATATTTACAGTGAGTGTAATGATTAATTTTTCACCTCCCCACATAGTCTTAAGGAGCCTTCATTCCCCAGTTCACCATTACACCTCTTTGTACTTGTGTGTTCTTCCTCAGCAACTCTCCTACTGACTGACTTGCACTTATCTTTTTTTACCCCCCATTTTTCATACTTTTTTCTTTTTTTAAACTTTTGATCATCTGCAGCATGAACTTGGTGAGTAAAACTTGAAACATATGAAATTCTAAGAAACTATTTTAGTTTAATTGTGGAGGACAGCATATATGAATGAGAGCTTTGGTTTGCTCACAAAACTTCATTCAGTAACATGTTTTGAAGGTTATTTTTGGCTTAATGTTAACACCACGCCGACCTGCAGGGAACCCAAGCAACTTATTGGAAATGATTGTGTGTTTTTTGAGTTGTAAAAAGCCGACAACAGTAGTACTTTTGCAACAACTTTTAAGTACTTTTGCATTTTATTTCAACATAAATGTATGTTTTCTGAGGTGGGGGCAAATGAGTTTTGAAGAGAATGTTTGAAAAATGTATAAAACTGAACATCTGAATCCTTCCTGGAAGAAGCCAGGCAACACAAATGAACATATTTATGATACAAAAGGTCGACTCAACATGTTTGATGTGAATAGCGATGTAAACTATATAAACGTTGTCGTATCCCAAAAATAGCTTCCTTCAAAACACTTACACTGAAGCTCTCTGCTATAATCCGTAACATGTATCCAGATTTCACATCAATGTATTTTCTTCATAGACAAATTCATTTGACTTTCAAAACCAATGTGCAGATTATTGGAAGGTATTCAGTCTCAAAGAGGTAATAGGGTGAAGGTCTTCTTTTTCAACCTTTAAATTGCTTTATTACTCTGTTGTTTCTACAGAGGACAGGGTCAAGGGTCAAAGCTCACCAGGATAAGCAATAGGTGATTCTGTGAAACTAAGGAGATGTGAAATGCTCAAAGAAATTATGCAAACCCATATTTACTGCTTGTGTACAAAGGCATATCAGTTTCTAAATGTAAAAGATTAATTTTGATGGGCTTGAGACTCAGAATCATTTGCTGTGATGTTGCCCACTCTTCACCACTTGTACCCGTTCACTGAGTTAATGACCATGATTTTTATTAGTCTCACAGGGTAAAATGTAATCGAGAAAGCCGTAAAAACCAAGATTAGGAGATATATTGCTGGATTTTATTTTACGGATCCTTTACTAGGTGTGTCACTTGAAGGTTTAGATAAAGAATGTGCTATAAAATTATATGAATTCATCTGCAAGTGCTGACCAAAAGAGGGCAGCATTATATTTACTCAAAACTTTCACCACATCATAGTTACGACCCTTGTGCTATTTTTTAAAACCTTACCTGGTTGTTAAAGATGCTACTGAGTGCACAAAAATGTAATGATAATCCCTCAAGCTTCACACCGTGACATAAACGGTAAAGCAGGGCAAACTGGGGAGGAAAACTGTCACTGTCTGCTGGACGTAAACACACCCAAAAAGAGTCTATTGTTTTGTCTTGTTAAAGAGTCGTGTCAGCAGAAGACCTCTCAGCCAATCCAGCGGTGAAAACCTTGTGGTTTTACTTGGTTCTGTCAGCTGTGTTTACACTGCGGGTCTCACCAGCTGTAACAGCATCTCCATATGGAAAAAGTCTGGCTTCCAGTGGAGCTGCTGTTATCTGTGGTGGGACGCCCCTTGTCATCAATATATTACATGGATCCCGCAGCTTGTGCTCAGTAACAGCCTGTTTGCTGTTATTTTTCTTATTTTTTCATTATTGGTATAGGTTTGTTTTGTTGAAATTAAATAAAACTGACTTTTGAATCCATTTAAATTGTCTGTCTCTTTGTTTATCATTAATAAACAGATACAACACTACTCTTTTCATTCTTTATGTTAGGATGACTTTGTATGAGTCAAAAGCTATAAAGATAAAAACATGTAAAAGATAAAAGGCAAATAAGAAATTGTGTAGGATTATTATTTATGTAAAGATTAATGTGGCTTCATAAGTCAATACTAATATTAGAGCATATAATGACAAGAAAATTTCACATTTCCCATACATGCTAAACCAAAACTGAAATCAAATGCAATCATCCCTGTAAATCATCCCTGAGTGTATTTTGATACAGGTCCTTGAAAACAGAAGCAAAAACACTTCTGACTAATGGTAAGTGTTGCTGTGAGTCCTGTTGGTGATAAATTCATAAATAAATAATGAATTTGAATAAATTCATGTAAAAACACGTCAGAGAGATTTAAAAAGACCCGTATATGCAACAGGAATTCAAGGAGATTCATAATGGCCAGAAAGAGTCATCAAGGAAAACACACAAGGTCACCAGAGACAACAAAATCTTAAAGAAAATCGGAAAACACCTACAGAGAAATGGAACTAACTGAGATATATATAACAATAAAAAAGAAAAAAGAAAAACATGGTGGAACAAAATAACATCTATAAGTGTAGCAAAACACCCTGGAGGCAATGTGACTATTGAAAGGCCAAGCTACCCTGAGAAGCGAACTGATGTAATCTGTAAAACATCTGCATGACGGACACTTGGAGAAACACAATGACCACAAATTGTATCTCCATGGTTTGTGATTGCTTAATGTCCCAAGCAGGACAGTTGGGAGACTTTGTGTAATCTGTCCTTGATTTGAAAAAAGAAAGTAGGATTTATTCACAAAATAAGAAAAGAAAAGCAAAATAAATAGTGGGAATATACATAATGATAATATTTTTTAAAATACTATTGTTATACTAAAACACAGCAATCAAGCACACATATTTATGGCACTGTATTAAATGTATTAAATAATTACTTGCGTATCTGTTTTTAATACTAAACGGTCAAACTATAGAACATTTTAAAATAAGAAAACGTATAGAAAACTAAGTATTCTCATTATATGAAAATGACTACATATCTGAAGGATTTAAGAAGAAACTTGTCGTAAGGTCATGTTGAGCCGCAGGGACTTTGAGGTCTGTTACATGCTGGGACTTTTAATATGAAACGTGTAACATTTCCGGTGTGCGCGTGTCACCCGTCATTGGTGCGTTCATCAACTGACAGCCGGTCGCTTAGCGAGCAGCTAATTTTTAATAGGTTGGAACCAGATTTCCTCTTCTCTGTCTTACTTTTAGAAGGTATATATGCGCCTTGTGTTCGGCATTCATGGTAAAGGGCGTGTAGACGGATAATACGAACGAAAATCCGTTGAAGTGGTAGTCCTCGCTTAATGACTGAAACTCGTACTGCGTGGTTACTGGCTAGCTAGCGTAGAGGAGGGTGGGGACAAAAACTTCCAAAACCTCGCCCAGTCGTTGCTTCACTCCAGCAGGCAGCTAGTCTCTTGGCGGTGTGAGAGACCCACACCACTAAATTAGGTAATTATTTGAGTGGAGAGTGACACCGCTGTGTCAGTCAAAGGTAAAAACCAAAACCATGTTCAGAAAAAGTATGAAGAAGGATCCCGAGCTCTTTCAGAACGTGTCGGAGGGGCTGCGGCGGCTCTACCGAACCAAACTGTTCCCGCTGGAGGACACGTATCGATTCCACGACTTCCACTCTCCGGCTCTCGAAGATGCCGACTTCGATAACAAGCCGATGGTACTCCTGGTGGGCCAGTACTCCACCGGCAAGACCACCTTCATCCGTCACTTGATGGAGCAGGACTTCCCTGGTATGCGGATTGGCCCAGAGCCGACCACAGACTCTTTCATCGCGGTGATGCATGGCGATCAAGAGGGGGTGATACCGGGTAATGCCCTGGTTGTCGACCCCAAGAAGCCCTTTCGCAAACTCAACGCCTTTGGAAACGCATTTCTCAACAGGTAATGTCAGTGGAAAGTCTCCAAGCCGTCAGACCTGATTGTAAAGATTATCTTTTGCAAACTAAAACATGTACTACGCTAGGATGTGATCGCACAGGGCCTTAGGGTTATTCATTGATAAGTGAATTAATCGAATACTTGTCTCTTGTGATTATAATGAACCTTCACCAGCTCACACAAATACGAACAACACCCCCGATTTAAATGCCGGCCTCTACAAGTCCTAACGTGCTTTTTTTCTTGTAAATTCACATGCCCTTGCGCAATCTTTGCAGCAGAGCCAAGTGTGTGTGAGAGTTTTCACCTTTTCATCATGACTAGAGAATGTGGGTCTTTGTCAACCAGACTGGTGTCATAGCAAAGGAAAGGTACTTTCCGGTGTCTTATCCATTCTTTCCCTTTCATTTTGGACAAAACTCCTGCCAGTCACAGCACCTGGCAGAGTCACTCTTGACAGACTCCACTGTCCCTGTGTCAGAGTGTGGCCTCTTTAATGTGGAAATAGTTGTATGCTGTTACTAAGCAACAAGTTGACCTTGTTCTGTCCTTATATGTCAGTGCCATAAGTCGAATATCCTGTCAGCCATATAAATGTTGCCACATCAGAGAAAGCTGACCAGTGAGCTCCTCAAAGCACTACCTGTGAGTAGAACATCTGAAGCCTTATCATAAAGGGTTCAAGGTTTAGTGGATCTATCTAGTTTCTAGTGTAACATATTTGTAACAGCGGCGTGATTAAGTTGGGAGGGATTTTATTATCAGTGTTGAGGCATCTCATCTCCTTGGAATTTGTTCTATAAGATTGATGATCCAGGGAAGGCAGCCTTTCATCAATATCCAAAGTATTACTTGGACTTATGTCCTATATCTGATACAAGAGCTCTATAATTGTATTACCAAAACATGATGGGTCAGGTTTTTTTTTAGGGCTGATTAATGTAGAAAGGCCGCAACAGAAATATATATATATATATAGAAATAATTGTAGAAAAACGCTGAGTAAATGGAGAACTGAAAGGGAAAGTGACCAAACTAAAGGCAAATTAGTGTTGTGCTTTAAAACCAAAAGAGGGCCAACAACAGAGAGGCTATGTACCAAGACTTCTGATGTCTCATTGAATACATAAAAAACACCTCCCTGTCCGGCTCAGAGTGCAAGGTGACAAGAGTCGGCGCCCGAATGACTGGGCGTGGTTTTACACCCAAGTCCGGTTGTTTCTGTGTGGGTTTGTAATGAAGTCAGGCTAATAAACATCTTATTTCATATCAGTTTCTGTAGAAGAATCTGGGATAGCCCGCTCCTTTCTTTGTGCCTAACACAATGGAACACATTATGGGAATAGATGATTATGCGCACAGACAAACAATACCCCACAAAGTATTCATTTCTAGACCCTCATGGTGTCATTCTGCTGTTGGCCTCAGATTATCAAACTGTCTGAATTGCCATATGCTGTAGTAATCCCGACACTTCAATGACAATCGCTCTATTAGGCCTACTTCCTATTATCCACTGACGTTCCTTCCTACAATTATGTAGAGTGTTTCCTTCATCTTCCACAAGGGCAAACCTCTGCCAACTAACATGGGTCAAAGTCAACCACTGCTTTTTTAGATAATGCCCATGAAGAGTAGTTTTTATTGTTATGTGCCTTTAATTAATTTTGCAGAGTTTATAATGAACTCAAGGGGAAAGCAGATAAGATTGTGTAAAACATTGTGTACCATAGATCACCCTCAGATGATCCACTGTTGGACGATTGACTCATGGCTTCATGGGATTTGTGGTTCTCTTTAAATTGAGTCTGTTTATTTGTCTCAGAAACAACCAAGCTTGAGTTTTCATACAATGGCTTAAATATCATAAGATCATAAATAAAAAGAAATTCAAGTCTGACGGCAGAAACTGGTCTGTTACTGATAAAGCTTTCTATCGGAAAAGCGGATCCTCAGAACTGTGTAGAGCCAGGCTTTTTCTGGCTCAGAGCGAGACCATTTGTCATTTTCCTCTCAAGATCCAAACGTATTCAGACTTGCACAGTTCTGGTTCAGTATTATTACTCATAAGAGTAAACAGGGGATTTTTTGGGTCAGATTGTTAATTGAGTGATATTAGGAGACTGTGATGGCATCGCTCCTTTGTTGCTCTTAACCATGGTTATTCACCATGCAAATTAGCCTTTAACTACCAGGCTCAGATGGGGCTTGACTTCAGTATAACCAGTCATTTACGAAGAGGGTAAACAGAAATCAGTCCTGGAATCCTCACACACACAGTTGGGTATTGGTTCTGGCAAATCGAAGACATTTTATTTTTTTGGGTGAATTTCCCTGTTTTTATTTGATCATTTTGGGTCAGTTTTATAACATCTTGGCCTCTGATTATTTCTTGCTGCCTGCGCAATGATTTTCCAGAAAATAACTGAATGTGTCTTCTCCACCTTAGATATTTTTAGCTCTGCTTCACATGTTGCTGCAGTTGGAGGGCCCCAGCATATTTCTGCATTCTCCGTAAGCATTAGCCAGTAAAACTGGAGTCAGCAAAGCTGAAGTTCCGCTATGACCCACCCTGGCCTGCACTGTCCTGCTCCGTCCTGTCCTGTTATTCCAGGACGCTGACTTTGCTCTTTGCCGCGGCCTGGGCTGACTCTTGTAAAGCCAAGCATATGATACATTTACTTGAAGATCCATATATAGATAGATTAGGAAATTTGAATCCGTCACTCAGGATTTTAGTGGAAGAACATTCAGAAAGGTAACAAAGTTGTTCATATCTCCAGTGTTTGTGGCAGCCACCCCGCTCCCTGTTTCCTCTTCTTTGTGGGAAGCTGAGGTTGTGAAGGAAGGCCATAGGTCAAAAGGTGGAGCAGAGGAGGAAGACCATATGTCATGAATTTTATACAGAAGTTAGGCCAAAGGGCGGGTATCAAGTAAAAGTTTACCCATGTCTTAATGCATACCTGACTTAGCAGATATATTGTTCTCATTTTTTCTTATTTGTAATCACATGTAAAGAGTTTCTGGTGTCCACCCCCCCCCCCCCCCCCCCCCCCCCCCCCCACCAATGGGTGCACTGTTTGGAAGAAGTCCAGTTCTGATTGAGCTGGGCTGAAATTTTTCCTGTAAGGCTCTATGGAAAGATGTTTGGACAGATATTGAATGGAAAATCTGAGCCAAAATTCCAACTGGATATCCTACGGTGTCCGATATGAAAGAGAGGGAAATACCTGCATGTTTGTTATGTTTGGCAGTCACTCTTCTTGTCATGAAGTAACACATATGATCTTTGTGCATGAGGCCACTGTCTCATATTGCTTTAACTATGTAGATTTTTCCATTTCCCCCTTGCATGTGGTATTAGACCTTTGTTAGGATTTGTGTTATGTGTGTGTGTCTGCCCACAGTGTGGTTGCAGCAGGAATGTGAAAGCACGGTTTTCCCAGTCTTATGACCTGGTGCCTCTGAGCTCATTCCGTGAGTATCGTTGGGTTTGGTTGAAAGGACAGCAGACTGAGAAGTAGTACTCTGACATCTTAACAATCCCCCTCTTTGTCCTGAGTGGGGTATTGTGGGTTTATGTAAAATCGGTCATCATGTTTTATAGTGTGTGTCTGCGTTTTTGTTTTAACTCAACGTCTGTGTGACACTCTCCTTTAAAGTTTAAACCACCGTGCAAACGCCTCAGTTGCTATTGTTGAGTGAATTATGTTGCATGGGAAATGACTCAGGCCTGAAATCTAACAGCTTACATTGTGTTGTCCTGAAAATTTCTTTGTTAATCAATGTTCAGTCAGAGGTGATCCTTCATAAGCAAGGCCTTTCCGCATTGTTTGGAAAATCCATATCATCCTAAAGTCTCTGCTGTTGTAGGAAAAACAGGGAAAACATGTTTAAAGCGTCAACTGGAGCTCAAACAATCATTTTAGCCTGAGGGATGTTTGTGTACAAAACCAAATAATGTCATAAACACAAGTGATGGGCATTGTCATGAGTATTTCTCTGGTGTGTCTGTGTCGCATGAGAATTAAATCAGATTACTAGCAGGGAGAAGTTAGGTTAGTAGAAGTAGCTCCTTTTCTGACAGTTTTGTTCATTAATGGAACTCATAAATGTGGATTAAATGTCTTTATACTTAGGGTTTGGGTTTCACCTGCTGCTTCATTGTGTTTTTCGTTCAGCAAAGTCTTTCTACTAATGGTAGAGCCGGAGAAAAAGATGGTTATAACTGAAAAAATCCTGAATAAAATCTGTTAAATGTTGTGTATAAACAACCTCACCTGACTGGTTTTCTGTTTTCTCCTTTTCCCCTATCCACAACCCCCATCTGTCTTCACTGCTTCATTCTGTTTTACTTTCATTTTCATCCCTCTTCGGTTGTTTTTCTGTCCTTCTATTACAGGTTTATGTGTGCTCAGATGCCTAACGCAGTTCTGGAGAGCATCAGTATCATCGACACTCCTGGAATCCTGTCTGGCGAAAAACAGAGAATAAGCAGAGGTGTGCACCCTTCACTTGACACTAACACTTTACCCAGTTGTCCTTTTTTGTGTTCAGTAGCAGCATTTCTTTAGACCATAACACACCTTCTAATTCAAAGATGTGACAAAGCGTTGCACATCTGCTGAGTAAACCCACAGGAAGTCACAGGTTCAGAAATGTAAAAGGAAATGAGCTAAACAACAAGCACACTTGCTGTTCTTTCTCCTTTACTCCTGCTTAGTGAAGACTCTGCAAAGACAACTGTAGCAGTGATGCTTTGTGTGCTGTCAAACCTGTATTTAACTCCTTTTGCACCCCGAGGAAAAATGTAGCCAAACAGAACACATAAATGGGATTGAGGCCCTCACAGCTTGACAGTAGCACAGAGGACTTCTGGCACTTTAAAGTTCATTTCCTGTCAGTGTAGATGTGGCCTCTTTCACATTTTTGCCTTTTTTTCTATCCTTGTTGTTTTGTTTGTTTTGTTCTTCTGTTTTTTTCTAACCTGATCCCATGCCGTTCCCAACCCGACTTCTTTTTTAGAAAAGTTGAATTTATGACACTTTACACCTCCTACAATTTTTTGGGCCAGTCAGTTTGAATTCTTAGTTGTCCCCTTAATTGCCTTATGCTGTATTATGATTTTTTTCTGTTTCAGTTCACTGTCCTGTGAAATAAATTTGTATTTTTATTCACAAGCTCCACACTTAAGTGAGCTATAGGGTAATTTCAGTAAACCTTTGATCTGAAAGAACACAGTCAAAAGATAACAGAGCAGCTGAACATAGCTTCTGCTTTTTTCTACAGTATTTCAGCCAGTTTAAGAGGAAACGTGTACAAAATGTAGACTTTTGTATAGCCACGTGAAAGGAAGTGGAGTAAAAAGGCAAACATAGCAGTTTCCCAAGATTCCCACCCCCCACCCCCCACACACACACACACACCTCCACCACTGCCTGTGTTAAACAGAGAGCTGCTTCACGGTCTCAGTCTGCTCTTAGATACTGCCTGTTTCCAGGGAAATGTAGAAGATGAAGGAGTACAAAGCACTCCAATAGAAAGTTCAGACACCCTCACAGCAGGACTGATAAATTATTTGAAGATATTCTGCCACCGGAGCCCGGAGGGGTCCCTTTAAGGCTCTAAAGATACATTTATTGTAATATAGAAACAGGAAATGAATGTGCTGTGCAGATGGTCAGCAACTTGACAAATATACACATCTGTGTATGAAAGAAGAGTCTGACTCACACTGAGGTGACCCCTCAGGGTGAGGGGAGCATACTAAATTCAGGGCCATCCGGTCAAATTTGTTTCTCTACACACAGGTGTACATTTTTACTTGGACACTTTCTCTCCTCCTTAATCATACACACTCTGACTCACGTCATCCTCTGCTCTGTTTTTGTGTAAATACGGATTCAATACTGTACTCCACAAACATACTGTACGGACTATGTCATGTATAAACAGAGCGATTAGATTGTGCTGCTCATGTGTGACGGGCATGTGTATCTGCACTTGGAGCCGGCACCAGGCCGCTGGAGCCTGCTGCATTAGTGCTAATCAGCTAACCAGAGCTGCATTGGACTTTATAGAGCGGCATGGTTACTTTCCAAAGATTTTGACATTACTCCATCCCCAACATAGACATTGAAATATTAAAGCCCATTTATGGAGATTCAGCCTATTTTTGTTTGTAACCCGGCGACCATGCATTCATTTTGAATAGGTCAGCATGTATGGCTCTGTACTTTTTGTCCTTTTCTTTGCTCTTAAGTGACATCAGCAAAAAAAGGGACTTTAGCGCTTAGGAAAAGGAACATTTCTTTGCGTCATTTTTTTTTCCAATCCTAATTCTGTTTAATTATTGGTCGGACAAATAGAAGGTTTCTTTTTAAGCATTTGGCACTTCATGTTGACATGTTATAGCACATTAACACAGCCATGCGAGCTCCTCCTGCCTATTTTCAGTCCATGTTGTATACATGCTAACACAAGAGCAGTGTTAAACGGGACCTCCAACTCCCAACAAGAGTCTCTCAAATACAACACTTGTCTTAATGTGAAAGCTGGCTGATCCTCCTCTGTGCTCACTGTCTTTTGTGTGATTCTGAGCTCTGTCCACATTTGAAATGAGTTTGTGGCTCTGTGTCTGCGTGTCCATGAGCTGCATGTTAAAGGCTTTGCAGTCGTTGATGCTGCGAGCTATAAGTAAGTCTGCTCGACCAGCTGTCTCTGATTCTCTTACATGTGTGTTTAAAAACAGACATAAGAGAGAATGAACAGATGTCTCCAGCCACTTCCCACTGGGATCTTGGATATGAAATATTCTTCTTTTTTTCTCCCTCTACATTCACTTGTCATGTGCACTGACATATTTTTGGCTTTCAGCTGACTCCTATCGCCACCACTTTTCTCTTATTGTCACTTCTACCCACCCCTTCTGACTCAATCGACTCCTCTCTGTCTTCCTATACATCTTTGCATATCTGACATTCTCCATCAGCCTTATCTCTACGTCTGTCTTTAGTTTACACGTTTTGGACAGGGACAAAAGCCAGCCATGTTGGAATGCGCAGCAGATCTGGCCTTGATTGTGTGGCAGCTGAGATGAGCTTTTAGACGAGCTGCATTCTTCTCTGATCCGATGACATACAGCCCTTAATCAAAAGCACAACTCCTTACTTTCCCCTCCACATGCTCAATGTAAATGATAACTAATAAAAGGCCTGTTTTGCCATTAGAGCTGACCTCTTTTTAATTCGATAACCACAAAAAAATGAAGAATAAGTTTCCGTGTTCATGTCAAGGACAAAAGTGTGTTTAACATCTTAATTTGATTAGTTACTTTTTTATGTTGTCACCCTTGTGTTATGTGAGCTTATGTCAACAGTTTTCATTAGTCAGATCCAGTGACACAGCTTTTTGGGAGGCGTATACGATAGAGGTAATTTCAGCCCTGAGGCTGGAGCTGGAGATTGAAACGTCAGATTGTCCAAAGGGCCTTTGGTGTCGGGTCTACCTTTTTTTTTTTTTTTTTTTAAATTTTTTTTTTTATAAACCTCTCATTCCCAACACGCCTGGTAAAACAGTAACCAGAGGAAAAAAGTCCAGCCTCTTTAAAGTCCTTTTTAAACATTCAGCCCACAATGAAACCTCTCCCAACATATGATTTATTAACTAACTGGAGCATTGAGCTCTTTGTCAGGTTAAACATGATTCACCACACTTCATCTGCTAACACAGAGGGTTTTTGCAGAGGCACATCATTTTGCATGAAAATCAGACACTGCAGTTTTGTTTTTTTTAAAGTCTAGGTATGAGCTAGATCAATGTTTTTTTCACTCTGGCTAAAGCCAGCAGCATACTGATGCTGATCCAGATGTTCTCCTTTTCTCCCTCCAGGTTATGACTTTGCCGCGGTGCTGGAGTGGTTCGCCGAGCGCGTGGACCGCATCATTCTGTTGTTCGACGCCCACAAGCTGGACATCTCTGATGAGTTCTCTGAGGTCATCCGCGCCCTCAAGAACCACGAGGACAAAATGCGCGTGGTGCTGAACAAGGCCGACCAGATCAGCACCCAGCAGCTAATGAGGGTCTACGGAGCCCTGATGTGGTCTTTGGGAAAAATCATCAACACACCTGAAGTAAAAAGAAACTCCGTTCGCCTCTTCATGTGTAAACCGCAGTTAGCTAATGTTTTTGAATGAGAATTGTATACAGTGCATGTCAGATGACTTTCCAACAGATGACGGTTGTAATCGAGTAGGCGTTGAGCTTTTGCCCTCTGCCTGTCACCGTGCAAAAAGACAGAAGAAAAAAGCTATACAGTGTTCGTAATGAAAGTGAAAAGCACTTATGATACCACCCTTTTTACATCTCATGTCCCATGATATGAAAGAGTCTCGTGCTTTTTTCCCAACACTTTGGTTAATGTTTGACCCAGAGCCATATTCATCAACTGATCCCAGAGAAACCTTTGGATCATGACGATCATTATTCATTGACTTTAGAAAGGACGTGAAATTCTCCTTTTTTTTTTTTTTCAAATGTGTTTATTGCTTTGAAAATACAGTTTTCACTCAGCTGGTTGCCATGCAGTGTGAAGCACGGCTCACACCCCGTCTTTCTTTTCGGGCTCATACAATGTAAATGTTTTGTGTCTGTTTATACAACAGGCAGACGGCGGTGGCAGGCATGTGACCTGTGAAAGAATTTCCTCCCATAAGCGAGGAGGCAGATAAGTCAAACCTGAGAGAAATGAAGATTAACTTGTCCCAACTCGCTTCCAGGTTGTGCGTGTGTACATCGGGTCGTTCTGGGCCCAGCCCCTGTTGGTCCCCGACAACAGGAAGCTGTTCGAGGCAGAGGAGCAGGACCTGTTCGTGGACATCCAGTCTTTGCCACGGAACGCAGCACTGCGCAAACTCAATGACCTCATCAAGCGAGCCCGCCTCGCCAAGGTGAGTACTAATAAGGTTTTCAATAAAAAGCCTGTCAAAAATGGACAGAATTCGACCAGAGCGTAGAATATCCTTTTTACAGGAGCCACCTCCCACACAGGGATGTCACCATTAACTAAAACCCTGTTTTGAGCAACTTTGTTTCCTTCTCAATCAACCACAAGGAGAAGGAAGTTTAGCAGTGACTCAATACGCTGGCAATCTGGGAACGATTAAATGTGGCTTCATCCACGTTGATTTCCTCATTTATGTGTTTTGAGACTTTGATTTTATGTCACTTTCTTTCTTGGTTAGCTGGATTGCAAAATCCAATCCATGAAACGTGTTCCATTCTGATAAGAGTGACATGTGGCAACCGATGTCGGTGTTCACTGAAGCCGTGTCTCTTCTTTGTGATGTGGCGTTCAGGTGCATGCCTACATAATCAGCTCTCTGAAAAAGGAGATGCCCAGTGTGTTTGGAAAGGACTCAAAGAAGAAGGAGCTGATAACCAACCTGGGAGAGATCTATCTGAAGATAGAGAAGGAGCACCAGATCTCACCTGGAGACTTTCCCAACCTTGCCAAGATGCAGGTGATTATTTTTCTTTCCTTTGTCTTTTTTCAACACAGCCCACTCAGAGTACAGTGATCCTTCAGCCTTGTCCCCTCACATCTTTGCCCCTCTTTCCTGCTCCTTGCCCTCCAGGATGGGCCAGGATGGGGATTAGATTTATTTTTCCTGGTTTGTCAGGAAATCCTGCTTCTTGTAGGCTTCTCCCGTTGGTAGCCATTGAAGACTGATCTATTTCTATCACCAATTCCTGTTTTCTATGCTCCCATCCCTTCAGGAGCTGCTGAATGGCCACGACTTCACCAAATTTGCGACGCTGAAGCCCAAACTCTTGGAGGCGGTAGAGGACATGCTCGCCAACGACATAGCTCGCCTCATGGCCCTGGTGCGCCAGGAGGAGGCCTCCATGCCCAGTCAGTCCGTCAAAGGTGGAGCCTTTGAAGGCACCATGAGTGGCCCGTTTGGCCACGGCTACGGCGAGGGCGCCAGCGAAGGCATCGACGAGCTGGAGTGGGTAGTGGGCCGCGATAAGCCCACGTACGATGAGATCTTCTACACCCTCTCTCCCATCAACGGCAAGGTGTCTGGTGCTGCAGCCAAGAAGGAGATGCTGAAGTCCAAGCTGCCCAACACGGTGCTGGGAAAGATCTGGAAGCTGGCAGACGTGGACAAGGACGGCCTGCTGGATGATGAGGAATTCGCCCTGGCCAACCACCTGATCAAGGTGAAGCTGGAGGGCCACGAGCTGCCACCCTCGCTGCCTGAACACCTGGTGCCCCCATCCAAACGCGGGACCGTGCAACAAGATTGAGGATCCAGAAAAGAGGGGGGGGCAGCTAAGTCAACACTCAAGTTACGGACTCTGTATGCGTAAAGTTCAACCACAAGCATGAACAGCGTCATCCTCCATCAAGCTGTGAGTCCCTGAGCTTCCTGACACACTGGAGGGAAGCCATGCTGTGATCTTATTCACCAGAGAGAGACTGGAGGGTTTCTGGGGTGGGTGGGTGGGTGGGTGGGTGGTTAGAGAGGGAGGGGCAGCTCCATCTTTGTGTGTTAGGAGATAATATTCAGATATCTAAAAGAAAAGAGGGCAGGACAGAGATGGATCATGAAGTAATGGAGCTGGAGGTTGTATGATGGAGCTGAATATGGATTTATGCACCCTGTGCAAATCATCTTATGTGTTGATCCAAAGAAATATAGTTTTTTTTCTGAATTGGAGAAAATTAATTAAAACAACTGTCAGAACAGGTTTATCTATATTTTTGTATTTCCTGACTGTTAACTTCAACGCTTTCCAAATGCTTCCCTTTTTATTATTTTGCCAGATAAATAAAAAGGAGCACTGTACTGTGTAGCTTGGAATTTGTAATGTCTTTTCTTTGAAACACAACAGTGTAGCAAATGGCAAACGTTCCATTCTTCCGTGTTCCACGGTTGAACCTTATCTGCTCTCTACAATGTGTTTCCCGTGCAGCAGCTCAGACACTAACAGCACCCTTATCAGGATCTGATGCTGTTTTTCTCCAGTCTCACACTGATGAGAATATTGGGAGGTTTAAGGTCTTGCCTTAATTTTCACTGAGATGAAAAATCATAAATTCAACATTGGCTGAATAAATCTGGATGTTTTAATATGTGTTTTAGTTTGCAGCTGCTTTGTCAGTGTGGGTCAGGAGGGGGACGACGGGTCACTGTGTGCTTTTTTTTTAATAAGCTTTGGTTGTGGCGCAGTCTTCTGCCCTCTGTAGGCCAGAAAGTCAAATCAGAGGCCGCAGGAGGACATATAAGGTCATTTACTCATGGAAAGAAAGGTTAAATATTTCTTAGGCCAAGCTGAAAACGGTCATAGACGCAGACACTTGGGATGCATTCTGCAGCAGTCAGAGGACATGTGGAGACGATTCATAAGATGGCAGCTCCAGGAAGGAAATTATAAACAGAAGGACGGGAAGCTCTCACACAGGAGTCTGATCTTTATTATTCTCCCAGTAAGTCTGCACATTCAACCCAAGCCGGTCCAAGTCAACTCTGATTTGAAGGCTGGTCTTCTTTCTGACGCTTTGTAAAGGAGAAAGCTGCCAAAATAAGCGTAAATATTTAGATTTGAAACTTATTTTAAAGATTCATTTGAATATATTTTCACATGGGGACATCTGTCGGCACCAGACCTGTAGCAGCCAGCTGACCGTGTGGAATCGTGACGCTGAATCACAGCTCAGAGCGCCGGATCACCTCCTGTAGCACAATGTTGCGTTTCATACTCGGCTTTACTCACAGTCGTGTATTTGTGTCTCATAAGCACACTCAGACTGCCCAGCAGCTCACAGCAGCTGCCAGCATCAGATGCACGGCATTTCATCTGTGATCAAGTCCGAAGGCGCTCTCTTGTGTCTCGATAAGTTATTACAGACTATTGGAGTGGGCTGGTTCTGGTTTGTCTGCCCTGCCGCATCCGAGAGACAACTGCATGTTCCTCCATCTGCTTTGAGCTTTTGTTCTTTATCGCTGTGTTCTAATGTTCTGGTTTCTCAAATGGCTGTACTAATTCTATGATGAAACATAAAATCCCTTTCCACTTTAATACGTCTCTTCTTGTTATTTCATTGATTGACATATGCAGTATTACAACTTCCACCCATCCATTAGTGTTACCGGTTATTCCCTAATGGGGTCGCGGGGAGAACTGGAGCCTATCCCAGTGGTCAATGGGCGAGAGGCGGCCAGTCCGCCAGTCCATCGCAGGGCCATACACAAGACGTCCAAGGAAAAACAACCACACACACTTACACTCACTCCTAAGGGCAATTTGGAATGTCCAATCAACCTAACATGCAGGTTTTTGGTCTGTGGGAGGAAGCCAGAGAACCCAGAGAGAACCCACGCAGAGACAGGGAGAACATCCAAACTCCACCCAGAAAGGTCCTCGAACCCAGAACCTTTTTGCTGTGAGGCAACGGTGCTAACCTGCACACCACCGCATGTGTTACAACTTTTTCTGTTTTTTTTTCTCTTCTTTTTTATTTCAGAACAAAGCCTTACCTTCCTGTTTAGTCATTATCTACCTTCAAAAGTGGTGACATCTCTACTTTTATTTACTCAAAACTGGAAATATCCACTGATGCACTTAGATGACTTGCAGTTTGGTAACTTCCCGTCTGATGTGTTGTATAATATCCAACATGCTGACTGAGTTCTCAGCTGTCAGGAGATAATTTACAGCTGGCGGTTCTGCTTGCTCCTCTTCAGGTTTACCAGCACATTGACAGAAAGCTGCAGGAATGGCCACAGTGGTGTGAAGGGAGAGCCGAGTGGGACTCCTCATGACCGTCATGCGATGTTTTTTCTCAGCGCTCTGCCTCCTACTTTGCATATCTCCGCTTTACACCATTTCCTCTTTCCTGTCTTCCCCTGGTAGGACGTGGCTGCCCTCGTCTCTTTTTCCCCTTTTCCTTCCTTCTCCTCCACTGTTTGTGGAGAGCAGCCTCTCCCTGGCCTCACCCCTCTGGGGGTTTGTTTTTCCTCTGTATTCCTGTCCCTCCGCTGACTCGTTCACCTGGTTCTCGGGTCGTGCTGGTCCCCGCTTTTAAAAATAAACGCTCCGGCCCTCTGACACACTGACCCGGCGGAGAGTTGACTGGGTCATGGTTATATAAGTCGGTCATGGGGTGGGAGTGCCGCTCCTCAGAGGCAGGTGAGGAATGAGGCACCTGTATGTGTGAAAATAAATCGTCTGGGAGCAGAGGAACAGTGCTTCAAGTCTCACATGGAAGCACGGGGTTGATGTGGTACATCATTAACAACTGAAAAAAAATACTCATTTATGCTGTCTCACGCTCTTTTAAAAAATGTCAAAGTTTTTCTGTCTGTTTTTCTTTTTCAAAAAGTCACGATTTTGAATTCTATGTACCAGAAGTATACACATCTATCACAGAGCTGCATCATCTCCTATTTCTAATTTGACCAGATTTCAGCGTGTAACAGCTCAGGACTTCTGGCAGATCACGTTAGCACCCACAATCTTTTACTCTGAGTCCGTGTAAAGGTGGAGGATCCAAACACTGAGAAAGTCTACATTACGTGCTTTAAAGAATCCTTTGATGCTTAAGAAATCTAAGACTAAGCTAGAATAGCGAGACATGACACCTCACAACATGTCATTGTTCATTGAACAAAAACAAAAGAACCCTAGTGTAACCCATGAATTAATAGTTTGTTCGATCACCTTTAGGGGAAAAAAAATTTAAGTAATCATTATCTGTATTGTATTAGCAGTCTTTGACATCTTTGCAGTGTAATTTTGGCCCACTCTTCTTTACAAAATGCCTTCAGTTTGGTTTCTTTTGATTCTATCAGCATTTATTTATGGACTTCCCTCATCAGATCCCATCACAACATTTAAGGAGGTTTATGTTTGAACACTAGAGCATTGCAACGCCCACATTCATGTCTTTTTCAGACTTTCTGTAGTACGTTTATCGCTAGGTTTGGGATCATTGTCCTGTTAATGACCCAGTTTCAGCCACGCTTTGACTGTCAGACCGATGGCCTGACGTTTGAGTCCAGAACACTTTGGTAGATTGACTTCATGCTGCATTCATTTGCTGAAAAGTATTCTGGTTCTGCGGCCACAAAACAAGCCCACACCATTAGTACTCCACCACCGTGCTTTACGGATTGTGTGGGGTGTTTATGCTGATGTGCATCATCGCAAAACATCTCAACTTTGAGCTGGTCTGTCCAAAGGACAGTATAATCCAGCATAATCTATCATGATCTGTACATCATGTGATTACATAAACATTATCCTCCAGAACTCATGGATTAAAAAATTATCAGGACACAAAAACAGTTCATTAAAAGGAGAATTTTATTGTTCGGTAGCTTGGACACAGAACACATCAGAGCAGCACAAAACGACACCAGGAGTGATTCAGTTCTGTAAAGACACGTCTGTGGGACAGGTTCACATTCTTTGGGGAAGTGAGGATGAATAGGACCCTTTTTTTTAAAGAAAGGGAAGGGGAAATAAGTGCTAAGAAGGAGTGTGATTTCCAATCTATACTTCTTATTTGAGAATATTAGCCATGTTAAGCTGCCATTACAGATCTGTGGAAACACTTTAGCTCAACATAGGGATATATTTAATAATTTTTACCAATAAAATTATAAAATACCATAAAATATAATGATTTTAATGTTTTTTGTTAAGTGTTTGGATTCAGCTTATGAAATCAGGCAATGACTGCAGCTTTCGGGGTCTTCAGTTTATGAAAAAAAGATTCAAGTAATGGCCTATAATGAGTGAATCTCTTTGTGTGACTGCTTCTGAGTAGAGACCCTTCAATAAAAGCTGATCAGCCTAAACCGGTCTTCATCAGGACGGCTCATCTCTGCTTCTAAGTGTTTCAAAATCCAGACAGGTGTGATGAGGTAGGCAGATGGAGCGGTTTGGAGCAGAAGGGCCGGGGAACAGATGTCTCGTTTGGCTCGGTCCGGCTCTTTTCTTCAGTTTGACTGTGTGGTGACGGTCACTGTTTGGTCAGAGTTCAGTTCATGCGTTCGGTCCCGGCCTCAGGAGGACGGCCGCACTGTGGGCTGAGGGGCTCCGAACATGTCCTGAGAGGCGTAGGTGATGTAGAGGAAACCGTCGGTGTCTCTGTGGTGGGAATACACCTCCCCCATGCTGGATGACATGCAGGACATGCTTTTCTCTGCCACCAGCAGGAACAGCGCCTGGGAGGAGTCCAGCGCGATTTTATTCCTGAGGGGAGAGAAATGGCCAGGCGGATTATAGGAGGCAGGCAGCAAAAAGTTTGAGCACAAAAGAGAGAGAGAGAGGATAATGACAAATGTTACAGCTCAGAGAAGAAAGGGGTATATTCACCACATAGAAAAGACTCACCTGAGGAGGCAGAGAAACTGACCCAAGGTGAGCTCGAAAGGTACCAGAAACTTTGTTTTATCCAGCAGAGGGAGAGTCTTTTCACGGATGTAACGTTCGACAATCACCTGGGCACAGAAACAGGTCTGTCAGGGCCCGATACTTCACACAAAGTGTTCACCGAGTCATTACGAAGGCAAAAGGACCGTTTCTATACCAACTTACAGGCAGTTTGTTGGGGAATTTAGACCGGATAGTGCACACTTCATCTTTTCTTGTGGCTGCAAAGGAACAAAGAACTCCATTATATACACAAGCCCCCAGTGCTGACGGACAGGTGGTGGACTGAGGAGTGAATAGGTGGTCTTACCGAGGCATTTCCTCTGCTTGAAGGGCATCATCTCCATGGATTTCTCAAAGGGAGCCATTGTCGCTGAGCAGCTTTCGTGAGGCCGGTTGCGATGGAGGTGGCGAGGCACTCGTGCCCGGGCTGACAGTTAAGTCCCCTCGGTGGAAGCCAAAAAAAACCCCGCTGAGACCCTGCTATCGCTGCCGTTTTATAGAGGCAAACCTGGGAGGAGTCGAGATCTGACACTGGCAAACAAAGGCACACTCCTCATGCTCGGGGGGCAGCGCGTGGTCCCGGACCTCCGCTTTAGACCGCACTCACACCTACTGGTCAGGTCGCTGAGCTTTCTCGCATCTGCTTGTGACATTGGTTGGGCTGTCACGTACGCAAAGCTGGACAAACACGAGGAGGGCCGCGAAACGGGGGCAGAGAACTGGAGGAAAACCTCCCTGAAAAGGAGGGCACGACCCAGAACCCCCGCAGAATCCGTCACATCTCTTGGCGCTCTGAATTTGACAGCTCCGACCTTTGACCTTTTTCCTGCAGTGGCCACATGTTGGGATGTCTCCGTGTTACGCTCGGCTTTGAGGCCCAGCTGGCAGGGCTCAGGTTTGGTGGAGTCTCTGTAATGCTGGGGACTGCATTGGCCACCTCCCTATGTGTGCGCTCACGTTGTTCAGAAGGGAAAATGATTGCCGACTCCTGGAAAATGAAACTTCTGAAATAAAATCCTTTCTAAAGCATCTATGTGTGAATGACTGCTGTTTAAAACTTATAAAAATGAAGTGTATCCCTATTTGCTTTGTCTACTTGAAATCGTACGTCATATTGAATTGCTTACATCGCAGAAAAGGGAATGAAAATGACAAAGAAATCTGCAACAGTTATCATGATTGGTGGACTTACATATTTTAAATTGGTATCAGTATCCATCCAGGGGCTCATAATAAGTGCATGCGAAATTTGAATGACTGTGGGATTAAAAAAACAGGCCTTCTTTGAGTATTTCTGGATCTTCTGTTGTGTTATGTTTTCATTTGCACGTCATGACACGATATTGCATAGAATTATAGAATTAATGGCACATTTCTCCTAACTTTATCTGTGCAACCTTCCAGGAAGAATCACCTTAAAGAAACGTGCAAACTTCAGCTGCTCTTTTGTGTTTTGTACAGGT